AACTTAAGATTGAGTGTTAAAACATTAAATTTTAGGTTAACCTGTGAAACAAGATCATTTTATCTTGCATTTTTCTCAGAATAAGCAAATTCATAATCATTCTGCAAATAAACACAAGAGTTTTACTCATTACAATGCTAATGATAATGGATTTAATTCACTATTATCCAATAAATTGTTATAAAAGCTTAACAATATCACGAAGACGAATAAAAATCCTTCATTATTGGTGATTTCTCTATCAAGATCTTCCGCCAGAAGTATTTAATAAGGTATCTTCGTGGATCTCATCCATCGATTTTGAGCAATAAAAAGGGCAAAACCATCGAGACGCATTAACTGAATAGGAAATAATAAAAATTATCTCTCATCTACAATGAGCGGCGCATTTCCCAACTCTGAACTCAACGCGCGAATGGCTTATTTTCATTTATTGACTATCTTTTGATATTTATTGAAGAATTGCATTGGCGCGCAGGAAAAAAAGAGTCATTCTCCGGTGGCTCATCCACTGAGTTTAAAGTGCGAACTCTTCATCTCTTGCATTATCAACCTTTCGCGGGCATTGCAACTTCTTTGATTAGTAACTGAAGGTCAAAATGATATTTCACAATTACAATACAATAATTGCACACAAAATACTCACGGAGTCCCTGTCCTCGATTGGGCGGCTCGTTTGCCAGTGGAAACCGAATCGCTGGCCAGATAGAGATTGAGGAGAGTGGCGAAAAAAAGGCAGAGGAAGTCATTTGTGCGCCAATTAATCCACATGAGAAAATTGGACGAGAATTTCCCCGCGCGGAGGCGACAAAAAAGGCGCCCGGTCAGAATCTCTGTGGTAAGAATTTTTACCCACAATTTGTGGGCAAAAACATTCATCTTCTCTGACCCAATTACACCAGAACTAAATCAAAAATTCCAAGTCGTTCCATTTGAGAGGAATCAACCGCCGCACACATTCCACCGATGATTTGCCGTGAAATAATCCCAAAGAGAGGTACACATTTTGGTGAATTTTTTTCTCCACCTAATAAGGTCACATCAATCTGACGAGCAACGGCAAAATATTATTTTTCCCATCTCGGTGACTTAAACTCTCTCACTCAACCTTTCAGGTGGTCAATCGTTGCATGACGGCCATTTCTCCCCGCACCACGAGAGATCATCGTGGGCATAGGCACATCATAATGTATTCATTTGCTAATAATAAAGTGAATTTAATTGTGAGCGATTCAATTTCCGGAGATGAGACTTGACATGAGGAAAAAGAGATGAAGACAAACCTTCACAGCAAAGAGGCTGAGAAGTAATCTTTCCTCATTCTATAATCGCGGATTCATTGTCATTCCTTTTTTGCGCTATCGGTGCCACTTTTCTGAGTATCGTCAAAAGCATAATCAATTTCTTCACCTGAATTATGATATAATTATCGTGCATCCCATAAAACTGGAGATTGTATTTCTTTCTTTTCACCTTTCTTCAGAATTTCAGCTCCCACAGGCAAAGGTGATTTTTCAGTTTCTCTCTCTTTCTCTGCCTCTTTTGAATGGCTGATCAGAGAGATGAAAAAATCAATTCACTGACATTGGCATGAAAGCTTCCCGAAATGAATGAATAATTTATATGTAGAAGAATTTTCTCCATGGCATTTTCAGCATTTATCAATTTATTAATAAACCATCGACGGACGAGAAGTCACCGCGGCGTGATAAATACGCGGACACACGTCTATTTATAGAACTTCGCGTATCAGGTATTCATTAAAAATACCTGGGATGATTTTATGTGTGCGTTCATCTCTGCTGCTGAGCCTCTTCGGGCGCTCAATAAATGAAAATCGACAGTGTATCTGAGAAACTGACCACAGAAGTCTCTGGAATGGTGGCGAAGAAGCCATACTTTGCCATAGATAAAAGTCTACACACAGCCAAGAATGGCAGAGATCTTCTTCGGTGCAGAAAATCCTCCTTTTTTGCCCAACTCACTCCGTCAAGGTGAGAGAACACACTCTTGGGCTTGATGAATTGTGTGCACCGTGAAGTCGCAAGACTTCTTCACCATCAATCTCGCTGCTTGTTTGAAATTTCTTGCGAATTGATTTAATGGAAATTTTCAGCGCGATGCTGCTCAGCCAAGAAAGCCACACTTCACGCCTCGCCTGTGGTCCACATTGAAGAGTTTATACACAGCTTTTTGTCCTCTGCCATCGTGCATTTCGGGCGGCTTTTTCCGCGCGCCGCGCCAAAAATCTCTCCCGCGACCATCGCCGTGGAATCCGTGAAAAGCATCACTCTTGTTTACATTCCATCGAGAAGCAAGGTCGATCTTCACCTATAAAATTTCAAAGAGAGAGAGAAATAGACTTTTTACCATTCTCAGACCGTAAAAAGCGCACACATCTAATGGAGATGGAATAAAAAGTAAATAGATTTTGCACTTCTATCCTACAGAGCTGAATAGCTTGATGGCCCAAAGGCATGATGAGATGGAGCAAAAAAGAGAGGCACCTTTTGGAGTTGTTAGTGAATTTTTATTTGATCTCTTTTTGCATCCACTCCACAATTTCTTTGCGTTTATTTATCTCACTGACCCAATTCTTCTGCATTGAGCTCAATTTGCATAGATCTGAACCTTTTTTTGCCCCATTCTCATGCCCACACAATTTTATACTGTCGATTCTATCCTATAAAAACACATCGCGCAATTCTCATGGACAAAGACTCGTTTAGAGCAGTTCTTGTCACACGATACTTTTCTTTTGCCAATGGTCTCTCCCGCCAAACTGGACCAAACTGAAAAATTATGGCATCACTCTGAGGCACACACAGAGATCGATTAGAGAGGAGAGGAATTAATGCGAAAGGGGTAGTCACTTTGAGAATACATTGACAGCATGTCAATGTCCTCACACTCAATAAATACAAAATTACCATTAGAAGATACAGAAAAGAGTCCAATAAAACCACAGCGAAATGCTGATACTATCCGCTGAATATTTCATAATACGACCTCATGAATAATTCAATAACAAATTAATAATTTTGTGTTTAGTGTTTGTTAGCGTATTTTGCGGAATATTTATGGAATTGGCGGACACACACGGAACAGAAGCCATCGTAATTCACTATGTCGTTCTGGCAGGAATAACTGCGATCGCTTGAACTAGAACACACGCAAAAAATGTAACCTCTTGTGCAGAACGCAGTAAAATGTCTTGGATTTCAAAATATGTTTCTAATTTCAAAGTTTTAGAGTTACAAATTAATAAATGCTAATAGGAATTTTGCCAAATATAAGAACTAATTTCAGAGTTATCGTATTTACTAAAAAAAGTGTAAGTCAAAATGGTAAAAGAAGACAATTTCGCTCATCTTTTATTTTCACATATATTTAATGTTCTTTTCAGAGAATATTTAAGACAACAACAACAGTTACCAACATTCCGATTACATTATTCAGGCAACAAAAGCACGACAAATATTCTCAAATTATGTGAAAAACGTCCAATTAAAATCCAGTGAACTTCCTCTCTTTATCTGCCAAAGTGGCTTCAAAGAAGAAGCAAAAGGGGAGCAAGGAAGGTGGAAAGAAATCGTGGCAAATGCCCATCCGGCGAATGGGAAATATTTGGGAGGCACTGAACCATTGAGTTGAGAGGAGTAAATAATAGTGGTTGTGCAAAAACATGAGCGCAAAAGGTTAATTGCTGCTGGAATGACATGCCTCTCGACTGATGTCAAGCACTTTATATAAAAATTGATGCCTGCAGTAAGAATTTGAGCTGGAAAAAAGGCGACATGAAATTGATTAATAAACTTTATAGCTTATTGTTTAGATTCGCGAATAGCACCAATAAATCATTTGCGCGAGACAATCACGATTCACGTGCAACTTTGGCACCCTCTTCTGCCTTTGTGCGGTTTCTCACCTCCAGGAGCGTCAGGTGACCATCATCCAGTGAATATTTGCGCGGCTTAGTCACGCCGGAGTGAGTTTTTTGGCCACACTGATCGCCGTCTATTCGGCGCGGTGTTCCCGGAAAATTGGCGGGGTCCTCCGAGGCGCTGTGGAGAAACCGGATCCTATGGGGAGTAAATACACAATTTAATACCTTTGAGCACAGCCCGAGTGACTCACCGGCACAAATTGAAGGTGTACAAGCGTATTGAGTCTTGTCATCGCCGTCAGAGAGGCAACCATCATTGTCCGGAGGAGATTCTTGCTTGAATTATACAACAAGCGAAGATCCCCAAGCACAATCGCTAGAATATATCTCTTCCCATGTTAGCCTCTTGTACGGTAATTCTTGGTCATGATCGTTTGCTGATCTGCGAGCAAGAGCAGGGACGACGACGACCTTTCAAGGCCGAGCAGAGCATCTTCTTGGCCTTCCCCCCATCGGCCAATTGCTCAAAAAAGCCAACTCTTTTCTTCATCGCACTGTCTCTCCTCGGCCATTTCGCGCAATCCATTTAATTCTCCACCGTGCATCTCCTGCCTGTTTTTGTCTCCGCCGCCGCGCGCCACATCCTCGCGCCCAGCGGAATTTTCTCCAATTTTTCCTCACCTCATCGCCAAGTAATCACCGCAGTAAACAAATCAGCAGCAGGTTGTCTTCATTTGTGACTCCGCGTCTCTCAGTATATTGATGCTCAAATTCGAGCCGTCAGCAGCACAATGGCCAGCAGAGCCCTGAACGATGACCACGCTTCACTAAATAAAACACGATGAGCTAATCAAATGAATTAAATGTTGGCACGATCGGCAAAAAAGACGCCACGGCATTCTCTCGCTGCCTCCTCTCCGTCCAGCGCAGAACAATCACGGCAAAAAGAATCAATTCGCGCAATTTTTCCCTCCAATCATGCGCCAAACAATAAAAATCCACACCAAGTGTAATTGCATGAGGTGTAATTGGAGAATTTACCCGTCGTCCAGGACGCCACGGAGGGAATTTTAATTCAATTTCCCACATGCGCCTCATGCCAGATATTCCGAAATTATTATTGGTCTAATAAAATACAATTTATTCTCTCTTTCTGCAAATGTACAAGTCTCTCACTTAATTGTTTGTAATTCTCTCAATCTTACATGATATTCCACCCAGATGATCTCCTTTTCAACTACTCTTAATGCTAAAGAATCAGTTATCATTTATGAAAGGATAATCACTGTAAAACAATTTTCATTAATGCAAAGATGCTGAGATAATTGGAAAAGTAAAAAACAAACGCTCTCAGCGACAATTCCTGCAAAAAGACAGCGAAGATTCATTCCCAAGGGGGTGATTAGGGCGGGCAAAAAGGTGCCGATTTGGCCAATAAACTAGTCTATGGTATTCACGTACAATAGATGTTCTAAAATTAAATCCAATAAAGTAATTAAGAAGTTGTAAAATATAGCGTACAATCTCAATAACACTCAGGGAATACACATTTATCAAATATTAACATTCACTTCTCATCTGTGCAGCAAGAATATGGGAACTTATCGTATAATTATTATTTTTTCACTAAGTACCACTTGGCTAATTGCAATAGTTTAAACCAGTACTTCTATTCTGTTCAGCATCGCCTTCTTTTTTTTGTTTTATCCAACCTCTCGATCATTAAACAGAGACTTTCAGTGGTGTAAGAGTGTGTTTTTTTATATCCTTCTCTCTATCGTAAAAAATAGCACAACAACTTCACGTCACAAATACTTATACTTCCTTAAATATTCTCGTGCCTTCTCCACACACCATCCTGAACAGTGTCTCTCTTCTCGCACAGCTAGTGATCACCCCAATTATCGTGGCCAGTGATCAGAAACATCAACACAATTTAAGATCTACTTTTGCACACGAGATCTCGCTTACTCTGATCAACATCATCAACAAAGAAATCAGGGTCCCAGTCCAGCCCATTTGATAAAATCAGGCAATTCCCTGACAGGTACATCTCGTGACAGTGATTTTACGCGCAAATTTCTATCAGTTGTCAGCAGAACAACTTCTCTCACTATGTATCGTGTGCCATCTAAAAGATTGAGGAGTAGAGAAAGAGAGGAAAAAAAGCACATTTTAAACATTGCACGAAGGTCTCGACATGACGCCACCTCGTCAGGCATTGGTTATCGATTGAGTTCTGACCACTTTGAACCGTATTTAATAAGTAAAATCCTCCTGAGATTCACATTACTGCACGTTTCAATGGCAATATATTGACCACAAGTGTAGGGAAATTCCTACTATGTTTAATGAAATTCCGCATGAATTAGGCAGAACTCAATCAAAAAGCAAAACCAGGCGCAGATTGGCGCTATAGCCGAATGGCAGCGAAGATGAAAAGCTACACAGTACTCACCTCTGTCCTCGTCAATATTGTTCTTGCACAAATGCACAGCAGTCGCTAGGATTTTATCGTCATTGGACAGTGGTTCACTATTGTCATCCTCCACGGTGAACACAGATGAATTGAGAACTGAACCCTTTGTTGTAACGCACCTACAACAGAACAGGCATACACACAGATGGTTATCAAGTGCCGCTGCAGGGGCAGAATTCTGATCACACAGTGACGATATGGGTGAAAGAACACTTACTTCACGGCTGGATTTTTCGACTTGAGAAACATGAGGGCATTTTTCGACGCTTCCGCCACCATGGCCACATGCTTGGGATCGGACTTGCCGCTCACCGACACCGAGGTGGATGGGAAGATGGTGAGTGTCGGTGCCAGCGGTGTGTTAACCGTTAGCAAATTGTTGCCACTTTGAATATTTGAGCCACTCTTGGCCGCCGCGCTGCCCTTGAGTCCCCGCGATAATCCCTCCAGCTCATTCAGCACTGCAAAAAGGCGAAGAAAGTGTGATGTAGAAAACACATAGTGTCGGTGTGAATTCTAACCAATTATCATCTCAACCATTCAATTTAATCTCTCCTATGCCTCTCTCTCCTTCGCACTCCTGCCATCCTCGCACACACGCGGATCGCATTTTGGCGCGAGAGAAAGACATCTCTCTGTGTATATCTCATCTCATTTGCATATCATCAACCGCGAGCGACACCATCAACTTTTTGCGCCAACACTTCCATGTCAAGGTGCATGAGAATGTTGTGAACTATCCCTACAACTGCCCATATTAACCGTGCAGTTGCCGTGACAAATAAACCAAATGCCACTCTTCTTTCCTTCACACCCAACATATTCAATCAACACCACGCATGCAGCTATCATACTAATTTTGTCACAATTCTCTACATTTCTTCTCATTTCTGCAGAAAAATCGCGCTCAACATCCGCTCACTAGAGGCGCCACACTTCGCAGAAAAGCTCATTAGCAATCACGATAGAGGCAAAAAGACACACACATAAGCGTATCAGCAAATTTATTCGATTGCAAAAACGTGTCATCGGTTAAATATAATTTTAGGCACTTATTTTATTGAGTCAATCCATCTTCCTTCAACTCGCGCGCGCTGTTTCACCTCCAACCAATTATTCTACATCAGTCATGATTTTCAAGAGATTTCCCTCTGCCTCGCCAATGATGAGAGAATTGCCCAAGAGAAGGCAAAAAAGAAAATGCTACCAAACACACTCTTCTTCCAACTTTAAACACCCATTGTTCAATTGTAAAAATTGAGAGATTTTTTCACTCTTGACCCTTGCCTTCAGACCTTTTCATCCACTCATCACTATCGTGTAAAGTACATTTTCATGACACTTTGGGTAAATAATATAAGCCTCATTTAAAAGGTCTCACACTCTCAAGATTTCCTTTTATCCCACACTAACTTTGAACTATCCACTTGTTTATAACCCCACAAACTTTACACTTGTTCCCCTTTAAATTGAATGATCTTTCACTTTCAATCACTCACTTCGCTCAAGGTTTCTTCTCACATCACCAAAAACTTTGGGGGAGAGAGTGAGTCAGTAAGAGAAATTACACAATTGTCCCCCTTATTATCACGGTGAATATTGCATAAATTGTTTAATATTCCTCTTCATTTTACAAAATTACCCACAAAATGATAGATGTGCAATCTGGCTCTTTAAGTGTTGTGATATTTCAGTGAGAATTAGCGAAAAGAAGAACCAAAAGAGAGCTCTCGACAAAAATAGGCGCGAAAAACACAACAGCCAAAGTATACAAGACATCTTTGTCTCTACCTCGTGATAAAACATTCTCACAGGCTGTCTTTCGCACTTTGTTTCAATTTTTATTTGCCCAGCAATTTTCATAAAATCATACATAGTGTTATGAGCCTGAGAGGATGTTTGAGAAGCACAATAACCATTACCTTTGGGTCATTGATTTGTGTGTGGTGTGTTCAAATTGAGAAAAAGGATGGAGAATATTCTGTCAAATTTTCTGCTCTAGAAAGTAACTACAAGAAGAAAAAAAACGCTCCAATTGTGCCAAAAGAAGTAAACATCTCAAGATGATACCGAATCAAAACAAACATCTCAAAATTATTGAGGCATATCTCAAGAATATCTCTCTTTCTTTCTCTTGACATTCTGACTTAAGGAGACTTTTTTTTTCACCACATGAAAAAAACCATAATATTCTTGTGACTTTATATATATACATAATATAATAATATACAGAATAAATAAACGTCAATATTTACGGAACAATGTGTCATTGTCAACACAACAAGCAGAACTGTAAATCTGCGGCAAGTTTATCATCACCATATTGCATTTTATGGACATTTATATTACAACAAAATTCCCTCTTTCTTTCTCCTTTTCTCGCTCTTGACCATCTTCCACCCTCTTTCGCGAGCCACACACACACACACACACACTACTCAAATACGTCCAGAGATTCCCATCTCATCTGTATTTATATGCAAACACCTAATATTGCTCTCCCGCTCACAGTTCTTATGCGGATAATACCTTCAATGGTCAATGACACTATCGACACGAATCTATGGCGCGGTGCTCCTTTCTCCAACTCTGAATAAATCACACACAAACTCGACCAATTAGTCAATTTTTTCCACACACATTCAACTCTATGGCATTATAAGAAATTGTCACTGCTGGAGAAAAACGCCAAAACATGGCAATGGAGACAGAGATCGAGTGGACAAAAGAGGAAGATATTCTTCAAACTCACCAACAAGAGGCACCATCAGCTGATACAGTGGATGTGCATTCGCGATCGCCTGCAGTTGCTCAAGGAAGTCTATGAAGCAATTGGTGTCGGGAATTAGGAACTTGGGACGCACCTCAATGTGCACAGACACTGTGCTTTGCCGCAAAATGTCCTGCAAGAGACAGAAAAAGATACAAATACAGTCAAACAATCAAAAACAACCATCATTCTTCATCAATTAAATCATCTCTTCGTGTGATATAAACAGCAATAAAATTTACAGCCACAAATTAGCATGAATTGCTAATGGCTCTGACGAGAGTGTTGACGAATATTTTGCGGTATCGCACAGGTGAAATATCTGTTAATTAAATCAAAAATTTCTTTCAGCGCCAGTCATAAATATATTCTCCTCGAAAAATACGACACAAAGTGAAGAATTTTGGCCATCTAACTCATCTTTCCGGCTATTTCTAGCTTCACTGTGTCAATTATTTCCTTGTCGCGGAAAATTCATTGGCCTCAATTTAACTTCCGCGAAGTATATTTTAGCATATAATCAACAGTCATTTCTTTCATATCACGACTTTGATGGATTTTCGGACAATTTGGCAAAACATAGAGGCAATATTTTTTTTTTTAGCAAGACATTTTATTAATTTTCCATTTTCACTCCACTCTTTTCTTTCACCTACACCCCACGCGCCGTCTGTAATAACTCTCCCTCCACCATATCATCTATTAGGAGGATTTTTTCCTCCAATCTCTTCTAGGACACAAAATAAGATACGACAAGAATTTATCACGGCATTATCTTGACATCGCATCGTACAAATTATTTCCGTGTGACGATGACCTGGAAATAAATTCCTTGCAGTTTATGCACGTTGTGCAAATTGGCGCCTTCCAGAAAACTGACACCGACATAATTTAAGAGTGTTTGTTCCCACATCAAATTCATGCTTCGACTAACAATTTCTGCCGTCCTTTTTTTTCTCTTCTACCTCACTTTTGACTACAACTTCTTACTCGTGCGCACACATTATTCTAATGTGCTCCGTGGTGTCTTCTTTTTGCCACTCGCTATCATTTTCCCTCCTACACCTCACAGACACTCTCCATGCTCCAGGAATGCTCCTAACAATAGCATTTTTTCCTCCTCAATCCCTCTAACCCGCCTTGAGTAAAATTATTGTCGCCAAGATGACATAAAAAGGTCTTCTTGACTCTTTTTTGCTCAACACTTTGCACACACAACACCTCACCGCGTTGACAAAGTTGCACACACGCTTTATTACAACATAATTCTCTTCTCTCTCTCTGCCTTTTGTTGTGTGTGATTATAAAAGAAAGGCAGAGAAGAGATAACCATGCCAGTGAGCAAACTGCACTGTTAAAGCCACTTCTTGGCGATTTATGTTATTTTAAATTCACACCTCAATTCAAGACGCGAATGCGTTTTTAATATTCCATATAAGACATTAACACAGAAAGTGTGTTAAATTTTGAACTGGATGATGTGCAGTCAGAATACTAAATAATATTGTATCCACGGAATCTCTCATATATGATAAAATTATAATGCAAAAATGTGGTATTCACATGAAAGTTTTCCACCTTTCTTCTTCTTTTTCTTCTGTGCTGTGCAAAAAGAACCGAACGCACAACGAGTTACTTATTAAGACTAGTCAGCAATGTATGATGCTTTAACCACCGTCAGGCGCTTGAGAATCATTCTAAAAATTGTTGAATGATTCTCTACGATTACTTCTCCCCACAGAGAACGTTTTTATTGCTCTAGAATTGATTGAAAACATATTTCCATAGATGGCGAGAAAAAAGCTCATGAGAAAAATAGAGATAGAAATAATCAAGAAGAATCTAAAACAAAAACGGCAATTTGAAATTTTCGATAGAATTACACTCTGCATATTCCCCACAACTCATCCATACAAGAGTGGCAAAACAGCGGCACAGCGGGAGTTGCCAATGAAACTTCGACGGTGTGCGTTTAAATGAATAAAAATTGAAATGGAGGGGCAAATAATTGCCACAAGAAGTAATTATATAGTCCCGCTCTTCCATCAAACTCCTGTATGGCCAACATACCTGTAATCTCTGATTGTGTCGCTCCTGCATCTTCTGACTACGCTCCAATTCATCCTTGCGACGCAACAGGCTCCTTATCTCAGCTGCGTTGTCTGCACAATTCGGCAGACTGTCCAATTTGCTGCCAACACTGAACTCCTCCTTATCACCCATCATCGTCACATCATTTGAACAAGTCTTCTCAGCATCACACACTTCCACCTTCGCCTGATTGTCGCCCGTGTGCGTCTCATTATCATCCTCGTCGCTGAAGCTCTCAACCAGCATCTCTGAATCGGACTGTCAGGTTCAAAGACAGAAAAAAACGAGCACGTCAAGAGACAAACTTGAATTTCACTATCAATATGAAAGAAATAATCCTCCACCGAGACGCAGACACACACTCTAAAATTATCTCCACCTCTCAGGCGACTTAATTAAGAGAAAAATATATAATTTCACGGAGGATTCTCTCTCAGTGCTTTTGTACTAAAATATTGATTTATGCACTGAGAATCATAATTAAAAGATTAAATTGCCATTTAAAGCAAAGTCTCATTTAATATTTATGTATACCAAGATAGAACGGTCCGCCCTACGTGTGAATTTTCGTCAGAGCTGTACGACTTATTAGATCAAAGATAAAGAATACAATGAAACCAGAGTTTAATAAAGACGATAAATTCTGTGTTCTTATAATCATGCCTGACCTTAACATCTTTCAAAGTCCACAGAGTGTTAAGTGAAGTGTGTAAAACCCTTATGATATCTACACAGACCCCCAATTAGGCACTTCAACTCCCCGAGGGACACAAAAAGACCACCGCGAAACTCACCTCGTCTGTTCTATTCTGCACCACACTTATGTATTCAGTCGTGCCATCTTCGCAAGTGACTTTTTTCAGCACGGGCGGTTCGCAAGAGCACAAATAATCTGTGCCAACAAATAAAATCTTCTGCAAACGCAAGGCATTCTGCAAAGAAGCAACCACAGATCAAATGCATTAAATTATAATTATAAATACAAAAAATATATATTTCTTTCTGCTGAGATACAGAAAATTGAGACCTCACCTGAGCTGATTCAATATCATTGTCCCTGTGACAAAAAATCTCCTCAGGAGCATCGTAGATGAGTGGTGTGAAACCGGCTAAAGCTATATCTTCCTGCAGACGCACAATCTCGTAATCTGACGTGAAAAGAGAGCGAGAGACAAATTGAAATGTTGCTTTTTGGATGTTAACTGATTCTTTCTTTTTTCGGCACTCACCGGTTTTTCTCTCGGTGGATAGAATATCACGATTAATGTCTACATCCTCGAGGATCATCACCAAAGAGGCCAATTTCGACCACGGATCGTGACTTGTGCTGGAACTAGAAAATATCACATGTTAGAAGCATCCTGGTTGGATGGTGTGGAAAATGAAAGTGAAAACAGATAATTACCCAAGTTTGTAGTCAGAACAAGTGGGTGGCGGATTCCATACGATGTGATGACACAGCAACCAGTCACACCAAACCTACAATAACATTCCAAAATAGTGATATTTGCGAGAGAGGAGCAAAAAAGCCAATTAAGTGTTGTTTTCTTCGTGAAAAAATTCACCCGAAAAAGCACACAGAGATTGATAAATTTCCTCCCATAAAGGTTAATCCAGTGTTAAAATAAAATTACTCTCTGGGTGTGATTCTCATATCTTGACTTCATCAGAAATCAGTGTATATACTCTCTTGATGAACAGTAAGGCAAATGGGGGGGAATGAGCAGAAGCGTGGCTTTTGGATGAAGAGACGAGACATATTAATAAAAGACAACCTTCAGGTTACTTAATAAATTCAACGATGAATATTATGAAAGAAGAGAGACAAATAAAAGAAATTTTTATAGTATCTCCCCAAGCGAGAGACTTCATGAAGTGCACAGAGGAAAAAAGCCAAATCGACTTCCTCTCTCACTCGCTACAAATTCCCTGCCATACTTCTTTTGGAAATCGCAAGCAAGAACGTTTTCCTCAATATAAATATTAATTAATTGACAAGAGTGATAACAATCTTTATAGCCATTTGTTTTGGGGCAGAAAAGCACAAGTGAAGTTGATGAGAAACTCACCTTAATCGACGGCAGCATAACGCGAGCATCCTCGTTTAGCACTAAAAGCTTCTTGCCATTCTTACTGTTCTCACACTCTTTCGTCGTCATCGCTCTCCATGCTTCTCCATGCCTTATTTTATATCAAGTCAAAAGAATCAATTACCAAATGTTACTTTTTTCCTATTTCTCAATATTGCATATTTTATATGTTGAGAGAAAAAAAAAATTGCAGGAAGACTCACTCATTCTTGATACTGTTGCTCTTTCCCGTCGCCGTGGGAAGAATATTCTCCCCATCAAGAGTAATTACTGGTCCAAACACTTGACGACTCCCACTTGTTGTGCACGGTGTCGATCCCGGTGATAGAGTCTCCCTGATTATCGTCACGAAACGTTCAAGCATTATACCAAACATTATCAGAGCAATTGAAATTGCACACTCTTGTATTTCAGATCGTCCTCCGGGCGCTATTGATGGATCTGCAATGAGATAGGGCAGAAGTGCAAGTTAACATTTTGATTGACACTAATAAGTCTCTCATCTTCAGCTAAATTGTTGAGAAGATGCGCGCAAATATTCACGCATTCAGACACCTGAGATGCCAAGGGATGCCTCCAGTGTGGCGGCATGCAAAAAACGCAGGCATTCTTTATTGAAAATTGAGCAAAATGTTGCAAGTTAAGCACAAGATGAATTCACTTAAGGCAGTATAACAATAAAATATCCATTAAATCTTTCTATAAATGCACACTTGGCACAATATTTACACGATCACAGCAATCAACAATTATTCTGTAAACTGTTTACATTTGCTCTCAATTGGAGGAAAGTAACAATTTCAGCAAATAAGCTACTCCTCCTCCTGAATGTCAGTGAAGAATTTGGGTTTGGAGAATTCTTCTGCCACTCCTTATACAATTAATCCATCCCAAGATGAAACTGTAATTATTAACACGAGTGTTTTTATTCCTAGCATCAGCATAAATTGTATTTATTTCGCGAATGTGCTGTTCGAGATTAAACCAAAAAGGAGAAAAAACAACAGGAGAGCACTAATAACAATAATCAAACAAATAGCTCTCTAACTATGCCACATATTACACCACATCGCATCCATCCATTTGTCTCAGGCCATCACACACAGCTCCCCATCATCTGACTCCATCCATCTATTCACCAGTTCATCCAGCAGCGCGCAGTCGGCTGAGAAAAAAGTTCCAAACGCCCGGCAAATCAGCCTTGGCAAGGTCACTGAACGACGCTACACACACAAAGTAGCGTGCCAAATGAATAATAGATTGGTCACATTGTACCTTACAAATTGAGTACGAAATTCCACGTAGTGTGTAAAACCGCCTCAACATATTTATATACACACCAACCATAAATTGATTTTTCCTCGTCAATGGCATCACCGCATGGCGATGCATTGGCCCGAGAGACGCCCAAAAAATTCGCGAGCGTGGCAATAAAAATATTTTAACAAAACTCCACCTATCAACAGTATCGACAGTGAAAGAGTAAGGCAAAAACAGACGCTTCACTCACAGCATTGACATTTTAACTCCTTGTACAATTTGGCGCCTAATCGTCATCTCACATTGCTCACCGACTACTTGTGAGTATTTATCGCTCTTGACCTCAACATGTGTCTATTTTTTCAGCCATCTTTGCGATACTTCCTAAAAATTACGCGATTTATCCATTGGTCTTCAAGTGAAATAGAGAGAAGAAGAAAAAAACAATCCAAAAGAATTTATGTACAAATACACCTAAGGAGTCAAATTAACTGACAAACATATTACATTCAACATAGCGAAGGAAAATATTTGCCATATTAAAGACGCGAGGTATTTTTCGGATCTTATGATTATACTGTTGGCGATTATTCGGATTGACTGGTTTAACAAAAGACGGAAGTGATCATCACATGAGATATTCTGTTGATTTATCACCCAAGCCAAGTGTGAAAAAAGGCCATAATAAAGGCAAAACCGACCAAATACAGAAGATTCCAACACTGCAACAAGGCACGAACCCGCAAATCTTACAGCTCTCAAACATCAAACAACCTCAACATTCTCCATCAGCATCTACTAAATTAGTTAATGTGCTGGAAACATTCATGAAAACTGGTTGAAATGAAGAAGTGGAGCTGGTTGAGAATCTACACAGCTTAGAGAGATGATATTTACCCTAGAAAAAAGGAGTGAAAGATAGGGCAAAAAAGACCTCGGCGACACCTCTTACAAGTTTTCTCTTCTGACTCATCTATAAATAGAAATGTTTAAGCTATCAATTACTCGATTTAATGGATGCGAATATGTGCAACTTTCAGGTAAACATCACTGCACGAGTGCAGCAGAAAGTTCTAAACTTTACGATTTCGCTGCAAGGAAATTAGCAAGACGAATGGTGGCAAGAGAGAGTGTGTGTGAGTGTTTGTGTCTTCTAAATCCAATAAAATATGCCACTGCAGTGTTGAATCAATAAATTAAAGGTAATTGATCAAATTAATCAACATTGCACCTCATATTTCTTTCCACAGCCTCAATAGACAAGCAACACTGTTGACTCTCTGCATTTCACTGAAAGAAATTGTCAAGATATTTCTCATGATTGGAATGTAAGTTTAATTAAAAATTCCCCCAAGATCACCACAAAATCACCCTTGATCGATCAAAAGACGATCTCTTAAGCTAATCTCACTCCGAAAGACGCCGCATAAGCCTGACTCTCATCACTCATCAGCAGCAAAGACGTGCTGTTGTTTGTCTGATCTTCACAAATGAAGAAGATCACGCTACTGAGTGATATAGAAGGAGTGAGTAAATTACTATAACTGCTTCACCACACGATCTTGTGTTTTGTTGCACCATCATCATCATAATCAATGCATTTGTCCCTTGTGTGTTGTCATGGCAAATTCATTCCGCGAGAGAAAGATTCTATTTATACTTATAAATCGATCGAGAGGAGCTCCAGCGGCGAGTCCCTTCGCCTCCCCCCTCGCCAACCCTTCTGCTGCTCCACACACTTTTCACGATAAAGTGCATGAGCAGAAGAAGTGCGAGTGTATCTTAAAATAGCAACAAACGAGAGAAGATCGAGGCGCCTAAGATCGAATGGAATTTATATAAAGTGGCGCCAATAGTTGACTTGCAGCGAAGGCGAAGAGAAGTGTGGCGAGAGAAGTTGCAACCATCAACTATCCCCCCATATCCTAAAAGGAATGATGTGAGAAGGTATAGGAGCTGCAAGAGATGGCAAAGGCAGGTTAATCGCCAGCAACACATGGGCTATATTTGTTGCTTCCTCCCGGACACTTCTCGCAAGACAACAAACTCCCTCCGCACGCCTCGTCTCGGTCCAGAGGTATTTATTATAATTAAATAAAATGAGAGGAAATTGAAAATAGCAGAAACCGTTCAGCACAAACACCACCGTCGCTGTCCATCTAATGACATGGACAAATTTCACCTCATGCCAGCCCCTCGCGTAGCGCGATATCGAACAGTTACATTGAGACATCGTCCAATTGTCTCAATCACCTGTCTCGATAAATAAATTAACTTATTTTATGAGCACACAGAGATCTTCTTCACCATCATTGCGAGTGGCCGAGAGGATGGGGAGATAGAGACAACTAAAAAGCAACCAGACAACAGAGAGGATCAACAATCAAATTCAACATTCAATCAATGGCACCAGCAATCAACCCAATCATCATCACTCCGTCGACGTTTCGCCATCTCTTGCCACTTTTTTACGATCATCCTCACTTTTCAGAAAATTTCCAAAGCAACAAACAACCAAAAGCACAAGAGGTCACAGCGTCAAAGAAGTGCAATGTTCTTATCGACCTTGAAACAGCCTTGCCAATATAATTTTCCAACATCTCTTCTTCTCGTGTTGCTCATTTTTCTCCCAGCACACAACATAATGGTGTGTGAATATTTCTATCACATCCTCCTTTTCCTTTGCATGATCTCCTCTCTTTTTCTCTCGCGATCAAGCAAAGAGGTGACTTTTTTTCAGCACCCAAGCACCATCACAAATGTATACACTGTGCAATGTAATGAATTGAGAAAATCTGCCCTCTCCGCACCATAGCAAATACACCGCGTGGAATCTCTCAGAGGGACAAAGAGAATGGCGATAAAATTTTATCTCCCCTTTTGCAAACAACCATCAAGCGAATACTTCTTCAGCTGATCGATCAAACAAGTGAAGATCACTCATTGCCAAGATCACCCAGAAATCAATCATCATCTTAATGCCCTACGATTTCACATTTAATTCCTCGAATAATTTATTAATTTGTAACTGATATCGCACGCTTTGTCAACCCCAAGAGTAGGTATTCCCATCATTTTGCCACATTGCACATAACTCAGCATCATTATAGGCATATCGTGTGCGGATTGTTATTGCATCGCATTCTTTCCCAACTCCTTTCTGCGGCGCATCTTTTTTGGTACACCACACACTCCCTTCATTAAGCTCATTTCTCGCCGCACGACAAAAAGATGATCATCAAATAGCCATCATACACAGAGCATGGCGCGCTCTTTAAAAATTTATTCATCACTTAATTGCCACACACCACAGCGCCAAGAGACGCGCACATTATATTCCTTTTAATACAAATAAAATTCAAATACTGTCGTTATCATCATCATAGTTGAATTAAATTCACAAAGTCGCGAATGTGTTAATAAATAAGAAACAATAAAAATAACATCATAATATACTTCTTCATCCAACAAGCGGCGCGGTTTTCGGTCAAGATGGGAAAAATGAGCAACAGAGGGGGTGAATTAATGCGCATTAATTAGGTAAATTGACTCTAAACATACAGAAAAATTAATATTTATCTGAACAACACAAACCGCCGCAGAATAATGATGTCCATGATTTTATTTGCTGCATAAAAATCGTCTGGTTTTTGTAACTTGAGCTCAAATGAGTGTTTCAAAAAAAAATGCCGCACACACAAATACTATTCTTTAAACGTTACATTTTTGTGTTGAAATTAGAATTAATAATACTTGGCAAAACATCCCTTCCCCTTCTCAATTCACACACACACACACAGAAGACAAATTTTCCCATAATCTGAAATGTGAAATTAATGCAGATCATGGCAAAAAAAACTCACCTCTGAGCTGAGTACAGTCGATGGCAAACATATTGAGTGCTGCCAGTTGCAAAAGACGCAACGATGTGATGGGAATTGGTGAGATCCGGAAAAGAGCCCGAAATTCTCTTAGCATTTGGACAGCGCATTGAGTGAAAGATTCCATGCCGATCTTCGTAATCAATTTGCCATGGACATGCAAGTAACTCGTAATGAATCGCTTATTCAGCTGCACAAGGGAAGAGAGGAAAGAACAAAAAGGTCCACCTTCAATCATCTGCACATAATTAGCCGAGCGGAAATTTTGCAACTCACCTCAATGGACTCCAAATTCTCGAGTTCCTCCTCTTCACTCGTGTCACCACTGCGATTGGCGGCCGGATCAAGAGGAGAAGTCCGATGGATTCTTCGACCACCCTCAGGATGCACCCAAGTTTCACGCCTCAGCGGCCCACCAAATCGATGCTCCTTCTCCTTTAGCCTCAGACGATTCTTCTCCTCCCGCTTCTTCTGGCTATTCTCATACTACAAAGTGCGAAAAAGTGAAGCAATGTGAGTTGCAACCGTGATTAATTTGATGAAAAATCAAACATTACGTTATTTTTAGCTTATAAATTGACACGAATTCATCTTCTCAACACATCTCTCTGTGTGAGAGGAGGATTCCAATTGACTCACACACAATTTAATTTAATACTCCGTCAAGGTTTTGTGTATCTTTCAAATTATACAAATTAAATACACGCACAGTAGAAATAAAAACCATGATAAATATTTAATTTTCCACTGAATTTCAGTGTAAAATGCCTGAAAGTAAAAGTGTCATGACACTTACCAAAAATTTGTGCTGTTTTTTCGCACACAAATATTATTCCCAATGATAGCAGTAACAGTAGAAATAGAGAAATCCATTAATTGCCATTTATGTTTCAGCAAATTTCAATAAACCATGAAACCACTTTAACAAACATCTTCTTTACTATATGTCAAAACTAGTGATCCGGAACCATGCGAACATTATCAGACTCTTCTGCACTACACAATCATCCCACCTCATAAATAAATCAATATCAATTTTGAGTAAACAAATTGGCTAAATTAGATAATACAGTGAAATTTAGAGACTGACTCAGAGAATGAAAAGAAGGAGAGAAAAAAAACATCCATGAGCACTAGCGAAAAAACCGCGAAGCAATCAAAATTCTATCAAACCTTATTCACATTCGCATTCATTCCTCTTAAACGGATTTTATTCAACTCCCATTCCGAGGGGCTTCTCGCTCGCAGATTTATTCAAGTCTTTCGTGCTTTTGATTATTGATTAAGAGTGAAAAATTGCTCAACAGTAGCAACAAAGATAACACGTACTAAATTGGGATTTTACTTAAATGCTGATGAAATTTAATTAAGCTTTTATGCGAAAAACGTGTTTCTTTTTCCTCACTTTAGCATAAGAAGTGAAAGATTCAATCAATTTTCACTAACATTCACATAAAAGAATACCACAATTCTAATAGAGAGCGATAATTTGGTAATTAATGAGTTTCTTTTTATCTTATTAAGCATTCTTGTGCGAATGAACTTTTTCTAAAATATATGGTGTGCACACAATCACGATCACATACTGTGACCAAAAATCTCACCTTCTTTCGTGTCTCATCAAATAGCGCCAGGAGACTCTCTCTAGCAGACTTGAATGGATTTGATGACATCAGGCTCCTCATATAGTAATACACAGCATCCACTTTTCGCTTCTGCAAAGCAAAAAGGAGTCATTATCGATTCAATTATGCTATTGTTGCAAGTCTGATCAACTGACCGAGTAGATGGAAAGCACTGCTAGTTGATTGTACGGCCTTCCATTGCTTGGCATAATCTGCTGCGCCTTCATGTACCACTGACGAGCCTGTCCATAGCCACTGGTCTCCAGAATCTGCTCCCGATATCGCGCCAAATCGCCCAGGTAGAGCAGAAGCTTTTGCGCCGACACAAGCGCCAAACTAACCATCTTGAGTCCCTTCGACATAGCGCCAGCATTCACACCCACAAAGTTATCCACAAGAAAGTTATACTTCTGCTCTAGGGTGCGAAGCAATTTCTCAAAAAATCCACTCCCCTCGTTAATCAACTCAAGACATTTCCCCTTGTAGAACGCCCTTCCAGCCTCACTTGTGTCCTCAGCATGGAATTTCCTCAGCATCTCAATGGTATTGTAGTACAGCAATTTCCAAATATGTTGCTCAACATTGCACTGTTGACAGAACTTCAGTTCACGAGTGAGAAATTCTTCGAGAAGCTGCTTCAGGCATAATCGATTGAGTGTAAATGTTTCCCATTCCTTGAACAGCACCCCATTCACCATAAGCTCCTGAATTTGCTGGTCAGTTTGCACGAGAGTATCGATCAAATCATAATTGTGCACTTGTCTATACACCTCAGATGTGGGATCATACCACACAGGATAGGCATTGCTAGTGTAGAACTTATCACCTGCATATTGGCACGCATCCAGGACGGAATAATTGTCCGCTGTGTGATTTATTGCATCTGGTGGAGTGTAATTTCTCCCCTGACTTGCCGTCACCACGATCGGTTGATTGGGATTCTTAGGATCGAACAGTGTTTTTGGCTGTGCTGCACTCCGTGGAGTCTCTCTCTTTCCACCCTGTGGCAAGATAATCATTCCCGGCTTCGACGTTTTCTCACTATCAATATTGAGTGTGCTTATTTGATTAGAGATATTCTTAAATTCATCATCCAAGTTGATTTCTCGACGCCAATTTGTCGGATCACGAATGCTGTGCAAACTCTCCTGCGATGTCCTCATGAAATGCGCCTCTGCACTGTTATCTCGGCTGGACCAGGAATTCCTGTTCTTCCTCCTGTTCTTACTGCGATTTCGCGAGCCTTCACGCCCACCAGCTCGCTCTGTGCTCGCCTCTCGCGACACACTGTCATAGCTATTCTTTCGCGATCTGTTGTAATGCGATCGCTGGCGATATCCCCGCTCCTGGCTCGTCTCTCGACTTCCCGACACCGAGCCCTGACTGTTTCGTCGGTTGGTATACGTTGGCACCTTGAACACAGGTTGTTGCTGATTGCTAAAGGTGTCCTGTTCCTTCGGCGCTACATTGCCAGAGTTTCTCGTACTAAAAGCAACGGACAAAAGACATAGATATTAAATACCTGTCAATCAACATCCTTAGAAACTTACTTGGCTAATTTACTCTTTTTCTTGCGACCACCACCTCTTTATTAGTTACGATTGCAGCAGAGAAAAGCAGTTAGTACTGTCTAATCTGTCTAGGAAGGTTAATTTTTAGCCAACGAAATCAGGAATACTCACTTTCTGCCGCGACGCTTGTTAGGCTTCAATTGTTGCTCTTGCGGAGCTTGTGCATTCTGCATCTTTGCATTCTCCACATTCTCCATTTCAGTCGCCCAATCCTGCAAACACAGTAAATTGATAAAGATAATCACCTCAAACACTTTACCCTTAACTACACTCACCAATTGCGGAATTGCCGTTGTATTGAATGACATTAGAGGTTCAGGCTTCTTTTTCGGCTCCTCCACGATCTTCTCCACATTCTCCCTTCCGTGTCCCTTTCCACCCATTCTTCCATGACGATTCCTCACCGGCGATCGCGGTTCCTCGATTTGTCTCTGCGGAAATCGCTGCGCACGCTGTTCACTTTCCTCATTTCCCCACCGACGACCGTGATTTCTCTCCTCATCCCTTTCGAAAGTCCTTTGATTCAGTCTGTCGCTTAGCTTTGGCTTGCCACGAGTCACTTCTGAGCTGCGACTTCTTGAGCGAGTGTTGTCCAGAGTCACGTCGGAATCCTTCCTCTGACGGCCTCTGCCTCCCCGCGGCGGCATGGGGAGCGTCTGAGACCAGTTGGAAGCATTCGGAGTCTGATGATTGCCACCGCAGAACACAATTGATCGCCCATCCCAGTCATTAGTCTCAGGCGGAGGGTTGGCATGCGTAGGCGGAGCTGGATTGAGCAGATCTAGAGGTAGACCATTCTCCTGTAGGTATTTCTTCTGAAACCGCGGCGGCAGAGACTCTATATTAGGCGGCAGTCGCGTAATAGGTCCTATAGGAGCCTTTTCGGCCGCCGCAGAATTTCTCCTACCAGACGGAGGTTTCTTATTGGGCTCTCTCACCGCCAAATTGGGCTCCACACTGCGCGTATCTCTCTCTTTGGCGCCATGGTAGTAATTTGGCAGTGACTGCGGAACAACTCGAGGTTCTGACGCTTGACGAACTTGACGCTGATTGCTTCCGTAGTTTTCCTGAACTTTCCCACCACGATTGTATCCAGGATTGGAGTTTCCACTACTGGAACCACTCTGGCGTTGGTGGTTTCGCTGGAAATTCCCTCGCTGAGAGTTCTGTTTTCCCCTCGGTTCACCTTCGTCCTGGAAATCCCCTCTAGGCGTGGGAGTTTTCCTTCCGTCACCCATCGAATCCGTCGGGTCATCGCGAAAATCGCCTCGGAACTGCTCTTGCTGCTGCTTTGGAATATAAAATTGCTGCTCTGGCTTCCTATTCCGTCTGCCGCCACCGTGGGAACTCCTCTCATTGCCTTCCTTCTCCGGGAAATAATCACTTCCGGCCCGTCTGAAGTTTGAGGATTCATCTGAAAGTTGGGAATATGTATTGCAAGACGCCCGCTTGACTACTTTCTCTGTGGCATATACCTTTGCGATGGTGTAATCGCCCACGATTGCGGCCCACAGAGTGATTTGGCTGATCCATTGAGCTATTGTCTTCTACGTCTGGAAGGAGGAATAAACAAATAGCACAACTTTTTGCTGACTGCGCAAAATTCACGAAAGGGAGAAATCGCTTGCCAGTTTTCAAAGCATCAGCACCTCATTCTCACTCACTGGGAACAAAATCACGCAAATACCACAATTCCAGGAATCCCTTGCCTTTTCTATCCACTCTTGGAGTCTTTTGTTTGCCCCACACAAAGTGACTGTCAAACACTCCCCGACTTTCGCAGCTCTCCCTCAGAGCGAAGTTTCCCGGGAGCCGCAGAAAGTACTCCCACCGCTAGATCAACCACCCACGCATTGTTTACGCAATCATATTAATCACAAATATAAATAAATTAATCAATTTGAGAGATTTTGCGAAGATTCCCCGCACGAGTGAGGTTAGGTGGATTCCGAGGGCTTTTCCGCGGGCACAGCAACCCCCAAACAAGCATCCTCCGCGCTCACCATATGCTCCTCACGTGTGGGCAGCTTTTCACACTGAGACTGATTCACTATTTCTGTAATTTCACCTGGAAAAGTGCACTTTTCACACACTCGCGTTCTGAAGAGAGAATAAAAATAGACAGCCACCAAAACTGAGCAAAGCGCGCTCTTGCGGGCATCTCTGTCCATTCGCGACACACTTCACACCGTCGGATTTCTTGAAAATTCAAACAGCAACATGTGGTCAGCATCCGATAGCAGACGCCTCACAACCTTCTTGACGAAAGGCAAAAAAAAGTATTCTCGCCACATATTTTTTTATTTTCATATTTACAATACAAAAAGACATAAAATACATTACACACGTTCACATAAAAGCCCTCAAATTATTGTTAAATTGTCACTTTTGTTTCCTTTTCAATAAATTTCACAAATGGTACAAAAAAGACTAGAAAGCTTATCAGCCCCAAAATTTATAAATAACTTTCGAAATTATTTCTCGCTCTTATCATATGATTGTTCATTTTTACTTCATTTTTTATAAAACTTTTGCCATTAAGCTTCACCTTTCAAAGCGTGTATTATTTTCTATTCTCTCTTCAGTGATCCTCGTCTGAATGCTTTTCCTCTTAAATTTCTTTTGTGAATTGTGAGTAGTTCATCTCTCTCGCCATGACGATATGTGTTATCTTTTGTGTGCTGATTTGCAAATTCAAAACAATCATTAAAACGCAGTATAAACAAACGAAAAAGGATCGATGGGAAAGAGTCAATGAAGTGAGTGTATTTTTTTTTAAAGAAATTTCAACCTTGCCTACTCAGCATTTCATTTCCCTTTTATGTAGCTTTACAATAATACTTTAATCCATTTTGGGAGTCTCTCCACTAAAATATCCTCTTCTAGCATTGAAGAATATCCTATTTTGCCTCAATTAAATGTTAATTTTCCTCTTGCTTCTTCAGTACAACAGTCTTCGTTAAGTATTTGCTCTGTTTCTAAAATTCGACAAATTTCTCCCACATATTTTTGTTTTAGCGTTTCACAAAATGCATTAAATTTTCCTTTTGTCACAAGCAATTAATTTCGATGCTAAACTCCTTCTCTCTTGCAACATTTGCCCCATTATTCAGTGACAATTGGCACTGTCATTTTTCAAAAAATGTATGATTTTCAATGAGAAAAATGCACGAGAGAATGATTTGTTTCGCCAGAAATGTTAATATTATTCATATCATCTTACTTTATGCCCTCTCAATCAGCAATTGCAGCGACATTTCTACATCAAATCCTCCCAATTACATCATAAAATTAAGCTAGATTTTAGGTTAGCAAAATACTTCGTTTCTTCGTCGTTTCTTCAGCTGCATAACTTTCCAAAAAGTGCTGAATTGCATTCAAAAGTTTCGCATTGCAAACATCAGCAGTTCATTCAAACTATTGATTTTGATGCTCTTCGCAAACGTTATTAATGACAATTACAAGGGTTATTGGATGGAAAAGGGCAAGATTTGTTACATGGATGAAATTTCACTTATGATTCATTCGCCAGCAGCGCAGATTTACTGGTCGAACTAAATATAGTAATTACAAAACTTTGGTATATAAACTTCTTCATAATGAGATTACAATGAAATATTTTATTTTAAACTCTCACTGAGTGATGATTAAAATTGCATCAAGTGATGGAAAATGCATATAAAATGTGATAAAATGTTGCAGATATTAAGTCAAAAGTCACAACATTTCTTTGACTTTGACGCCACAAGTATTATCCTATTGAAAAATTGTAAAATAAATATTGGCAGACTCTCAAATATCGAGAAATGGGAGGAAAATAGACACTTTCCATTCTTCTGAAAATGCTTCACGAGTCAATTTTTTCTGGTTAAAAATATTCTCTTAAAAATCCCGTCAAAATTTTCACACATCGTCGCAAAATAGCGATTGCTGATTGAGCCGGCAATTGAGCTACCTATATTTTCACGGGGGCCCCTTACATAGTGTTATAGGGAGCGGCACTGGTGTAAGTCTTTCCGACAGCCAACTTGGTCAGCGGATGAGTCTTTCCGTGCTGCTGCTGTTGCTTCTTCGAGAGCGTCTTGGGCATGAGGATGGCATTCCTCACCGTCGGCGGAGGCACGGGCGGCCTGGCGTACTCATCCGTCCGGCAGTGGAGGCTCTTTGTCATCTTGCTGTGATTGATGAGAAGTGGCTTCGTCACGTGCAATCCAGGCGTTTGGAAGCTCTTGACCTCGAGCACAGACTTTGGCCGCTGCCTCGAGTGATTAGCGGGCGGTTTTGCTCGCATCTTCGCCACCTCGTACTTATCCACCAGTCCACGAACATTCGTATCCTCAGCTGTCGGCTGTGCGGCTTGACCACTGCGCGCAGACTTGTCCTGAACGCCAATGTGAATGGCAATGGGAGATGATGGCAGAGAGCGACCCTTCTTCTTCCCATTGGCCACCTCCTCGGCAGACGAGGCTTTCGCCTCAAAGTTCATCTTCAGACTCTGCACCATGCCACTGAGTCCCGAACATTCCTCACCCTCCTTCAGCGTGTGATACCGTGTCGGCTTCCTATCTGTCGTCTCATCCATCGAGTGGCGGTACTTTAGTGTGCGATTCGCGAGATTCCTCTGCTTTCCACTCTCCTCCATGCTCGTCGTTGTTCCAGCTGGCGCCGATGCAGACAATTGCACAAGTTGAAAGGAAGATTTGCGCGCCAGGAACTCCTCACTCTGACTCCGTGCCTGCGGAATTGGCTTCTCCACGTCCTCCTCCGCTTTTGCCTCATCACTGCAGATTCGCTTCACAAAAGATCGCTCCTCCAGACGTTGTTTGGTGCGCTTCACTGTTCCCGGATGCCAAGGAATCTCATCGCGATCATACGGAAATATGCCACTCTGACCCATGACGATCTGAGAGCCATCCTGATTGCCAGTCGGAGCTGCTACACGAATGTCATAGGAGCCCCATGAACTATTCCGCGATGGCAGCGTTCTGGTGTCTCCTGATCCCCAGGACGAGTGTCTAGAGGGCACTTCTCGAGCATCTCCCGGATATCCCAGCACTACGGCAGAGTCCACACTACTCCAGGAGCTATTTCGCGACACCACGTACTCCTGAGGATTGGACAATTCCACGACAGTAGCGTGAGTTGGTGGGAAAGTGGAGTGACGAGCCTGCTTCCGCTCCTCACGATCAAACACCCGATCCAGTTGCGATGAGAAGGGATCCTTCCCACCTGCCACTTTCCCCGGTGCCTTCTCCTCACTCTGCACACCGTCAACGAGTGCCGGCGCCTTGGTGGTCACATCAACTGGAGCATTTGGTCCATCATCTTGTGGACTATCACATTTTTCAGCACACTCTGTGCCAACATTAGTATTTACACTAATAAGATTAACACTACAGCTGCCATCGATCTCACGACAACCAACATGATCCTCTTCTCCCGGATCCCATGTCTCCTTTCTGGTCACCTTCTCACCCTCAGCAGCTGTGAGATGCAAACTGAGCGCCTTTTTCTCCCTCACCACCTTCACAATCCCCGAATTGGTGGACTCCAATTCACTCACAATGGACTTCACGGATGGCACAACGAGGGATTCTGTGAAGATCTGACTATTTGGATTGTGCTCTTGTAGGTGAACCACCTGATTCTGTGACACACTGTAGTTCTGACCGTTGCTGCACGGCAATCTCACCGTCTTCGTCGTGGTCGAACTGCCTTTCTTCGCCACTTTGGGCGGCCCAAGATTCTCCAAACTCTGCGACTGGGGCTTCGCCAGAGCCGTTCCTGTGACTTCAGCATTATTCGGGGACCAACTCTTCGGTCGACTCCCGATTTTCTTGAGATCCGCCCCAGACACTTGCAGTAAATTCCCACCCATGGCGCCATTCAGCGCCTGTATCAACGGTGTGGGCTCGCTGCCCGGCAACAGCCGAGCATCCTTCGTACTCTTCAGATTCGTCTCACTCTTGCTCCTCTGCAGCTTGTCCTTGTTCCGCATGGCGTACAACATGCCCTGGTATGTCTCCAATTGCGCCATGAAGCTCTTGTTGGGCTTTATGCACGTTCTCTTCTCCTTCACATGCATCAGTGCCCGATCAAAGTCCCAATTGTACGCCTTCATAGCATAGGCAATCACCACAGATGCCGAACGACTTACACCCATTTTGCAGTGCACCAGAACTTTGCTGCCCTGCTTCTTCGCCTTGGAGATATACTTGAACGTATTGTCCCAGTGCTTCAAGAGATCCGTTTTCTCATCATCATACACGCGAATGTTGCAATAGTCAAACATTCCCGGGAAGAAATTATCAATCTCCCTTGTCACATTCAGTATATGATGAACACTGAAAGACAAAAGCAATTTGTGGTTAGAGAGCAAAACAGAGGCAAAAAGTCAATAAAGCATACCCGTTGCGCTGCAATTCCTCAAGATTACTGGCATTCCATTCGGAGCCTAAGTAGACATGATCAAAGATCTCTGTCGGCGCGTCCATCTGGCCCAAGATGACCAGCATCTCTTGATCTATGAAGGACTTGAATTCACCCAAATCCATGTCCAAATGTTCCTCGAGGCGTCCGCGAATGTACTTGGAAGTCACCTCATCCAGATCCACTGACATCATGATCTCCTTGAGAGCTGTCCTGATCACACGCTCAGTCTCCTCTCGTTCGGTTGGTCTGCAAAGTGACAGGAAAAAATAATAATTCCAGTAAATTTCCAGACAGCAATTCTAGGCAGCCCAAACCACTTCACTTTCATTACATAATTTTCGAGAAAACTTGACTTTTAAACTAGACTCGCCGTTCAAATTCACTGATTTTATTCATTTTCTGAAAAATGTGTTTCCTGTCGACTCAAGACTAATGCAAAATTCATGCACGAGTTTTGTATTTCTTCAAATTAGTATTAATTCAATGTTTTCATACTCGGACGAATTTGTGCGTAAACCTCCAAATTATAAACTTAATTGTTGGCGAATTATGCCAGAAAAAAAATGCTTCATATTTATAGAATTTCGTTGGGGCTATGACTCTTCTGATGCTCCGTTTTCTTCAACATTATTTACACTGTTCAAAATAGTCTCCTGACTAAAAATCCACCTTGAATAATTCGCTAAACACTGCACAATCCTCACAATAAAATTCCATTAAAAAAGGTGTGATTACATGTGTTCATAGCTCGTGTGTTTATTCATCTAATTGTCGCGTTGTATTAATAAAACTGAGAGGGAACAGCGCGCTATTATCGTCTTGCGATAAGAGAATTGCATTGAAGAAAGAAAACCGAGTGTTTTCACAATCTTCTTTCACGCATTAAATATTTATCCAGGCAAATATAATTTGCATAATTCAATCATCGAGCGCTCTTGAGTGATCATCAATCGCGGAAATAACCCGAAGACGCACAAATAATGCACTGTCTTCAGCGCCAGCGATCACTCATGTCTTTGTTTATGACATATGTCAGTATATCATAGGGATCAAAGTTATTACTCACTTGTTCCTTATCGTGTCAGGCGACGGTGGACGCCTGCTCTCCAGCGAATCCATCGCATGCCACTCGTTGAGACATGAACGATCTGACTCAATGTTCTCCTCATAGTATGATACCCATTCGTGTGATGGGCCACCAGCGAAATAATTGTTTTCTCTAGCCTTCGAAGACACTTTGTGCAATGTCTGGAGTGCAGACCTTGAAGAAATAAAACAGCAAAATTGTACACTATCAATCATTCACACAGCATACATATATGCCAAAGGGTTGTGCAGAAAACCAGCCAACACCAGTGACCATGTTAGCAACTCTCTGATTGCCACAACTGCAATTTTAGCGAATAATCCTGTGTGCAATTACAGCATAGCGTGTTACCTTGTCGCACTGCTAAACTCTTAAATACCAGAAACCCAATTTATCCCCAATTCCTACAGTCACACAGATTTTTCAATCACTTCATGCATTTCGGAAGGCCATTGTGATTAATCACTTTACGCGCGCCTTTCCTCCAGCTTTTACACTCGGACTTGGTGTGGAATTATTGCAAAATGCTTCACATGCAACATTTCATGTGCTTCTCTCCTCTCTCTCTCTCTCTCTTTCTCACCCTCGGCATATTGTGGGATTGTTAATTGAAATAATCTACCTAATTGTGCGGAGAGTTGTTGTGCAGTGTGACAAAAAATGGTTCAGCGTTTGCAAAGAAAATGTGGGACAAGATATCCGGGAGATGCTGTGCGCGAGTCATCTTCCATCGCGCGCGCGCCCAAGAGCACTCTATAACACCATCAATTCTGGGTCAATTCTCAAGCCTACAAAAAACTTGTTTGTACCCGAGATAAACACACTTCTCATATCAGTGACACGATAGAGTGAGAAAGCACAAGGTGCAAGTCTTATTTGACTTGCTAATGGGCGCTTCTAATCACTCTGGAATACTTTCTTCACAACGCGAACTACAACATCACGTACTATTGCGATATATTTAAACAGAAAGTGTACACACAAGTTTTAAAATAAAGAACTGGAATTATGTCAGTGTTCTCATCATAAAGGAAAACAGGAAATTTCATTACACCTGGAGAGAAAATTGCACTAAATACTTTTACCTGTTCTCTTTTATCATGAGGAATCGGTCGCGACCGATACCGTCAATTATTCACTAATTCCATACATTATCCATCTGTCTTTTTGTCCATAATTAAACACCACTAGATGGAAACACGAGAAGAAATTCCTCCCAGCCATGCACCTTTGCTTCACCCCAATTACCCTCACTCACCAACCAGAACTTCCTCCGTGACTCATTCGCGTTATTTCCCGCCCCAAAAAAATTGTTCAGTCAAAATTCTTTCACTGCGGAAAATTACACTTAAATGTCTCATCAAAACATACCATTGTTAGCATGTTTCGGACATTCCCGTATTCCTCTCTGTCCCGTTCTTTTGTCGCTCACACTGCTAAATGCAAATTAAACATCTCGACGGGGAAAATGGATCAAAAATTTATTGCATGCCACAAAACCAGGAAGTACCGAAAACCCACTAATATCCTTGATAGTATTCCCATGGAAGATCTCTCAAAAATAAACCTGTGATTCATCGTGAAAAAGACCTCACTAATTGCATCAATTTAACCACAACTGTGTAATTACTTTAACGACATTTTTTGCTCATTTAAATATCTTTCCTCTTTTTATGTTCACCAATGCTATCTCAAAAAGCAATCCAATATACAACGAAATCTTTCCTTCATCTCACCATACTGCTTTTTTCATGTATGTTACCAAAGACACACCACGAGAGAAAGATAACAACTAATAGAAACAGTAATTTTCTAGCTCTTTAAATACATTTAACAGCATTTTTTTCTTCTTCTTTCAAGCAGCAATGTTAACTGATCGGCAGTAAAAGTTATTTATAAATTGAAAAATTGTTGCCAAAAAGCTGCCCAATTTAATTAAAATGCAATCGTTTTCCCCTAATTTGAAAGTGATAAATGATCAATGAAAATTATTGTTTTACCATGACTCAAATTTACTTTAAGTCAAGATCAACGGTTCTTCGAGTCAAATATGTCGTTTTTGCATCACTTTCGTATCAAGTCTTGGAAAAGCTTGAGCAATATTCCTAAACGAATAACGGCCAAAAATAGAAATATCAATCTTTTTCTATATCATGTCTTCTCTTAAGGAATTTCGCTATCATCACGATTTCGCCAAAATTAATTCAAACTCTTCGGGCAGAAACTCATTTGTTCGACTCCCATATAAAACGTCGCTCTCTCTCTCTCTCTCCGTCTCTGTCGAAATCACTCGACTGACCAGCTCACGATGGCGGCAGAAATAAGAACTCACGTCGACCTGTGGTCAAATTTGAGAAGAAGAGTCTTGAAAAAAAAGCATCACCCAATTGCCTCAATTTTCCATATTTGCAATTTCACAACAAAAAGACCACTCTCTTCTCGAAATTTACCTTTGAAATTAACTGCTCTTCGCCGAAAAATTAGACATCACACCATCAATTTGCACTACCTTGTCACTTTTATCGCACCACAAAACCGTGTGCTCAATATAGCTCTCTTCTTCATCATCCTCGCACTTGCAAATTGCTATTAATACCTTCACACAGTTCCGTTACCCCATTGAAGCATCTTTTCGTGGCCAACAATTATTGGCAAGATACCTCAATAAGTCCTCAATAACCATCGATTGCCATTTCCTAGCAATTCTTAACGCTTCGCCTCTTGAGAGATTCTCTATTATATTGTGTCAATTCATGCAACTTTTATTTTTAACCCACACACCATTCCAAGACCGCGAAGGTACGAAATCACACTTATTCACACAAATCTGCCAGCAATTCTCTTTCCAGCAACATTTGTATATCGCGCCATTTATTAAAATTGATTCACACGCCAGACTTTATAGGTGCTGTTGTGGATATTTTCTAAACACCGTGACGCGATTTCACTTTTCCCGGACATGAAGGAAAGGGAAAAAAAAGATGCGATGATTCAGAAAGAAGGTTGCTTACCCCTTTCGGAGTCTCCGTAAAACCATATTTCTTTTGCCTCTTCGTGTTTCTCGTTTTTCTTTCTTCTCTCCCTCTCACCAGTCGTCGTTCCAATAAATTAATTACAAAATTCCAAGTGTAATTAACAATTGTCTAATACCATTACTCATCATTGCACAGATAATAATAAATGCTTCTGTTCAGCTTATCACATCACTGCAATATTATTATTATATGAATTTTCTCCCCCTTTCCTCTCCTTTCTCAACACACAATAATTGAGAATTATAAACTGGATGAGATGAAAACCGACTATCCACTGATTCATTTCTCGCGGATCGTCTTTTACGGATGAAGAACAAAAACATACTGACAAGTCTTAATCATATATTGTGGAATTAAACGTGAAGAAAAGAACATTGAGTCTTTCGTCATCAACTCTCATTATTTTTTTTCTCTTATTTATCGTGGCGGATAGGAGAGAAGGTAACTTCTATACACGGACCATCGTGTCGACATTCACTCAGCCAATCACCATATAATTCTACAGTTTTACAGACTCTCCGCGCGCGCGATAGACTTCTTTTGTCAATTCGCGTGGAAATGACCGTCCCCCTGAGGCTGTTAATGTCATTCGTCCTCCCTCTCTGCATCCCATGTGAATTGTATGGTGATGGCGTTTGGCATAGTGGCAAAAAATGCAGACAGTCACAACTAATTAGGCATAAGAATAAGATAATTAAGTGGAGATTTATCCCAACAAAACTCCCAGAGAATGCGAGAGAGACACTAATTCTCAATCAACTCATAAAGAGAGTCAGGATATTAAACTGAATTAATCATTTCTTATTATTTGTCTGTATTCGCAATTGTGTAAATAGCTAAATACATATGTTATTGCTTGGTTACTGCACAAGTTCGTGCTAGGATTCGAGCATGCACAAAATTAACCTAATATTTTGTCAAAAAAGGATTCCTCCGCATAGCATTATCTCAATTCCTCTAAAACCCTGAAGTTCATAAAACCCAAAGCGACAAAAAGTGTCCGTGTTGCATAGAGCTACAAGACCAAATCGATTTTCAATGAAAAAAAGGTGAAGTTCAGTGAAGCTCATAAAGCTTCAAACTGATCATCGAGTCACCCACAAAAAACGCAACATGAACTTTTTTGCCAACCCAAGTGAGCAACAACTGCTTCACTCTTTCAGCTTTTCATGCGTTGCTGAACATACGAAAATGGAAAATCAACATTTTTTAAGGTTAAACCACTTTGCACAAATACAGCCACTCATGCCCCCATGCAGGCACCAAGTGTCTGACCAAGAGTCATACTTTCGCGGGAGTGAGAACGCGGCGTGGCTTGAGAGAGAGAAGTAATAATAGTATAAAAAGGAACAAACAGTCGATATGGACATGTAGAATTGGAATTTCTGCATGGTGGAATTATTATGGCAAGAGCTTTAATATTCGTTCTATCCGTCCTGGATTTTTCTTCTCCTCTCACACCTCAAATTTTACCATCCAATAACATCTATTTCTGGCTCTTTCGTGCTCGCGCCTCCGCTGTATTGTTATTTGGCGAGCACTATGTTGTTATGTCGTGATTTCGCAGCCTTCACTTCCCTATACCATGCCAATATAATGCAATAATTCCACACTAGGTGTATATAGCGTTCTTTCTCTTACTTTAAACAAAAATGTATAAAACATAAAGTGATTGATCAATAATTGATTTATGTTGATAGGCACATGAAATGTATGGAGATTGATGGGTTGAAAATTGGGAAAATTCATATCAACACACCATTTAATATGCCACCAACTGTACGTACACCAAACATTGTAGAAGCAGAAAAAAGGAAGTGATGGACATTGAAATTGAAGTGAATACAAAATAAAACAAAAGAACTCACCACATTGCCTGTACAGAAACTGGCTTGAAAATGTGTGTCCTTCCGCAAACGCTGACGCTGAATCCACTGTAAGTATTCCCCAAATAAACAATCAAAATGTTAGAGAAATGATTTTCGCGTGTTTCCCACAAAATTTTCTGTGCTCAAAACATTGTTTCCAAGCAGTATTTAATATAATGTGGCACACACAGCAAAGTCAGCAGTGAGAGTATATGGCAAAAACTCACCCATCTCCATCCAAACGTATTGATGTATCCGCCAAGATGCGCAACACCAAGCCCACTGTCGACTTTTCATTGCAATCAATACCCAAGAGACATGATTCCTCCTCATCGTAGCTCCTGCCACACAATTTCGCCGAGGCACTACTCTCGGCCTCGTCATTTGTACACTCTGAGCAAGTCACTTTGTCACACTTCCCATCCTTGTCCTGGCCATCCATGCCACAACACTTTGTTCTCACGTCACCCTTGTCATCCACTTGACCACTGTTGGACTGTCTGTGGCATTGTCGCGTGCACGGACAACTAGCTGTGACTTTCTTGTGCACTGCACCACTTGTTGCACTCCTGATGACCATCTGTGGACTCTGCAGTTTGTTCAAGTGATGCTGATGGCAGTCGGGCAGCGATAGAGTCTGCTGCAGACGATTCTTCACGTGGCGCGAGACAACCACCAAGTACCTTGTGCGGCCAGCGCGTGCAGACTCCAATTTCACGGCCTGCAAGAGGTGAGAAATGCTGTTAAAATCACACTATATATTACTGAGATTTTCACGCCTCTAACGAAATAGGTACTCAATCTGATTTTGATTCATTACGCCAATTTCACCTTGCCACGCTTCTCTGCGGAGCATCTGCAATTCTTCAAAATCATATATTTCTCAAAAACACGACAGGCCCCAAGGATACCACTTCAATCTTGAGCAACGCAGTGTGATGATAATTTTATACAATTTCATAATTAAGCTCCAACATGACTGAATTATGCGCCGCAAAGTTTGAGCATGATCCAAGGGCTTTTCTATATATCATTGCACAATCATGAGATACATTTATATTTCGCCGGTATACAATGTTTCCTCATCACAATCACGAGTCACAAAACTCAAATCCTCAATATCAATTTGATTATTATTGCGAAAAGTTGGAATAATCTTATCTCTCTCTCTCTCTCTCTCTCTCTCTGTTTTTCTGCGAATTTGATGAAATTCTCCCCACGGAAGAGATTGACCTTTCGTGGCCGTGTGAAGGCTTCTGCTTTAGAGATAAAATAATAATAATATCTAAAGTTATCGTGGTCGACGCGCCTCACGCGCTTCGACAAAATGTCATTACACAAGAGAAAATGTTAATCTATAATTAAGTTTAAATTCCACTTCCTGCCCATGATTTGCCCAAAATAGCTCCTCATCCTCATTGCCATATTGTGACCGGTCGCTTGGAAGGATGAGACAATTAATTTTTTTCATTTTTCCACCCCACTTGTCAGGGTCTTTTTTTTCCATTTGGGCGCGAAAAGACGCCCAGAGGCAATTGGCCACATCAATCATTTCACGTGCTATTGTTCCATTTAAGCTCTAAATATGTGGAATCCTTCCGCGTTAGAGCAATTTTGTGTGTGGCGATGAAGAAAAAAACCCCCAGCGTTTTATCACTAACAATTAAATTGCGTGTCTTAAGCACACAATTTCCAATTCACTCATATTATTTCTGTCCGTGTGCAAACAGCCTTTACTCTTTACAGATGGTCGAGGTCACGATTTATTGGCATCGCTCCAAAACGTCTCTCTCTCTCTCGCCGATCTCGGAACTGATTCGGTACTTTTATGGTCGCGAGAGGAGAGCACACACCGACATTACCCATTTATACGAAACGCATTTTGCACCCAAACTCCCCTCTTCCCCCCCCTCGCGGATGCACTGCGCGCGTCCACTGGTTGGCCAGGAAGACGGCTAGTGCGCAAATTTATGTGGTTGGAATTTTAAGCATGAGAAACATACCATTTTGAGCGTCTCCTCCGGTCGCAACAAATAGAACATGGATTGGAGATGCTGGTGGATGTCTGACGAATTGACAGTGCTCGATGCCACCTGACCTGACGGCGGCACCTGTCCAGCCGCCTGACCACCTCCTGTGTGACTCGACGACGACATGGATGTTGAGGACGAACACGTGGATATGACACTCAAACGGCCAAAATCACACGTGGCACGTAAATGCTCGTTCGATCCAAGCATGAGAGCTGATCCCTTTCCGGCAAAGTAGCACTCACTCAGGCTGAAACGGTCAGAAGGAGGAAGAACGCCATTTAGTTAAATATTCTCCTCACAAAGAATGCCAAATATGTGGAATCAGGTCAAAAGATTGCACTCAATCGTCTCAGTTCACACACAAATTTTACACACTGGGAGAAACGACAAACAACGCACCACGAATATTCATCGTGTCATCAACCATCATGACGAATTTTATATAAAAATACCACACTATATACGATGAGTCGGTTTAAATGGGAACCGTTTCGCCAGCACAATGCCGTCCACAAGTATTTTGCCTCTGAGACGATGATTTCTCACTCTCTTTCTCTCTGTGCCGCAGAATTTTTACGACTTTTGCATTTTCGTGTATATTTATATCCATATGTCCAATTTCAGGATATTATTCACAAAAGATATGTGACCAAATATCATCTGTTGGCAATGTGTATAGATATATATAAAATTCATTGTCATCCACAATCGTGCGGTGAAATGTGTACACAAAGCATAAATCAGACCCGCTATTCATTGAAAAGATAAGTGAAATTGTAAAATGTAAGCATTTATTCACTTTCAAGCAAATTCACTGTGTAAATCTCTTTCCTTCTTCTGCTGTGCGCTTTTTTTACGTGATCAATGTATGACAGTGAATTTATTCAAGCTCAGTTGGCACTAGGCTGGGTGTGTGTGCGCACGAGAGAAGAAAATTGTGACGTTGTACGACAAAACAATTGAATTTCATACGGCAATTCCGCCTATTTTGCTTTTCCACATTTTTATTTTTGCTTTCTATCCGCCCCTCCCTCACACACAAAGAAGTCTCGTGGCTAAATAAAATTTTCTATTTTCAAATTTCAAAAGTTCTTTCCACCGTGATTATGTCTACGGCCACGAATTACTGTGGGAATATCAAGAATAGGAACAATATTATAAATTTATCAGTGACTACATAAATCGGATTCCAAAACATTATTATATCATACAAAATTTCCTCCTTTTTATTGAAAAGCAATTCACGAGTATAATGACCATTATAAAACGCGTATTTCACATTCTGAGTAAATTTTGCGACGGATGTGCCAACATTTTAATATTCATAGCTTGTCAAACATTGTTCATTTGAAAGTAAATAGTTTTTGCATTCAATGAATAAAATTGTCATTTCTCCATCCATAGTAAAGTCAATTGATTTCGAATTCATCATCCATTTCCCACTTTCGTTTTCCATAAAACCCATTGTACAGAATCTCTGTCAACTGCAAGCCAGCTCAAACCTTCCACTATACGAACTGTAAAGTTCAATATAAATGTTTTTCCACTGAATTTATTATTATATATCTTTTACTATCACTTTTTTTTCTCTCTTACTGCGCCGTGTCTTTGAATAATTTATTTTTGTCTGATGAACCAAAAAAGTAAAAGGTCTTTTACATTTTTCCTCACCCATCAAAACACCACACCATTTATAACGGCTCAATAGTCACCCAAAACCCAGTCAATTGTAAATCTCAGTAAATATTTGCCTGTTTCAATTAATTACATACCCAATGATGAAGAAAAATTGTCAACACACGGGGCTTGACGTGAAAAATTGCGCATAAAGAGTGTAAAAAAATCACTCTTGTCCGTTTACTTTCTAAATCAGCGAGAAAAGACATCCATATGATATATTGTGAGAAGAAGCAAAAAAAAATGAGCTGCCTAAAGCCACCGCTGTGTCGCCTTGATATGATTTTGCTACTCTCTTGAAGTACGGTCGAAGGCAAATATACAACAAAAATATTCATCATAAAATTGCTACGCTGGACAAAACGTTGCGCTCTGATAACTTTTCAAAACTTGAAGGTTACCGTCTCATGTGCACACATCATAATTGGTATTGTGTATCAAAAAGCTTGAAGCTAATACCTCTTGATCGTCTTCACGTTCTCCTCTTCGTCTTGCCCATTGCCCGTTTCCTGGAATGACAGAGAAAAAGGTTGAAAAAAGATATACATGTAATTGCCATGAGGTTTTTGCGAATCCGACGCATTTGTGGGTAAATATGCTAAGACGTTTCTGCCTCTCTATCAATGTATCTGTACAGGAAATTTATATCATTTGTCACTTATTGTTAGTAGTGTAATTAAATATCTTTTCAGTTTTTTATACATCCATCCAAACAGGTTGAGTATCATTGCATAAAACATATAAATGTACACACGGGCAAAGTGTGTTTCTCACAGGCTTTGCGGCAACTTTGAGACAATTGACACATATTTTTTCTCTATTAGATAATATCTTCAATTGACACACTCACAGAGATGCTTCTGATTAATATCACAAGACCTGCTTTGATAATACTTGAACCAGTAACATAAATTAACCAACTCCAATAATCCCCATGATTTTGTGTATTAAGTGACCACAAACTGTCCTCGAAAGTTTATTTCAAATAACTCTTGTTCCTAAATGAAAGTGTTGAATTCAATTTCATATATTTTAGCCAAAACTCACATATGATTCATCCCACTTTGAAAATTCAATAGAGCACCACAACTTATCTGCTATTCTGGGAATAATTTATCGAATAATTTAATAGACTTTTGTCCTTAATAATATTCCCACTTCGAAACAGTTCCATTCCAATAAGATTTATGCCTCTTCAACGGATCTCATGTCGCATGGGCATGACATTTTCTTTCAACAGCAAAATTTACTGTGAATCTAGCAGTGAAGATTCTCTTTCACTTGATATTTTAATCCCATTGAAGATTACAAGAGATCAGTTTAAAGTTTATTAACGACATGCAACTTAAATAACACCACGAGTTCACTTTTCAATAAAAAGTCACACCGTGAGTGTAAAACTGTAATCGTGTCATTTTCATGAATATATCGTACGTTCTTTTTTCATTCTATTGCATACAAAGTAGATAATAATGCAAAAATATACACAATTCAATCAGCATTTCCCACACAATACCAGACACGACTGTGCAATATTTTATTTTAAATATATTGTCTGTTGGACGGAGGGTATGAATGTGCAAAAATCTATTAAGTAATTCCTATTATTTCCCTACATAATACACTGTGGCATGGGAGATAAAATCACTCCACTAACATCTTCATCATATTTTTACCATAAAATATATTAAGGCCCATGTGCCACAATACAATAAAAATAACACAAATTCACGGAGGGAAAAAAATTATACACATTTGTGTCAAATGTTTAAATTTTAATACATATTATTTGCTTCTCCCTCTCTTTCTCACTCTTTTCTCCACATTTAATAACATCATTGTTACTGTGTGTTGTATTTTGTAATAGGATCGATTATACATTAAGTATTGCAACACTTCTTTTTCACAGCATATATGTACTTATATTTTGATATACAAACACTTGCCGCTTTTCAATTGATGTGTTGTGGGAAAAAGATCATCCAGACTCTGTCTACATTTATGAAATATCTCACACTGAGCGATACAAGCTATTTTTTTCTCTCTCCCTCTTCTTCTGCCTCTCATCAAATTTATCTGAAGAACTCATTTAATCGTCGAAATGCTGCGCATTAGTTTGTCGAGACTTACAAGCGCGCGCGATAAAAATTGAAGGGAGTAATTTTTCCGTTCATTCACAACACAATCAGAGTAACAACAATGAGATTGGCGCTTCTGGACAAAAACGTCAATTTCTCCACTGTGAGCAATTGTCACTTAATTGCGCTGTTACATAAAATCCAACCAACAACTACGTGGAGGTAAAATGTGTAGTTGTGCAATTTGTATTTGATATTCTCATTTTCCATCATATCTTGTTGGGTTTCTTCATAAAAACCACAACACAGACACCCATATACATTATAATCTATCTCACTCACTGCAATGAATCACATTTGATCGCAAAATAGATTGCCAATTGAGCCATAGTAACATTATTATGTGTACATTTCTTCTTCACCCGAAAAATTTCCTACAACTCCACAAACACACAAAACCCTCTTGCACAGCACAGAAATGATTCGGCTCGTAAGATATGAGATACCGAGAATCTCATTACCAAGATAAGCCATCGACTTTTTCGCAAATGGGTGACCCATGAGTCAAGCATGTGATGATATGAGCAAATTTTTGAACACTTTCTGTGGAAGCAATTTAAAATTCCCAAGAGAAGAATAAATCTGCGCATCTTGCATGCAAGATTCGGACACAACCTCGGGCCACAAACACAAAGAACAACCTTCAAGGGTGTACAAGACAAAGAGTGCCCTTCCACCCAGGAAAATCAACCTCCTCTGCGTTTTGGGGACACATTTCAAAGCAGCCATAAAATCAACATTAATTCGAGAATTTTCAATTTCATTAACCCACGAAATGTTGGTACATCTCTCAAATGGAAACACAATGGATATTACGAAATAAGAAGATCAACAGATACCATAGACAGAAAACTATAAGGCATACCTGCAAACTTTCAATCACGAACAAGTCTTTCTAGACCGAAGATTCATTCATTGAATTTTAGTTGAAAGAGAAAATAAAAATGTCAGAAATATCACGGTGTTATTCAAGCCACCACTCCTTTTACCCACTTTCATGAAATTCTATAACGCGAAGCCCTAATTGAACTCATATATCACAAAAAGATGCTCCACCATCGAATTTTAGCCGACATTTCAATGTTGCTTCCGGTGTGTGATTCTATATCAACGCTCAAGGAGAATCTTCAATATATTAGAAAACGCAAGATTACATTTGAACTTGAATAATATTAAAATAAACTCAGTCATAATTTCTCTTCTTCAACTTCTTTTTGACAGCTCTCATCTCTTTGTTTATAAAACAGCCGAAGAAAGATTCAAACTTCAAGATCAATTTCCACAAGACGGAGGCCAAAATTCACTCATTTTAACCTATCAAACTTCAAGGCGAATATATTTATTATTTAATCATGAATAAACCAAGATTCAAGTTAAAGTTTCAATTTACTGCCAAAGTCAAGGAATGACTTTGTCTGTGGCGTTAACTAAAAACTTGCGGGATGTTTCACTTGGGTGAGCAGGAAAGGTAAAAGAATTCTTTTCCGCCAAAATTCTTTTCAAACCACAAGAAACCACATTATTATAATTTTTATCACGTAAAGTTAGTAGAAAGTCCCGTAAAAGCATAATCGACATCAGACTACCGGAACACATCTCAAGGGCTCTCAAATCATTTTCTTACATAATAGCGTGGCACATTTAAAACGAATTGATTTGTCTCTATATCAAAATTAAACTAAACACCGTAGAAAAGTCATTTGTTCATTTAATTCTAATTTTTGAAGGTATGATGAAATCCCTATAATCTGCAGTCTCTAAAACACAAAGCAGAAGAAGAAAAAAAACATTGCAAAAAATTGCCGCAATTAGAAACCTATTCCCAATACAAATTTCTACGGAAGCTCAGAATTAATTAAGTTTCAGTTGACTGTAAATAGAAGAACTTAAGCCCTTCACTTCACACGGAATCCCGCACTTTCCCACATCCGACACTTCAAAACCTATTCAAATATGACCTAAATAGTGTGATTCTCAAGTTTGATTAAATGTTTTCTATATATTTATCAGCTTTCTAGCATTCCATATTGCTTCGCTTAATCCCTCTCTGGGTGTTATCGATGCGCCATCGCATATGGGATGATAGAAAGAAAATCAAACTAGTTTTCTCGAGTAAATGACCAACGATAAGATATGGGGAAAGAGTGCAGCAACAATTTGAGCAATTCAGGAGGAATTTTCACCATTGGATCGTGTGGTATTGTCGTGAAACAGTAGCATCCGCTAGCGTACGTCTCTAAAAGTGAAATCGTCTCATTTGTGTGTCTCTCCCCTTGTCGAGTGAGTCTTGCATTTGACGCTACACTGCAAAAATATGTCTTTACGGTCCTACTCTTGAAAATTAATGTTGGGAGACACGACACTCTTGCCTCATCCATTCCATCTCTCTCGCCAGTCGTGCCTCTCATATCGCTCTGTACATACACCAAAAATAGTCATAACGCCAAGCAGTCTGCCGAATGCTTTTTATTCATCCATGCCTTATTGTACTGTGTGTCGCCTCTGCTCAGGCTCTTTCCCAAAGCATCACTGCCTATACACGACAAAATTAGCCTCTGCATCGGGCCATCGATTGAGTCGCACTCATTGATACTCACATTGGCATTTGCTAAATTGCTCCAAGAGTGATGTAGGTCACGAGGACGATAAGTGTCTGTGGCGTTTGTCATTGTGGGAAGTGTCTTTTGCCACCAGTTGATTACATTCTTCACCCGATGCCTCGATGAAGATGTACTCTTGCTTCCGTCTTCGTGATCTATTTCACAATTCCATGATGCTACAGGTATTCGACGATTGAGCGGCGTGAGAATATCCAACATATTTGGATATGAGATGCACAGCAGACACACACTTTATTAATAAATCTCACCACCAGAAAATATTCATATTATTTTCTCCTCTCTCTTTCCCTTGAACTTCCAACAAGGAGAGAAATCACACAGTATTTACGACAAAACACACATTCGGAAAATCAGCAACACAAAGAGAATCACGTCTCCTCCTCTGACACTTCTTTGTCTTTTTTATTCTCTTTCATCCAACAGATAAATTAAGTGTTGCTGCCGCAAAAAAAGAGAAGAAGAGACACACAAACAAGAAGAAAGGAGTTCGTCCACCACTTTTATCGCGATTGCCACGAGAGAAGAGCAGACAGAAATCCATCAATCGCCAACGAGAATCACAGAGAAACTGAGACCCGCAGAGCACTTCTTCGACACACAAAGTCGCCTCTCTCAAACACACAACACACGCCGCAAACGTCACAGATATAGCCTCTGAGCAATTCAACACAAAAATTACAACACCAAACGTGGGGGAAAGCCTCTTCGTCAACTGAGCCAACGCTGGGGAAAATTACGACGACATTGCGCGCAGTTTCTTTCAACTCATCCCCAACAATTGTGCGCAAACACACAAACACACGTGCGACACACAGGGATATTTTATTAAATATGTATGTTTACATCATGCCAACGCATCAGTGTCTGGACACACTGTCAGACGCACATTTTGCAGCAGAATTGCTCGCCTCCATCAATGCAGCTCGCACTCATCGAGCCAATTAGAAAAAGAATCCAAGAGTGCATTCATTTGTATACACACACAGAATGGCAAACAGGGAGAATCATCGTCTTGAGAATCTTCTAAAGTACACAATCTTCTCTGCATAGCACTCTCATCCATTCCCAACTTATCAACGATTAATTGAATAGAAGAGACTCCTCTTCCAGACCACTGTTCTATTTCAATTCATCACACATCGCATCCTCCCCACATGATCAACACAGCTCAAATACACAATGTTTGATGTTGTGCTGTGGAAGAAGATAATTTCATATCGAAATTGGGTTAAAACACTAATTAAACGCAATTTATTTATTCAACAAAATTAAGTGATTTGTTGTAAAAATAGTTCAACGACTACAGAGAAGCTTCAGACCCTCCTTTCGCCCTTCCCTTCGTGTTGTGGCAATTTTCATCAAAACAAAGCCAAGAGGAAAATGTGTAATTACCTTATATCGTCATTTTAACAGTTTTCACGAAAGCATTTTAGACGTTGAGTCATTTTTGCCGCGAGTTCAACCATTCGTCACAGGTAAAATTGCAACACTTTTTTTTCTTTCTTATGTGCTTTTAGCCTGGTGAAACTCAAGGGCATTCCTGTTATCGTATCGTGTCTAGGTGTGATAACAGGAGAAAAAGATTGACTCAGTGAGTAAATAATTCTTTCAGGAAAGATTTGCTCAAACGTTCAATCAAAGAGAATATTATAAGGACTGACGATATTATCTGCTGTTATTGACCAACATTTATAAAACTCTTGCATCTTTTGCCACACATGGAGAAATTCAGTGGAAGAATAAAGCAAGTTTTCGTTCCCTCTCAATTATAAATTTACTTCAAAGGCGCTACCATAGTGTTGAGTCACTATAATTGCATCCAATAATTGATTGCCCTCGTTTGTTCCCTCTCTAAAAAACAACTGCTATCAGATGTAAAAATAATCTCGTGAAGAGTGAAAACTATTCCCAAACTTTTATCCTCGATAAATTACATGTTATTCTATTTGAAGAGCACACTTTTGTAGCAATACAAGTCAGCTGAATGTCTCGTAAACACGGCAAGACAACTTTACAATAAGTAATCAGTGAAGTGAACCCTTGAATGGAACAGAGGTAAGACCCATTATCTCTGATACTCGTGTTGTTTTTGTTTTGGAAATGCGTTTCATAGGAAACCAATATGTCTCATCACCTTAGGCCACTTTCCTATTGGCCATTGGCATGTCCTCTGGTCAAATTCCCATTCAAGCGTCGTTCCACTTCATACCCAACTTTGGCAGCCTTTCTTGCCGCTCGCCAAGAGAACATTCCTCAGCCATTCTCGAGAGCATTGTCCTAATTCAAAGCCGCCCATAAAAAAAAGTGTGCTTCAATCGGCAAAAATGCGCCGAGAGTAATTAAAAGCGATACATTCTGGGTGCTGTCCAAAAAAGAAGACACTACAATGAGCCTCTCTTATGGGTCAGCCCAGAGACGGCGGCGGGGCGCAAAAAAGTACTCCCGTTAGCGGATCACGCGTCAGGAGATGACGAATTGCCGCAGACGCGTTCCCCCCAATTGGCGGGGCCTCATTTGCATGGCATTTTGACGGACTGTGGGAGGCAATTGGACCTGGAGACTCGGCGTGAGTGGGAAAAGAGCTCGGATTCCGAGCCATTTCGGTCTCTGGGACTACCCAACCGCGCCTCATCGTGACCATCGATGGGCAACCGCGCGACTGGACAGGAAGTGCCCGAAAAATGCGGAAGGGCCTCATGGGGCGCCTGCACGTTAGGGCAGATTCTCACCTGCAGTACTCGAGGATCCCTCTGAATTGTCAGCAGCGCCATCACGTCTCCCGGGTCTGCAGCGCCCACGCGGGACTCCGCCACTCTCCAGCTTCTTATGCAACTCACCGCAGCACCGACTCTCACGGCTCCAGCAGCATTTTTAGCCACTAATTCTTGCGCGATAGACGGCCATTTTTTACACACTTCCCCGACTCACAAAGGCCACCAGCTTCACCCCCGGAACCACTCGGTCCCACCTAAATTCAACACTTCACCACTCGTGCACCACCCACCGACGTCCCCGGTACGCTTTTCCGTCCGAATTTCCGTCCAAATAGCCAGAAATGTGGTCAAAAATGCGAGACAAAATGCTTCCAGATTTTCCAGTGACACTATACAGCGAGTTGCCCGATGCGCTGACTGCGAGAAAAACTGTCCGAAAATCAAACAGCTGTTTCGAAGGCGCCAAGTATATTTTCGAAAATTGTTCAAATGTGTAAGAAATCCCGGAAAATGCTGAAAATTTCGGGTGGGGATTCGCATTACCAGCTCTTAAGGGCAGAATACGAATCCCCACCCTCTACCCCATCCCACTTGAGTCATCCGGGAGTGCTGGTGGTGCGAAATCTGCATGCAGAATCCGCCCACTTACTCCATCGCAGTTCCGGCTAAAGGGTCGCTTGAGCCCTCACTTGGCGGAGGAGCACCGCTACCTCCCGTGCCGCTGTCACTTGCAGCAGCTTCCCGCGCAGATGGCCCACTCTGGCTGATAGTGGCCAAGTATGTCTTGTTCTCCTCCTCTGATAGAATCTGGAACGGAGTTCCCTTGCCCACAATAGCTATGGAGACATTCTTCTCAGTGAGATTGAGTTCATTCGGGAGCGTGTCCCGCAGCGCCAATAGACCATGCTCTATCAGCTTCTTGAGGTCACACGTCGGGAAGTTCGCCAGATGCTTTCCCAAGTACGTGCGAGCGCTCTGGGAGCGAGATCCGATAGACATTGCCTTGCAATTGAAGTAGTTGGCGCTGGGACATACTTGGAAGACATGGGGGCCCAAATCCTGCGGGAATCAGCGAACATTAGTAATCAAATAGAGAGATTACACTGGAGAACTTACATCGTAGCCGACCACGAGAAGTCCCACGCCATAAGGACGCCTGTCGTAGCGCTGGGTGCAGACCTGCATCTTATTGCCCAGGTTTATGATCAAGCGATTCACTGGGTAGTTGGCATCATAGGAGTACTTGTAATTGAGGCACTCCTGGCGCATGTAGCGACTAAAAACACACAGAATCAGTAAAGAATACTCCCCAAAACCTGCTGACTCTACCTCAAAATCCTGGCGTCAGCTGTTATTCCAGAGATGGAGATGCCGAGATGGTCATCAATGGGGATGATCTTCTTCTGGTAAGAAGCCAACTCAGATGAAGCCCTTTTGAGAGCGATCAGAATGGCGTGATCCTTGTTCTTCAAGCCAACAGTCGCCGTGCCCAGCTTCACCGCTTCCATGGCGTACTCCACCTGATGGAGGCGCCCCTGAGGGCTCCACACAGTCACATCACTGTCGTACTGATTGCGAAACTGCAGGGCGACACGGGAAAAGAGAGATTTTGTGAGGAAATGTTAGAAAATGTGAAGTCACTCCCGGAAAAGCCACACGAAGTAAGGTTATGCCAAAGGCTTGCTGATTTTACGCAAAATTCCCAAAGCCCCCCTATTCCCAGGTGCAAAACAACCTATCTTCAACATATTGCAATAATTTCCAATCCAATTTTTACCATTTTTCCTCAATTTCCACAGCTTTTCTCCTCGTCGTGCAATGACAACACACTTTTGTTTTCCGATGCACGGCCAACTTCACTCCCTTCATCGGGCAATGCGTCAGCTGTCAAAAAATCACAGTGCAAGTTTTGCGAAAAATACAAGAAGCTCAAGAAGAAACCGAAATATTTTGTGAATAATTTATTTATTTGTGATTTGCTGTAGTGAATTGCTGGAAAAAAATGTCCGCGGTTGACTCTGATAGCAGATCCGAGCGGTGGAACAGGGTAAGAATTGTGTGACAGTGTGAAATATGGTGAAACAATGATGTTGGCGTTTTGCGCAATTTGTCTGGCTTCTCCAGACGATCTTGTGTGCTAATTTCTCAGGAATTCCTCCAATATTCGAGCAATTTCTGGCCTTCTTTGTCCTTTAGCGTGGCTGAGGAGTTTTTGTTCGGTTAGTCACGCTGAGTTCCCCTGCGAGGAATCTCCCAAAATTCAGTCAGTATTGACAAAAGCGCCTTATCAGCGTGAACTGGGTTTCCTGCAACAAACTCGGGGGATCAGCTTTTGCCTGATATGGCTTTATCAGGACTACCACCTTATCGGGCCTCTCAATTTCTGCACCTTTTCATTCGTTAAACACACAAGTTCAAGTTGTTCACTATTTTCTCAAGAGGAATCACGTTGCTTGGAAGGAATCGCAAGCAATTCTTCCTTATCAGGAGGCTTTTCAGGGAGTTTGAGTATATCGAGAAGTGGATAAATTCTGTGCTATTTAATGTGTTTAAATAATAAATGCCAGTAATTAGTTTATTAGGTTGTCTTTGAGAGCTTTAAGAGGTAATAAAGGAATTATCTTTCATATACAGTGCGTGGCAGAGTGCTCACTGATCGTGAATAAAAGGAAATTTTGAGCCTGTATTTTGATAGCAGATGATTTTGATCGTGACTGTGTTCCTTATAAACGGCCTTTTAGTCATGTGCTGTATCAATTAAAGGGGGCGGCATGTAATTTAGGCGAAGGCATTGATTGATTTTTGTCGCTTCTTCCATTTCAGGCAGTCTTGGGACCGCTGTCGAGTGACTTTCTGCGCATCACGACTCCGCGAGATATCCAAGAGCAGGCCGACCGCCAAGCCGCCCTGGCGCTCTATCAGCAGCAGACAGCGCTGTCGCCCTACATGCCGGCCAACATTGTGGGGCGCCTCAGTATCACTGTGGCGCAGGCGAAGCTGGTGAAGAACTATGGCATGACACGGATGGATCCCTACGTGAGGATCCGCGTGGGGCACTTTGTCTATGAGACACAGACAGACCCGAATGGCGGAAAGAATCCACGGTGGAATCGCGTGGTTCACAGTCAACTGCCTGCCGGTGTGGCGTCTATCTCGTTGGAGATCTACGACGAGTGCAGCTTCACGATGGACGAGTTGATAGCGTGGACGGAGGTGAAGTTGCCCGAGGCTGTGCTGCGCGGCGACACGCACGAGGACTGGTATCCGCTGAGCGGGAAGCAGGGCGACGGCGTGGAGGGCATGATTGACTTGGTGCTGAGCTTCCAGCCCGCCTCCGCCCAGGGAGCCACCACTTACATGTACCAATCCGTCGCTCCGGTCGTGATGGTGCCCAGCGTCACGGGTCGCCCAATGCCAGTGTTTGTACACCCGCAGCAGCAGCCACAGATTGTTAACTCACACTACCCGCAGCAGCAGCAACAGCAGCAGCCAGTGCCAGCGCCGCCCCAGACGGCGCCCCTCACGGAGGAGGACCTCAAGCAGATCCAAGAGATGTTCCCCAACACCGATCGCGAAGTCATCAAGTCCGTGTGGGAGGCGAACAGAGGCAACAAGGATCGCACCATAAACTCCCTCCTGCAAATGACTGACCAATAGATTGAGCAGTGCTCCAACCACGTTAGATAGAATCCACCCACAATTCCGATTTCTCACGCTTCCACCATCCTCACCAGCCACACCAACAACACCCCCAATCGAACGTTGATTGCAGAGCAAATCCTCGCCACACGCGGAAAGGTATTGATTGTGAGGAATAAAACATGTGTCATATGTAAGAAGCAGAGTTGAAAGCCACCGTGGAAAAATAGCCTTGAGATGAATGAGTCAGAGATTGGATCTCCGCGCAAATGTGAGTCATTGCCAGGGAGAGTGGCGTAAGAAACCTACAGATTTCCAGATTTATCACCAAATTTGAGCTATAAGAGTTTTGTGGGATCGACAGAAGTGAGGTCAGTACCATCAATTGACCACCAATTGACATCAATCGTCAGGCTCTGTGTGGCTAATCAAGAGAGTGTCTGAGAAATGTTTCTTTTGTCTGTGTTAATCAACCTTTTTCTCCCTTTTCCTCTTATTGTTGCCTAAAAATATATATATAAATATATTTAATTTGAACTGAAATATAAATAAAATGTAAAATTTCCTGTCTCATTATGTTGCCAAAATATTAAATAAAAAAATTCGGTGTAGTGAACAAGCAGAAAAAGAGCTTCCCATTCATCTTCTTCAACATTCGAGATTGTCTACCTCAATATTTTCCTTACCTGGGACAAAACATCCATCAAACCTGTGTGAATGCTTTGACCAAACGCGCTCTTCAGTGCAAATTCGTGACTCTGTAAAAAAATTCCAAAATGTATAAAAAACACTTTACTGTACTCGTTGGGGAGCTTCATGTACTGATGGCATTTCTATATAAAATACAATTCATTTGAGAAATAAACATTGTGGGGAGAAGCGGCGAAGGCGAGATGGGAAAAGTTTATGCTCATAAATTGCATATTTGTTGAACCTTAACTGTTTTCTGTAATGCTCAAGTTCATCGTGTCATTACACTTTGGCGCTCATCTTCAACATCGCCAATCTAGGCATTTATTATATAGTCTCTCTAATGCAATTTGTCGGCGAATGCGAGGCCACCGGAGTCGGCGGACTGCTCTCCAAGGCAATCCCCACAAGGTGGGACTTTTTCCTGTGCGGCAGAGCCGCGCGTAAGTCTCTGCCCCACCAGAAGACCCACCATTGACAGTGCTTTTCCACGTTTCAGCCAATTTCACGCGAGCTCCAGTTCATTTGGCGCGCTCACAGCGAACAGCAGCACGGCCGTTAGGCACCCACACCTCGCCACTCTCTTGTCACCTGACTACACTCTCTCGCGGCTCCCCGGCGGCCTCGTCACTCGGGAAAACTGTGAAAAAGACACACGAGTGGCTGGGCGAATTAAAGCGCAAGCGTTCCGCATGTCAATAAAGCGGGAGAGTCACAGAGTGTTGTTGCGCCGCATTCGATTCACTCCCCCACACAATTCGCCACACAATTCCATCAGTTCCATCAACAATCAGTGAAATACCAGCAGTGAGAGGTGTTTCCTGTGCACAGTTTCCCGTGACCAGTGCCACAGTGAGCAGGAGACAGGCCGAAGCCACCTCGAGAGCCCCTCGAAGCGCACCAAATTCGACTGCCAGGTGTGGTTCCCATAGTGTCTTATCAAGCGGACTGTGCTGAGGCAACAGTCCCGTAAAATTTTAGAGACTTCACAGTGTGTGTTTGCGCCCCATCGTAAAGTCTATCTATCAAGAGACTCAAGAGTAAATGACCAAGAAATAATTAATATTTTCGCTCATGTGTTGAAGAGTCGTTTTGCCGAGGAAAAAAAGTAAAAGTTCAATGAGATTTCTCAAAAAAAATAAATACATTTTACCATCCAAGCCTTCAATTCTCTCTCACTTTTGTGAAAGTTCTCTCTCTTTGCTCTTTGGCAAAAATTCACGCACTAAATGCTGAAAAAATATTTTTCACCTCTCCACCCAATCGGCCAATTTCGTTTTACTTTTTTTCTTCTTATTTATATAATACTCTCGCACACACTCATTAGCCATTACACCAAAAGAGCCTTCGCGCGACTTGGAGTCTTAATTCAATTTCTCACACGATATCACACTCTCCCTGCCACCTCACTAAATGCAAATTCCCTCTCCGCCCAGAGCGCCGTGTGTGTGATGTCATTTTATATTAAAACGATAAGTGTGGGAGGCTTCTCCGGTAATGAAATTTCCTCATCAGCTTGCACAGCTAATTGGCTAATGTAGACTTAAGAAAATGCTATCGAGCCAGTGTAAATTACCTGCGACTTTTCCATCCACCTAGGACATGTTCAGGATCTGCGGAGGCAATCGCTGAGGATTACACACTGAATGAGGGATAAAATGCCAAAGAGATATCTATAGACACTCCTGCCCTTCCTCAGCGGGATCACCTTTTCCACCAGCCGTGTTTGGGTAAGCTTCAACTCTCCTCTCTGCACCCTTTATTTGACTTCACGCGTTAATTGATTGCCCAGGGAAAGGTTAAAAAAAACCTCACTGGTTGGGCGAAAAACGGCGTTTTCCAACCCTCAAGAGGAATAAGAGAAAATAGCACACAAAATGCAGACTTAAAGTCAATATTAGTCACTGACCATAGAAAGAGAAACAGTTGATAACACCAAAAATGCACTCAACTCCATCGGTATTGAGTAATTTATCATCAGACTACCAAATAAATCCGAAAGGCGCCATCGCGTAATTCTCATATTTCATCATAAGCAATATTAAAAATAAACCATTATTTTCCAAAATACTGTGAGCGTAAGAAGAAGTTGTGAAATACAGGTTGATGCATTTGAAAATAAACATTTAAACTGTGTGTCAATTAAATTCAGCACGACAAAAGGCACTCAAAGCAAATCTCCGTGATTTCACCAAAAAAGGGTTGTTCATGCCAGGAAATTGTGGTGGAGAAAACAAACAAGAATTTGAATAGAAGAGATTTTCTGGCTCCAACACTTTCAATTTCCATCTCCTTGCGGGTGCTTCTTGGCGAAAATCCCTCGAGTGGGAGAACTTATTGATTTCCTCTCCCAAATTCTTCCTCAAGTTGGTCATTTTTTTCTTTCGGCAAACAGATATAAATGGGCGGTCGCATTGGCATAAAAATGAAACATAAAACCATCGTGAAATATCAACTATTTTCCATTTTATAGACATTCCATTAGCTCTCCTCTTTTCTCTCAAACCTCCTGAGCTCATACATTGAAGCAGCAGACAAATCTTCTAGAGTTTCCGCAGGGAATTTATCAGAAAGCCTCCTTTATCCATCACATTCGATTGTTTGAATAAAATTGCTTTCAAGACGAGGAGTCGCTTCAAATGTCCTTTTCTCCATCTTCTCTGTCACATGTAAAGTCCGGGAATAGAATTTCTATATGATATTAATGCTATGAGATGATTAAGAACGGCAGTTCTTCTGCAACTTGTCGCGCATCGAGTACATTAATTCCCGAAACTTCATCACATCGTCCATGTGGACTTTCTCCTCCTGATTTTTCAACACAGTCTCTATCAGGATAACAAATTCTTTCACCTGCAACACATATGCAACCATCATTGGTCAGGCAATGCCACCTTCTGTAATAATATCCGGGGAATCTTACCGTGTAATCGGTTTCCTTCTTTCTCATCTTCACAAAAGAACACTGTGGAGCGTGCTTTTTGTGCTCCACCCACGGATCATCTTCCTCCTCCCAGCCGTCCAACTCCTTCCCGCACACGAAGCACACCGCACTTTCACTTCCGGTGCAGTAGAACCCCGCCTGGGCCATCTGAAATGCAGGACAAGGCTTTTATTGCGCATCCGGAAAGACAAAAAAGACAACAGAAGCCAAACCTTTCTCTCGTTGCATTTCTTGCTCTTGCTGAATTGCCAATTTTTGAAGGATTTTAGTCTCTGCAGCTCAAACAAGTAGTCGAAATTATTGTTGTTCATCCTAAAAATGGTTCTATCGCTAGTTTTTACTACAATTTTCCACGAGAAACTCAGAAAAATGCTCCACACACGATGAAAACAAACATCAAAATTCAAAGACGCCTTCTTCCCCCACTCTTCAAACTGCCATCTGATCGACACTTTTATGGCAGTAAAAACTGATCGACAATTTAAAAAACTAACGTCTCACACGTATTCTTCATCTCTCTTGCAGAATGATATGGAAATGGACTACAAATTCCTCTTCAAAGTTGTTCTAGTGGGAAATGCAGGTGTCGGCAAGACGTGCTTGGTGCGTCGATTCACTCAGGGCCTCTTCCCACCTGGCCAGGGCGCCACAATAGGTGTGGACTTCATGATAAAGACAGTCGAAGTGGACAATGAGAAGATCAAGCTGCAGATCTGGGACACTGCTGGTCAGGAACGGTTCCGTTCAATTACACAGAGTTACTACAGATCAGCGCATGCCTTAATACTGGTCTATGACATAAGTTGCCAGGTAATTGGATGGTCAATATTGCGTGGAAAGAGGCGGAAATTACTGAACACGTGCTCTTTTTCCCCTCCACAGCCCACTTTCGATTGTCTTCCGGATTGGTTGCGGGAGATTCAGGAGTACGCGAACGCCAAAGTGCTGAAGATTCTCGTGGGTTAGTATACCGTCTGCAGAGTCAGCGAAAATCCAATGAAATGCATTATATAATCGAATTGCAGGCAATAAAACCGATCGCGATGACCGCGAAGTTCCCACGTCGATTGGCGAAGAGTTCGCCAAGCAGCACGGGATGTACTTTCTGGAGACGTCGGCCAAGCAGGCGGACAATGTGGAGCGACTGTTCTACGAGATCGCAGCCGAATTGATTGAGCAGGCGCGCAACAAGGAAGTTCCGCCGCGCAGCGAAACCGGCGGTCTGGCCAATCTGGGCAACAAGTCCAACTACTTTAGTCAAAGCAACTGCTGTGCCAGCCTCAATGTGGGCATGAGCGGTGGCGGTGGCAGCAACTGAGCTAGGATAAATACCAAAATCAAAGGAACAGGAAGAGATAAAGCTGTTGAATGTGTGATCACTTTATACATGTGTTAATTTATTAATTTTTAGAAAAGAGACATCAATGTTTTGCCGTTGAGTTTCCACCTTTTATCACTGATCGCGTGTGAAATGCCTCATTCTTCTTCTTTTTTGTCTATTGTAATGAATAAGCTTTTACGTTGTTTAATAACACACCCCCTGAACACCTGGACAAGAGCTTTGGACTGCATACAGTCGCGAAAGGTGATTAACTCGATTTTATTGTGTACATATCGAGGCGGTATTTGAATTGTCGGCGGGCGGATCTTTACAAAAATCTAATAATCTCACTGATGGCCAGAGATCTCTTTTATAGTTATGTTCATTGACTTCTTGTAATGATCCCAAGATCCCTGTCTTATTTTTGGAAACAGAGATGAGAAATAAATTAATCCAACGACATCCCATTCTCTTAACGTCAATCCAGCACAATAACATCATCATCGGGATGCAAACGTCGTGGATTGCTCGTGGCCGACTTTGCCGCCTCCTTCTTCTCATTCAGCGACGCATTGGCCTTCTGGCGCTCCGCCAGCTTTTGCTGCAGCGTCTTCGTGGGTGAGCCCATCATCGGCGACGTCATGGGGATCTGAGGTGACTTCGCGGCAGAGACAGACAGTGCCGGAGACGTGGGCAGTGGTGGCAAGGAGAAATTTGGCAGTGATGACTTCGGGATGTCCACCTTCGACTGACTAATCTTGCTGCTCGAGATCAAGCTCTGCGCCGAGATCACCTGAGTTGTGTCGCGTGATCGTGAAGATTGTGTCTTCTTGCTGCCACTTTGAGCAGGTGGAGTGCCTGGGAAGCTCGCCTTGGGATTGCTGAGGAACTCCAAGTAGGAATCCCTGTATGTCTGCAGTCTCATCATCTCCGCCTGACTCGGCATGCTCATGCCAGTCTTGTACTGCGACACCAACTGACTCCACTGGCTCATCGACGTTATGGGCGGAACATTGGCGGCTGATCTGGAATATGGCGTAGTTCGCTTCCTTGCCGTTTTGGCCTTTGAGGTGGGATTTGGCGGCAGAACTCCTTTGTGGAACACATCCAGTTTCGCCATTTGGCTATCCATACTCGCAGGCCTCTTCGGCGGCTCCATAGAAGGCGTAATGGTCAGCGATTTAGGCAATTCTGACGGCAGAGAGAAGCGAGATCCCATAGACGGCATCTTGATCTTATTCGCCACGGCATTGATGACTTCCTGAGCATAACTCGGCTTTGACGAACTCTTTCCCGCCTCACCGCCTTTTTGTGACTCCTTCGTCGCACATTGCTGAGTCGGTGTGATCGTCAGCTGCCCACCGCCGAGGTTAATTGTGCTGGAAGTTGTCTTCCCACTAGACGCCACCATACTAGCCGCTGAGGCGATGATGCTCTTCATATCAACTTGAGGTATTTGAGGAGTTGAACTGGATTTTGACGCTTTTGCCGACATCTGAGGTTGAAGTGTCGTTCCTGACGGCAATTTCGGTGTTATTGAGTTCATTTTCATGCCACCCAGACCAAGCAGAGGATTGGGCAGTGATGGTAGACTGGGAACCATGCCCAGACTCGGTGCCAATGCCATCTTATAGTACTCAGCCAGGAAAGAGTTCATCCCCGATTCTGAGCCAGAAGATCCGAATCCGGCTGAAGAGAAAAGCGACGGATTGGAGTACATTGCCATAAAAGTCGCCAGTTGAGAGTCCAACAGTGGATTAATCGTGGATGTTGTCGTTGTCGCTGAACTGTTCTTACTGCCCGCCGGACGTCCTCGAGGCCTCGACAATCCCGGAATATACGTAGACTTGGGAGTTGTGGTTGTTAGTGAGGCAGTCACCATTGTTTGGCTGATCTTCGTAGATGCCATGCCAGTACCGAGGGAAATCTCCCTGCCAGCACCATCTGCAGTCTCCTGATTGTGAGTATGCTGAGGATTTCCCAGGGCTGCCTGCTTCTCTTGCGTTCTCCTATTGGTCATTTCCTGCACGCAGAGTTTCACAGCCAAGTCTCCTAAGTGGATGTTGTCAGGCAACTTGGGAATCTTGTCCTGAATATAGCATTTGTATGCATCCACCAACACTCCCATGAAGATGTTCTCCTTCTGTTGCATATGCTTAAAACACTTCCGATGAGTGGTGTATATTTCAATGATGAGATCCAGCAACTTCCCATCGTTCCTCTCATCGCTTCCGTGTCGCTTCAGCAGACTCCTGAATGACTGCACACAGAAGGACACCGCCTGCTGAAAGAGCTCCTTTCTCTCTGTGTCCTTGATGTACTTCTTGTCCGCCTCGGGAGATCTGTGCAGCTGCAGTGCCAACTCAAACAGAATCCTATAATCACAATTCGCTTTCAACACATCCATCAACACAATCACACATTTGGACAGATGAGAGGCAAAACTGCCCGGACGATCGATCTCCGAGGAAGGATTCCGCCAGATTCCATTGAAGAAGTTATTGGTCTTGCGATCAACGAACAGCCCCTGGATTCTGTTACCCAGCGTCGTTGTGTAAGTGCCCAGGAGCAGCTGCTTGGACTTCTCCATGGAGCGCATCTTCTCTGGCGCCGTGAGATAGTGATGCACCAGCCGATGGACAGACTTGAAGTGTTCGGGAAATCGAGCCAAGCACTCCTCAAAATTCTTCACGCACGCCTTATAGATCGCCTCCAATTCATCATCTGTCAGAGGTGTATTCTTTTTCTGCTCATCATCACTTGACGACTCAGATTCCGTTTCAGTGTCACTGCTTCCAGATTCAGAAGAGGAACTGGAGGAGGAACTGGACGTTCCAGTAGTGCCAGTGGTTGTGGTCGTCGTGACAGACGTGGCAGTTGATTCCTGAGAACTCCTCCTAACGTGTGTCTGTGGCACCGATTCCTTTGCCTTAACTTCCTCCACAGGCGCCTCTTTATCCTTCACTTCCTCTTCAGTCGCTTCCTTGACCTTAATCTCCTCCGCTGGGTTCACTTCCATTCCATTTGTCGGTTCAGCGGCAACTTCAGTCGCTGGATTCTCCTCAGTCTTCTGCCTCTTCGCACTCTCAACAGTTGCAACAGCGATCTTCTGTCTCTTGAGTGCATTCAAACTATTGTTATCCAACTTCGCCTGATTGAACATGAAAGCACTGTTGGCCAGCTGCTTCAGCACCTTATTGAACAACTTCCCAGTCTCTCTAGTCACAGTACGATGCTGCTCTAAGTATTTTATAACCGCCGCTGTGATGCGATAGAATATCTCCAATGCCTCAACGGACAAATTTTGCGGATTGCTGTGACTAATCCGAATGGGATATGTCGCATTGCTATCGTAGAGGTACTTGGAAGCCTTCATGTAGTGGTCCAAGTAGACACTCGGCTGTTCCTTCCGCTTCTCAGACACTTTTCCCAGCATATAGTGATAGAGCCACTTCTCCTCATGCGACTCCTCAGCATTGCCCTTCATCTCATCCACATGCTTCAACATTTCAACCGTGTGGAAGCAATCATAAGCAATCTTAATACACTGCTCCTTGCGATCCTCAACAAAGGCAAAGCGTTCCATCGACAGCGTCTCGCTGGTCTGCTTGAGATTGCGCGAACAGTAAGAGTGGAGAGTGTAGGCAAAAGTTCCGTACTCAATCCACACGGCAATGTGAGTTTCATTGAGCTTGATGCACTGTTGGAAGCAGCGTAGTGTCTCCTCTGATTGAATAAGGAAGTCTTTTGTGCTGCAAAGGAAACATTGGAATTAGCAATATTGGTATTTCACCCCAGTTAATCTGCACTCACTTGAATGGGATGCAAGAGTTCAATTTCGTTTCCAACTTTGTTGCCTTCGAGAGCGCCAATCCCGCCCATGCATCAAAACGACAGGGATTCAGTGCCAAATCCTGAATATAATACCTGATGGACTTGGTGAAGTCTCTATTCTTGAAATAATGATCCGCCAAGAGGTAGAAAATGGAAGCAACACGCATCGGAAAAGCCGAAACGAGCGAATACTCAGGTAAAGTTGTTGAATCTCCGTTAATGAATTCCTTGATTGTGTTCGCAGCTGCTAAAATGTTGATATCCTTCGGTGTGAGTGCCAGGATTCTTTGAAACAGTTGCTCCAAGTCTGTAGTTATCGAATCCACTCTGCAAGAGAAGATAATTTTAGGGAAAACTCATTAAGGCGATTGACATTGAACTCACTTGTAGGAGTCAAACTCTGGAAGATTGTCAGGACGATAGATCTCAAAGAGCTGCATCGCCTTTTCCCACGTCAATTCACTCTGTGTGGACTCATGCTCCTCGATGTGTCGCGATCGAGCCCTCTTCGGCGGATAAGCGAATAGACAATAAGTCAATTGCTCCACATACTCCATCACAATGTCCCTAAAAGGCTCCAGAATAGGTGATCTGATGAGAGGCACCACAATGTCCAAAGCGTAACTCATCAGCTGACCACCATCTTTCGTGCACCAGAACTTCTTTCCCAGATATTCATGGGCCGTGAAGAAGATAAGTACGGAGTTCGGCATGGACTCCTCTTCGTCCTCCTGATCCGAAGTGTCACTGGATGATTTCATCTTCTTCGCCACAGCGTGCTGACGATCTTCTTCGCGCTGCACGAAGGCATGCAGCAGAATCCAGGGAATCTTGAAGTTGATCGTGTGCACTTGAGTGCTGCTCTTCTCGAATGGCGAATCCACTTGACTAGTGACTATGTTCACAAGACTCTGAACAAGTCTCGCCTCGTACTGTGCCAGACAGTTAAGGACATCACCGCCTTCATGCTTCAGAAGGGCCTCGAGGTACATCAGGATGAAATTGACAGACTCACCCCATTCCTTCAGGCGATAGGAGTTCTCTGGTATGGTGAGGAAAAAGTCCACAGCGTATTTCAGACACTTTTCCGACCATCTGAAGCATTCCTCGAAGTCATTCAGATTCCACAATGACTCGAGCAACACTTCAAACTGTGTGTTAATCTTCATGAGTGTGTTGTCAGAGTTCTTGATCTCTGTACAATTTATCAGACTGTCTTTCAAAATCACCACCAACTCTCTGAACTTGTGATCCTTGTACAGATTTGCCACATTGTTGAGCTTTATTGTGCGCTGCAGCGAAGACATGAGATCACGGATTATTGTGACGTCAATGTGACTCTCGAGAGTCTTGTTGGGCAGATCCACTGCTACAGTGAGTCTCTTCTCATCCTCTTGGAACAACTCATTGATCTTGTACACAAAATCTATTGCCACTTCGAGATTGTTCTCGTATTTTGACACGATGTAATTTATCCAGAAGAGTCTCATGAGGTTCAGGCAATGCTGATCCTCATCCTCAAGCATGTAAAAACCACTGTAGAACATCAAATGTAGAAGAAGGCGTCGATACTCTCCACTGAATTCCTCCTTGCTCAGCTTCTTCACTGCGATCCTCTCGTGTTCCTGTTCCAGATAGAAGAGAGTCATCTGATAAACACTCTGGAACTCCCGATACTCAAGCTGATTCCACGCATTCAAGTCATAATGATTGAGATAATATTTATAGATCTTCAGATACTGCTCACAGATTGGCCGAGGAATGGACTGTGTCCAGAGCTTGGCAATATATTCCAGCCACTTGCTGAGTAGCAGGATCAGATCGAATGTCTGCAACTCTCCCACAAACTTCTCGAATTCCTCAGTCGTTCTCTTCTGAAAGTCATCCTCCGTGGCTGTTGAGGGTGTCTGAAAATCACCATGCCTTCCTCTCTTGCCATCCGAGGTGTCCTTCTCCGGAATTTTGGTCTCCACGAAGGGTGATTCACTGGTGTCGAAGGTTTCACTGTAGTACTTTGCCAAGATCCGTTTCAGATAGCCAGAACATGTTTTATCCACCTGTTCCAGAGGAGCTACACTCGTTGGCTTCTTCCTTGCGCGGCTCTTGTGCCAACCCCATTGCTCCAAGTGCTTAAGATCACTTCCTCGTCGTTTCTTAGGCTTATCCACTGCAGACGAGTCATCGCTTTTCGCTGGGTTTGAACTGTTATCACTGGATGCAGGCACTGGAGGTGGCTCCATTACATCATTCTTTACTTCCACCGCATCTTCAGTCTCTGATAAGATCGCACACTCCGTCTCCATCTTCATGGACTCTTCATTCTGGACATCTGATGAGTGTGTCTCTCCATTTATCCCATTCATATGGCACTCTTCGGCTGTCTTCAGATCACTCCATGTATATCCATTTAAGAAATTATCCACATCTTGGTTCAGAAGTTCATACAGATTTATGATGAGATCTCCAACCGAGAGCCAGGTGAACTCTGTGACTTTGTACTGGGACAAGTCTGGCTTCTCACGCTTGTCTTCCACTTCTGGAATGTCCACCGGTCCTGGGAAGACACTTCCAGAATTGCTCCTCTTATCCGCATACTTCTTGTAGTCAAATGATCCCATCCAGACACTAAAATCAGAAACACAATATAAAAGCGACTCACAATGATAATATCTACAAGACCTACTCTTCAAAAAATGGAATACATCCGCTGAATCTCTCATGAATCTCCACCAAAACGTCAATGGCTTTCTGGTAGTTGCTGTCTTTCTTATGCCAGTGCAGTGCCCAGCCGTATGCATTCAGGAAACTGGCGTTGCGACAGTACACTTCCAGAAGACCATCGGCAGCTGACCAGTGATTAGGATTCACATCCAAACACTTCTGGAACGCTATACTGGCTATATCTAGGTTATTCAGCGACAGTGCTAGCTTCCCAAGGCGCACCATCGTGTATACATCCGTGGCATCAAGTTCAAATGCGTCCACAAGGTACTTGAGAGCATTCTGTTTCTCGCCCTTGTCCTCATAAATTAATCCAATGTTTCGGAAGCAATTGTACTTCACTGAGAAGAGTTTGTCATTCTTGTTCTCCGGCGACACCTCGCACAGCACTTGCGTCTCCAACAGTTCCAGCAGCAGTTTCAGCGCAACATCAACGGAGCCCTTTTGCTTGAGACTCAGAGCTCTCATATATTCAGACACAGCGATGGTTTCCTGCAGAAAGGCATAAGAAATTAAAGGACTTTGTCTAACCTAATTTCGTCTCGCTCACCTCCGCCTCTCTCGTGACTTGTGGTTCGAGATCTTCGCTGCTCGCACTGTTGGAGTCCTCATTCAGGGCCACAATCCGCATCATTTTGACCACTTTCCCAGGCAGGAATCCTTATAATTACACCCAAAAATCACTTTTTCCACGGCATTGCAAAGCAGTCCTCAACTAAACACAGACGCTCGACTTCCCCTCTTTATGGCATCTTTTATGGCGAAAGTGACAGCGTTGTCAGAGACTCAGTACAGAAAAAGTTAAGATGGCGAGAGCAAAATCGAAAAGGAATTGCATGAAAATCTAGTGGAAATCATTGTATTTCTGTTTCAATTGTTGGCCAAATCGAGCCAGTGTATAATGTGAAAACGTGTGAAAGTGCAGGAGAACTCCTGAGGACTAAAGTGGTGATACAAAAGTAAGTGGAGCACAGTTACCCCTGAGTGAAGGCGCCCCTGGTGGCTGTCGTTCGTGGGCAAGGGCTAGAGTGAAAATATCTCATTTTCTTGCGACTTTTCACGTCCCGTTTCATATCGTAAGTTCGCACAAATATCTGGAAAACCTGCACAAAGTCTTGATCGCAATACTGGCCATTTTTCCTTGATCGATATGAAAGGAAAAATCGAAAGATCTTGTGCTGAACAAACATAAAAAGTTTCATGAATCGGAAGGTACACTCATAAAAACGGAGGATCATTTGGCGCCATATTTGCTTGTGCTGCGATTGCCAACCAAGATCTCGGCTGCGCATCTCTTTGGATGACACATGTTAGAGAAACAAACTGGATAAACCAGATAAACATGGAACCTTTATCCTGGTCATTTCAGATAACTTTAAAATTCGATCCTTATCGCATAATATACTGCAATTATTCATTATTACAGTTTTTAATTTAAGAGGTAGGTCGGCTACACATACGCTAGTTAGATTCTTGAAGCATTTTAATATTTTCTGTATTAGGAGATCAACGATCACACGAGTTCCCACATATAAAAAAATACTTCTTTCACATTTGCTATAAAGCTAGTTTATAGACAAATCTAGAAAGTCTGCTAAATATACAAATATGCAAGACGAAATAATTTACACGTGTAGAGGGCGTATTTCAAATATCATGGGCGGAGCCAAGGGTAAAGTAGGTTTAGTTTCACTGCAGCTTACATATTTACGTGACATTAATGTTCCATCGAGGGACATAGCCTTTTCCATTAGAGATGATATTTGAGACAAGATTTGTTTTGCAGTGATAAATTTTTAATTTGCCGATCTACCGGTTACGTGGTTCTAAAGTCCATCTTTATCTATGTGTCCAGGTTGTGAAAGAGAATTCCAGTGAAGCGTATGTTTCAGATGGAACAATCAACAGTCACAGCTTAAGTTGCTTTAACTTCCTGGTCAAAAGCTTAATTGTTGTGTTTTATCATTTGCAATCGGGGAAATTCGAAAACAAGACTGTAGCATGGAATACGACGCTTTGATCACTGAAAAACTGAGACGCATAAAAAAATTAAATATTGCTAATCGAAATTTTCATTATTTCATTTTCTCACTAACTAAACCACGCCCACAATTTTTTTCACTTGGATCCTTTTTTTTCTTTTTCCAAGTGAATATTGCGATGTATTCTTAAAACAAATTATTTCTAGCAATAACCTATTGTTATATGAAATAGATAAGTGGATAAAATTCCTCATTACAAAAATAAATTATGTGACTCACAATATGATCAGACATCAAAGTCGCGAGGGTGAAATTTTGAGACCGAATTCACTTCGAGGGGATTTGAGTGGCTTGAATTCGAGCGAATCATTTTAACATGAACACACATGGAAAGAGGAATACACAAGCATTTGGTTTGAAATGTGACGTGGCAAACCCCATATCTCCCAGTGTGACCACTTTCTTGCTAAAGATTTGTGAGCGACACTCAGAAAATTCTTCTTTGTCACAGTCTCTGTCTCTACACTGTGCTCCAGCAGTACAATTTAATAGAATTTACGCTTTTCTAGCTATTCGAAAAGGTTTTGCGCTCACTCTGCTCACACTTAATTGCATACATTTATACTCGACCCTACTGTAACGTTATGTTAATGGCGCTTCTCTGTAGCAACCCCTCTGGAATTTTTGCAGTCTGTGAAGACGTAGTTTTCTTTTCACGTGGTTTATTTCCGACTTTATCGAAATTCCATACAAAATTCAGTCACATTAAAGAATCAATTTTTAGAAGTTAAGTTTATATTAACTTTTACTATGTAGAAAATTATGTTCCGACGACCCTAACTTTAATTTAATGGCTTATCCAGTTTTATCCGAGAATGTGACAGTAGATCCCAAAAACTTTTAATATAATTTTTACTGTATCAATGTATTGGATGTTTTCAAAAATTACAATGCAACACTTGTGTGAAAATGCGCAGAAGCTCATTTCAGATGCGCCATAGCAAAATCGGCAAGAATAATTGCTCGCATAGTCGTTAAACGTGTTTTATGCGTAATTTTGTGACCCCTCTGAACTGAAAAACTTCTCATTCCTTGGTATTCGTAGTTCCAACATATATTTTAAAGGTATGATGTGTGTAAGATAGATACGTAGAGATAAGGGAAGAATGAAAATTTTAATGGAATGCATCAATTTCATTTGGGAGATGAGGGAAGCAAAAAATCTCTGTTATATTGAATAAAAACTGAAGTCCTCTAGAAATATGAATTTGGTTTGTAGAAACATTGCACATTTATTTTATCAAAAGACGATTTTGATAAAATACGTTTTCCGTTAATCTCATTTTTTTATACCAGTGGTATAAATCAAATCAAATTTTCAATACTTTGTCATTTGTAATGATGGTGAATTTCATGAGGCGGAGCCAAAAGGTGGGCGGAGATACAGATGAATTCAAAATTCGACGTTTTCTTCACTCTAGCCTGGGGTTTTACCACTGATATGATATAGAATGGAACTTTACAGATTTTTAACATATTGTTGCAGGTTAAACAGTGATAAATTTTTATCATTGTATCCAACAAGTCACTGCACACACAGGCGAAATGCCGCCTGTGCATATTTCTAGCGAGGGTGAGCAGGATAAGCCTGGATGCCAAAATATGGTATCCAATCTGCCACTCCTCTTTGCTGGAGGTTATCCAACGACCTTGGATAAAATGACTGAATGCCAGATAGAAAAGTTCATTCCCTTCATGGTACAGTGTTCCCTGGGATACATCCAATTGCAAACGAATCGCGGTGAACATAGAGAACCCGAATGGTGGCCAGATGATGTTCCCTTCGTCATACCCCTCACGAGGCCTACAGATTTCAGTGGAGTAAGTTTCCTCGCGTTGCGTGAGTGTAAATCTAGAGAATTTTTACGATTCGGATTCATTTACACAGGACTGGCGAGCAAAGCTGAGAGAAATTGTGGTGACGTGCTATTCGTTCCACAAAAATGTGTTTCTCTTGCGGTTTTGCAAAGAACTGGCGACTTATGAACCAGAATGTCTCCGTTTTATCAACAACTACAATTCCACAACCTCACTGTTTGACAGGACAAACAATAAATTATTAGTCACATTCAGAAATGAAAACATGGTAAGTGTAGATGTTCTCTATCTTCAACCTATTTTTTAATTTATAAAATATTCTGGAATTCTTCCACATTTAAATTTTTAACAATAACTTTTTGTTCATAGCTTTATGATCAGCAACAAATCTCCAACAAGAAGACTCTTCTACCGCGAAACAACAGTTCCCAATCTCTCGACAGTTGTCAGCAAATGGTGGAACCAGCTCTCTTTGATATTTATCTCTGTGATAACTGTGACGCCGAGTTGTACTCTATGGAAGCATACATGGTGAGTGTATTTTGTCGATTTTGCGCTTTCTCGTCTGCGAGTGAGAAAATAGGAGAGACTTTTTGAGTTGGGCTCTGTGCGCATGGGGAATTCTCTTGTCACAAGATTAAGCTTTCGTGGTGTGTTTTTAAAGAGTACGAATGTGATAAGGTGTGTTTGAAGCTTCAGAATATGTCGTGCGAATGGGGCCCTTGTTTGAGCTTTTGCGAAGAATTTAAATTTATTGTAAAATTGACATTCGTAACACATGACAAAGACATTTCATATTTATAGAGAATTCGTCTTTATTTATTTTAAAAATATCTTTCTGGTATACTTTTTAACATAATAGTACCGTGGGACAATTTGTTTCATTTTATGAATATCAAATACGCCAGGAAGTATATTGATTTCAAGTTGCATAAGACTTGTCATATGACATTTCTGACGCCTTCCTTGAGACAATTGTTGGAAATGTCTTAATAAGTGTTCACAATGAAGTGCAATTTTTAGCAAGTTGGTAAAAATTTTACCCGAGAATACCGAGAACTGAATTTCAAATCTGTTTCTTTTTATTATTTTAACGCTTTATGTTTCCATCATCAACAAAATACATATTTTTAACCAATTTACATTACTCTTAATTTAAGAGAATATTAGCCACTTTAAAATGTAATTTCCGAAACCACCAATCAATATTCCATCAAATTTTGCTATTAATAATAAATGACATAATTAAATGCAGAGATTGTGATTTGGCTTTGGAAATTAGTGGCAGTTTTTCTATCTAAAATAAGAGCTCTCGCGACGGTTCACACCAATGAAATCGCTCTGCACCCTTTTAATGATCGTAAAATGAGAACGAGAAGAGGCGAGAAAATGAAATGAGTACGAGCAAAAGGTACAGAGGCTCCCAGTATATCCCCGAATAAAATGAATATCTACATATAAATGTTTGTGTGTGGTGCTTTTGACCAGCATGCGCCATCACTGCCACGCAATGTTAACATACACCGCGACTTTCGTCGCTTCCAGAGGTCTTTCGTGTGTAGAAAATACAGGGAGAAGCCACGCTGAGTTGATTGCTGAAATCCATATATTTCATGTCCTAAAAAGAGCATCTGTTGTATATACATGTATTGCTCTGGCATGCATTCATTTAACTTTATATAAAGTCTATATAATCTATAAAATTTATCTGACTATCTAAATAAATCTATATATTTTAACATGTAATTAATTCATTAAACTTGCTTAACTGTCATTTTAGTAATGACATTACAAAAATTTTCACTCAAATCTACATGTATTTTACAAATGATTTGACGTTCTGTTATCTTAAATTTCAGAACTTTTTTAAAGATGATAAATAAAATACTTTTCTGGTCCTTTTTACATTCATTCAATTTATATATCAATAGGCGAATGTTCTGAAAAAGTGCACTTGTTCTTTTAATTCGCATTTAATTTAAAGATTTCATTGTACTCGCGCATCGAAGCACTCTGGGTGAATTTATACGCTTGTATATTTAAAATATCACTCAAGTGCAAATGTTTTCCGAAGTATTGGAGATCGTGTGAGAACTTCCACCATTTTCTACTACCGACACATGATTATACCTAAAAGCGTAATGGATTGTTCGCGCGGGAGAATGACCTTCTGCGTATGCCTGAAAATTTAGTGGAGCTTTCCTTCTTTGACACTCTAGTCTGATTTATGCTTCGCGAGATGAAAAGTGACTGTTATTCTCTAAATTGCCATTCAGGAAAAATTCTCGCAATATTCCATTGGGCTATGTTTGAAATAAAAAGGCACATAAATTCAGCAGAATTGTCTGATAACAAACTATGCAAAGCACAAACACACAAACACACTCACATTCAATCGTATAACACTCAATATTGATTTTTTGAAGTATAGCAGGAATTCCGAGGGATCGTTTAGTGCTGGGCTGAGATTCTGCTTCATTAATTTTTCACACATTTCATCGCTTACCACTTTTCGTTTGCAATTTCAATCATTATTACGTAATGAAGACAAATAATCTCCCCTATTGTGTACAGAAAAGTTTAATGACAAGAACTGAATGTGGATTAATATATGTATTCAATATACTTCTCTTTTGCTGACAGATAAAAACCTGAAGCGTTGATTCCCTTTTCTCTCATACGTAGCAGTTTTGAGGGAATACTTTAATAATGACATTGAAATACAAGCTGCTTAGCTGTGATTGCTAAACTTGAGGGACTTTTGAGACTTACAGAAATTGATTTGTAAGGGAAATATAGACTTTGGTTTTGGCTAATGACTCTGCTTATTGTGACTTAAATACATATTGAGCAGTTTCAAAAGCATAATTGCTTTCTCAAATTTAGGGTTTCATATAAGATTAAACTATTTGTGTGCTTGATTCGGGAGAGAATTCGTTGGTGCCATACCAAAGTTTGATATGTTGAGTCACTCTTTTTACTGCTGTTTTGCGCAAGAACACTGAATTATTATCAGAGTTACTGAGCTTAAATTCGTGATACGTGATTATTATTGTGAAGCGAATATTACAAATGCTTTTAATCTGGATTCTGTGAATGAGATAGATAGATTCTAATCGTCCTGTGGAACATTCTGATGTTTTTTCCCTTGGGTAAATCAGGACTTTTTATTTTAATGGATATGACAAAAACCATTTTAATGTTTCCTTCTAAAGCAATACGAATAGGCGAAGCATTTGAGTGAATGCAGAGAATGAACAGATGAAGTGGGCGGGGTGGTTCGATTGAATATGTTCTTAGAAGGGTGTGCGGGTAAGTTCTTTTGAGAGGGCGGAGTCGAATGATCCGCCCATTTGATGATTGAGTGCTGAATCTGGTGAGATAAGAATGTGAAGCATAATATATTGATTCCTTGATTGATATCCGATTGAATGCCTAATGATTTCCATTCAGTCAGCGGAAAGTGTGCGGAAATTGACATATGTGAGAGACTTTTGCATGGGATGAGCGAGAGCATAATTAAAATATGGTGTCACTGAGCCAAATATGTGTGTAATGTAGAAAATTGACTTTTGGCGAGACTCTTTGCGCCACGTTGCACAATTTAATGCGTATGTGTGTCTCTAATTGAGGCACAAAGTGTACTTGCCATCATCACTAAGGTTTAAAATGACTTTGCAGGAGCACGAGAAAATCTGCCAACCAAATGAGGACGAAGGTGACGATGATGTGATATTCTGTGAATCCGAGGCGGAGGAGCCTGTGGATGAGAATCAGCAGCAAATGTCCGCCTTCCTCCTGTCGCTGGGCTTGCAGAGTGCGGAGAGTGGTGGCGGCCAGTTGCGCGGTGGCTTGTGTCGGGACATGTCATCTGCACACTCCAGTCAGGGGTACTTATCGCCGGACAAGCACAGAAGCATACAACGACGAACACGTGGGCGACTGGCGTACAATAAATGCCAGGCAATTCCCATTTCATCGCCGGCCGGGCAGTTTTTGCTCAACACGACCAAGACTGTCATGAGTAAGGAGTATCTGGAGGAGCGACTGGATCGTCAGGAACGATTTTGTGGTGCCCAACCGCTAGGCAATGAGTCATTCTCGCGTCGACGATGCATAGTTGATAATCGACGGAGTATGCAATTTTCCTTTCCCGTGACATATCGCAAATTGTCTGATCATCAGCCATTGAGAGAGTGGCACAGCTACAAGTTCCCACGACGTCAATTCTCCTCGAATCACAGGCGACTGGAGGTGGAGAGGTACAATGCGGTGATCCTGAAACAGTGCAAGCCATGCTTTGTGCATGTTGAGAAGATGTCACGGGAGAACATTGAGGCGTATCTCCTGAATGCCAACCTCAAGGTGATGAACAAGCGACTGATTAGTCATCACAAGAGGCGGAGAGGCCATCCTAAAGTGGTGGAGATTATCGATCTCTGCTCCTCAGATGAGAGTGAAGATGACGATGAGGTGGAGGAGAAGAGACCTGCCATGGAGGATGAGGAGGATGTGAGTATGAAAGCGGAATCGGAAGTTGTGACAAAGTCACCGCAGTACGATGGAAATTTCATCTCGATGCCAATGCAATCTGTGGGACTGTCGGAACCGCTGAAGCCATCGGTTTTTCTGTTCTCCAACAACACCACAACCTCCATTGAGCAATTGCACAGCGCTCAAATCTACAGACTGCCCACGAAGATACATCAGAATCAGGAGAATATCATGTCGCGCAACTTCTGGCACACATCGTCGAAAGCCTCGTGCCACTTCTCGCCCTATTCCACGGGCAGGTCGGCGTCGGCCGTGGCGGATCGCAGGGAGTCCCAGAAGGCTGTGGTGACGGGGAGGATAATGCCGCCACTCATTAGGCTGGCGGCGTCATCCGGTGCCAAATCCATCACGGCCAATGTGAGCATTTAGAGAGGAAGAGGAAAATGCTCATGCAGCTGGAGCGACTGCATCTCGCAGGGACGCGTGGCATTGCCTGGGAAAGAGAATGGAGTGAGTTGTCTTTGCTCTATCTCACAGAAGTTTGGTTTTTCCAGAAGCGCGCGCATCACTATATAAAGCATTGGGCGTTTTCTTTATATATTTATAAAGCAAATGCAAGAATATCAATTTTTCATAATTAGTTATTTATCCTTTTTTAAATCCCTACTGTACATAAATTATCTCATAAAACAATGCATCTTGTGTTGTTCTATCGGGAGATATAAATTTATACGATTAATTTGAAAGGAAAAAAAAGTAAATTCAGTGAGTATGCCCGCAGAAAAGACATACTGATTCATGTGTAAATATTAGCATTTAGAGATTTAAAGTATGGATTAATCTATGGCGCAATTTCGACCGATACTCCTTCGTTCAGTGGCGACTTGTCCAATGTAGAGTGGAGGAAAGAAATAAAATTCATAGAGTTGAACAGAGGAATTGTCTTTTTAAAGTTTATATATCAACTTATATTTAGCGCTTTCAATGCTTCACGACGAAGGATTTTCTCTGTAAGTTCACGCAGTCGTCCTTGGCGTTCGCACTTTACACACTTTCTTGATTTTCTACGATTGCTCGGCGTTGGAGAGGAAAAAAACCGAGAGTCGTTAATTAGGGAAAATTGTGTTGAGAGAGGGGGAGTTCTATTGGGTAACTTCCACAGAGAATGCGAGCTTATTTTTGTCCCCTGTAGCTTTTGAAATCCACATGCTGGGCGCCGAGAGGCCAAATTGCAGAATTAGCACTTGTCAGAAGGTGTCTTCTGACCGAACAGGTTTTCACATGGTTTATTGGACAGTTGATAAGGCGCTTAGGCACTTAAAACCAGTTCTTATTGCAAAGATGAGGCAGATAGTTTACTTTGATGAAAGTATTTACAGCGAAATACGAAAAATTTGAAAGATTAACAGATAGGTACAGCAAAGCCTCGACTCAATGTATGGAGTTTTATAGAAATCCAATCACCAAATAAATCATTTCTTTTTTTCTATGTACAATTCTACGGGCATGAAATTAATCTTTCACTTGGGCAAGAAAACGAATAATCCGTTTAATTAATTACTAAGTTTCTTGGAAAAACCCTGTGGAATTCTTTATCTTTCCGGTATCGAATTGAATAATTTTGTGTAGTGGAGATCAAATGGGAGATTTCAAGAGTGTAAAACTGAAAACTCGCGTGAATCGAGAACAAACTTTAAATCGTAACAATTGCAGAAGAAGACAACCAAAAGGGGACCAAAGGAACCGTGGAATATTCCAAGCTTCAGCTGCTGATTTTGATGAAACTCTAGACCTTTTTATTACTCTTCAATTGACAAAGATACAAATGATTTGAGAATTATCTGCAATTTAAGTCTGTGGCTTGGAATGAAATCAGAAAGAAAACCATATGGACAATTTGAAAGATGTTTGGCGTGAAACGTTGAAATGATACTCTTACAAATATAGAAGTGGTCTAAAATAATCATGCCTGGCGCTCTCTTTCTCTCTCTCTGTCTCTCTCAGCGCCCAGGTGGGATCACGAGACGCATCCCGCATTCACTGTGGAGGATCAACCCATTGAAAGGTCACACATTCACACTCTCTCTAGCTATTCACTGTCGCTGGACACGAGTCCAGCTTGTCGATTTGCTTCTCCCACCACTCCTGAATGCTGTCCGCCATGCGTTTCCGCCGGAAGCGCATCGACTCATTGATGCACATCTGCACAAAGTTGAATCTTGTCTCAAAGTTCCCCTTCACCAGATTCAGGTGCTCCAGCAGCATGCTGTAGTCGCGCCCCGGACGGCGGATGTCCTTGAAGATCATCGTTCGCGTCTCCAGATTCGCCTGCCTAATATTCTCCTTCTGCTCCTCATCCATCTCAGGCGGCTCCACCTTTATCACCACCTCGGGCGTCGCCTCCACCACATCCACCGGCTCCAATTTGTGATTCGTGAAGCTCTCCTGCAGTCGTGGCACTTCCACGTCGCGCTCGTGAAAGATGGAGCGGGAATCATTGCCGCCGTTATGACACTGCTGCAGGATCTTCGAGATCTCCTGGGCATCGTTGATGTCATTGTGATGAATTACGTGGGGCGGAGGCGCCGGCGGCAGCAGATTGGCCCCATTGGCTGGTGCTGGCGGTGGCATTGCCATTATCGGCACGACAACACCCACCTCCTCAGTGTCCTCCATCTCGCCATTGATGAAGTCCTGCACGTGGCCATTTATGGGGAAGTCTTCGGTGGGTGGCTCATTGAATTCAAAGTCCACAATCAGGCGATTCTCATCGGGATCATCCACTGACGAGCTCACTTCTGACGCCGTCTCGTCCTCAGAGTCAGACATCAGCGCCCCACCGAGCGCCGATGGCGCCGAGCTGCGCACTCCCGTTGCCATTCGCCGGAATTTGTAGTCCTTGGATATTGGTCCAGCCTTCCGCTTCCGCGTCATCTTCCCATCCAACTTCTTCGCCGTGGGCATGTTGGGCTTCATGGGCGCCACATCGCCCAAATCCGCCTCATCCACCATCACCATGTGCTTGTCCTTCTTGTACGGATTCCCGAACATATGCTGGCGCACATTCGTCGGCTCAATCTCCCTCAGCGGTGTCTCTTTGTTCTTCAAATATTCCTGATAGTTGCCCATCTCGGAGATGGGCAGACAGTGGCCCGCATCCTTCGTGTACACCCCCGCACCCACCGTGGGCAGCTTGAAGAAGTTCTCCCGCATCCGCGCAATCTCATCAATCAACTCCTTCCGCGGAATGTCGAAGGGATTGCGATAGTTCTTGGGCGAATTGGGCGCATACGCCGTGGGCACGACAATCGTGTAATTCTCATAGATGCTGATCTCACTGTGCACCTTCGTGAAGGTCTCCTTCAGCATGGGATGCGACACCAGGTCCCGGCGCATCGGTTGGCCACAGTTCAACTTCACCGTCTCCATCTGATGATAGGCCGGCTTGGGCTGCTTCAACTGCTTGAACACCCTCACGCACAGATTCTCCTGGTCCTGCTTCGCGGTGTTCTTGAGATTTTTCAGATAATTCGCCACCGATGGCGACAGATAGCTGTCCAGGTGCTCAGGAATGATGTGCTGCAGCAGTTGATAGGGCACACTGGCACTGCCCAGGGCGCGCCTCAGGAACGGGCAGTAGTACTGTGGTATGCTGTGCACATAGTTGGAGAACTTCCCGAACCAATCGCCGGGCGGATTGGAGTTGTACTTGTGAAACAGATCCCCGAGCAGGGGCAGCAGCACGGGGTAATTGTATGGCAGTACCATCAGGTAGACTTGGGTGAATGTCGCATTGGCCTTCAGGTAGCCAAAGGGCGCATCAGACGTGTGCATGCCCGACACTATCACCGACCAGCACTTGGTCGCTTCGCGCTTGGACAGAATCTGTAGCGTCAGTGGACTCGCCTCCAATTCATACTTGTCAATTGGGAAATTCCTCACCATCTGCGGCTCGTCAATGCAAGGCGTCACGATGCGAATCTTGGGGTGAGCATCCCGCGGCGGCAGCGCAAGCGCCTTGGGATCGGGCCAGTAGGGCTCTGGAATAGGCCAGTAGCCCACAGGGTATGTTTTCTGCGACGGATGCTTCTGCACGTAGATCATCTTCTTCGTGGTCTGAAATGCAATGTCCTGCACCTCGCCATCCTTGAGATCCTTCGGTGCCAGCTGATCAAAGTGCACCACCACACCCGGCTGCACCTTCTGCACCAGACTCTCGATGCACTGATTGAGGACATAGTGGGACTTCACCCTGTACGACCGCCCACCAGTCACTTCGCACATCTTCTCAATGGGACTGTCGTCGTGAGGCACTTTTCCGTCCACGCGCTCATCCACTTTGTTGCCCGCCATTCGCAACACCAGCGAGAACAGCCTCTGGTCCCACCTGAACGGCTCCTTCGTGAGCTTCGTGCCCGGAATTTGAGCGTGCAGCGGCAGCACAATCTCATTGTTCACGCCATTCCTGGAGGAATACTTTCCCCCATCCGTGATCACGATAATGACGGACGTCTCGAGGTAGAAGGGACACCTGCCCTGGCCGTACGTGTCAATTCCCGACTGCATGCGGTTGAGATTGAGCAGATCGAAGGCATTCTTGAGCGCTTCGCCCATCGACGTGAGTCCAGTACTCTGCAGATTCTTCAGTTCATTCATAAACGTGGCATGGTTCTCCTTCCAACCAGCCTTCACATTCGACGGGGGATCCTCAAATGTCAGCAGCATGTAGCGATCGCCCATGCAATCCTGACTCCGCTGCCGGTACTTAAGGAATGTCTCCACAGCACCCTTGGCGATGTCCAGATACGTCTTTTGTACACCATTCACATGCGCACGCTGGCACATGGAGGCGGATGTGTCGATGAGGAAGAGGATTATTGTCATAGCTCACCCACAGTATTGCCACGGATCTCTAACCAGGACATCGTGCTGGGGTATCGCGCGTCGCGGGGGCAACAGGAGGGAACAAGACTCACTTTCACTGGCCCTCTATTAACCTGTTTTCGCGCACCCTTCTCCAAAAAATCCTCGACAATCTGTGGCCACCAGATACACTCCACACCCTTCTGACCTGAAAAGAGAGGCAAAACGCCCGGAACATTAGTGGACAACCCAGAGAATTCCAGCTCCACGGAGACACTCCAAATCTCCATCTCCTAGCCCAGCAACACATCAAATAACCACAGGAAAATCTCCTCAAACACCCCCAATCCACATCACCCACCTCAGATGAACAGTATCGGGGCGAATTCCCCCCGGAAAAGCGCCCTAAAACACGACCTGTGTGTTTTGCCAAATATTATAAAGAACGCCCCTTGTCAAGAGTCAATCTCTCGACCACCGCGTGTCTCCGCTAACTTCGCCCCTGTGTTTTCCCAGTGCACCCGGGGTGCAAACCCACAGCGAAATTGAAAGACAGAGAGAGGGAGAGAAAAGTGACAAAAAAGAGGGTAGAAAAATGTGTGATTCGCACTATAAAAGGCTCTTTACCGTTGCTCTGCAACTTGGCACACCACTCTGATCACGCTACACTGCAGAAAATGGCGATTGGGGGCTGGAAAATCTTCACACGGCTCCGCGCACAACCTTTCTTCGTCGAAATCTGGATCGCGTTTGATTTGACCGACAAGACTGACAATGCTCGCCTGGCTGGATGCCGATCCAGCAAACGCCACCACTTCGGGTTGCCATGTGAAAACGTCACGGAATCGCGGGCAGTTTGAAAAGGACAAATTAATTTATTTTCTGGAGGATTCCCTGCTTGATCAGGGGTTCGATTTGCACCCTTGGCAGATAGTGCTGACTGTTGCGCTTCAGAAAGACCACCTCGCCGTCCTCCAGCTCAAACTTCCCGTAGTCCTCGAGGCAGCGCACTTCGACGAAGAGGGACTTTGGAGGCTCCAAATCGCACGTGAGATCAATTCCCTGGCCGTCCCCGATGGATTTCATGTACTTGGCCAGGAGTTTGTTGTAGCTGTTGAACCACTGAATCTCAGGCTCACACAGACTGGATTTCACGTGCTCGGGAATGGTGGGGCCCGTCTCCCAGCGGATGTTCCGGATGCGCTCCAAGCGATTGTAGAGATATGCCAAGAGGCAGCGCTTATTGCGCTCCAGAGCGGCATGCCGGAAGCTGAGAATGGGCAGGAGTTGATGGTTGTTGGTGGAGGAGCAAATCCGCCTGGATAATATAGTGAAATTCCGAAATTATATTTCTTTTCACGGCAGTTTAGAACCACTCAGATATTATACTCACGCATCGCGTGAATTCGCATCGAAGATCTCTTGAGTCTCCACCAGCACCTCCCGAATGGTGTCATCCTTGAACAGAGGGATGCTGTCCGGGTTCCTGTTCAGATCTTTGATCAATTCCAGAGATTTCACTCCCAGCATCTTCACTGAAAAACACGCCGCGACACCCTGTGTGACTTTTTGAGCTGTCATAAGCGGCGCCAGTTTTCACAACCTCACTTTGGTTGTTATCGCTGATCCAACAAGGTTGTGAAATTATTGAGAATTAAGTGAAAATCTCGGGAAAAACCATGCCAAAGTTTCCCATTGCGGGCTACGCGGTGGATTTCCCCTTCGAGCCTTACGAGGTGCAGAAGGAGTACATGAGGAAGGTGATTGAGAGCCTGGAGACGTCGCAGAATGCAATGCTGGAGAGTCCCACGGGCACCGGTAAAACATTGAGTCTGCTTTGTTCATCGCTGGCGTGGTTGATGGTTAAAAAAGCAGAAGTAAGCATTTTGACGACACATCAAGTGTTCTCGAAAACTAATCGCTGCATTCCTTTTACCAGCATGAAGCTTCCAGACCAAAGATCTTGGATGATATGAGGACGAAGGATTTGGATTTTGCAACTATTATGAGCATGACTGATGGGACTCCAAAGATCATTTACGCCTCCCGGACGCACACACAGCTGTCCCAGGCCATGCAGGAGATGAAGAGATCCGGATATGCTCACTTAAGAGCCGTGGTTCTCGGTTCTCGCAATCAGATGTGCATCCATCCAGAAGTGTCAAAGGAGACGAACTCTTCGGTCCAGATCAACCTGTGCAAGCACACGGTGAAAAAGAAGGAATGCAGCTTCCACAGCAATGTGGAGAACATGAAGTGCAGCGAGGAGTTAAGCAGCGGAGTGGTGGATATTGAAGATCTCGTGACGAAGGGCAGATCCTCCAAATTCTGCCCATATTACATGTCTAAGGAGCTGTACAAGGAGGCTAACATCATCTTCATGCCTTACAACTATATCCTGGACCCGAAAGCGCGGCGGGCCAATCAGATTGAGCTGAACAACTGTGTTGTGATCCTGGACGAGGGTCATAATGTGGAGAAGATGTGCGAGGACGCGATGTCGCTTCAGCTCACCAGCACAGATGTTGCCTCATCCATCACAGACGTGACTTCTGCAATGGAATTGCTGGACAAGGCTCAGGACAGTGGTGATATGTTGGGATATGAGGAGCGCAAAGACATCTCGCTGGACGATCTGGCGACGTTCAAAGAAGTCCTCCTTGCGCTGGAGAAGACTATCGATGTGATCAAGGTGGACCACAAAAAGACTGGCGTGACATTCGGTGGGGAGTATGTGTATGACTTCCTCTCGCAGGCCAGCATATCATTCCAGAACTTCCGGGCAATGCTAAACCTCATCGATAACCTTCTGCAGTACTTCGCTGTGGTGTCACTGAACAAAGCGCTGGGCGTGAAAGGTGTGGGCCTCCAGAAGCTCGCTGATCTCCTGTCCATTGTGTTTGCCCAGAACAGCGATGAGTATCGTGAAAAGGTGACCAAATGCTATCGCGTACATGTGGAAATTGAGGAGCAGAATACGTATGCCAAGGATGGCTGGAAATCAACGAGGCCCTCGACGATTCTAGCGAAAGCATTCAGTTTCTGGTGCTTCAGCCCCGCCTTTGGCATGGATTTCCTGCGAAAGGTGCGCTGTGTCATCATCACGAGTGGCACTTTGGCTCCCATGAAGCCTCTTATCAGTGAAATGGGCATCGAATTTCCCGTGCAACTTGAGAATCCGCACATTGTCACGCGGGAGCAGGTGTGCGTGAAGGTAGTGAGTCAGGGCAGCGACAAGGAGCCGCTGATCTCGAATTACGCCAACAGGGACAATGTGAAGTATATCACATCGCTGGGCAGGACCCTCTTGTCTTTCGCACCAGTCATTCCGGGTGGAATTCTCATCTTCTTCCCGTCTTACACGCTTATGACCAAGTGTCAAAATGCGTGGCAGGAGTCGGGTTTGTGGTCACAGATCTGTAATATCAAGAGCATCTATGTGGAGTCGAGAAAGAAGAATGATTTTCAGGTGAGAAGATTCTTGTACATCCCAATTGAGGAGTGATCTTGAGAGTGTTTCTTTTTTATTGCCGTTTTCAGGACACAATGACTGAGTATTATGCGAAGATTCGCGATCCTGGAAGCCGGGGAGCGATCTTCATGGCTGTGTGCAGAGGAAAAGTGTCTGAAGGACTGGATTTTGCCGATCTCAATGGGCGTGCTGTGTTAATTCCAGGACTACCCTTTCCGCCTCTCTATGATCCGCGAGTCATGCTGAAGAAGCAGTATTTGGAGGAGAATCGACGCACGATGAAAGAACTGATCTCGGGCAACGATTGGTATTGCTTGGAAGCATCGCGAGCAGTGAATCAGGCTATTGGACGTGTTATTCGCCACAAGAACGACTATGGCGCCATTCTCCTCTGCGATTCACGCTTCCAAAATCCACAGCAGAAGAACCAGCTGTCCAAGTGGGTATTGGGACATCTCAACTCGCCAGGCAGCAATGGGATGAATTTCGGGCCGCTGATCGGGGAAGTTTCGCGATTCTTCAGGAATGCCGAGAAGAAGGTGAGTGATCTCTTCAGTGCTCTTTCCGAATACTCATGTATTTTACATCATTGCAGTTTGATGATCCAGAGAAACAGATCAAAAGGTTCGACTATGGTGAAGGTCCTTCAACGTCCTCGGCAGAGGTGAAGCATAATTCAGGATTGACGCGGTTGAAGGAGGTTCTTTCGACAAGTTTCCCGCTACAGAAATCTGTGATTGACACATACAAAGACCTGCCGCAAAGTAGCAAATCCCACAATTCGGACTTTCTCTCTTCCCTCAACGGAGAAGTGAAATCCATTGACTTCAACGACGTGGAGAATCCTTATATGACCTCCACGTCCGATGCCTTGCCGCAATCGAGCCAAGAAGGAGTGCGCAAGAGAAAGTACAAACTTGTGGACAATGATAGTCCAAGTCTGCTGGAGTACGGGAAGCCAGAAGAAGAGGAAGAGCAAGCAGAACCAGGAGAATTGCCAGAGAATCGAGTTGAATGTTTGAAATACGTGAGTTTAATCTTTGGATCGCATGGAATTTTGATTTAAATTCCCTTCTTTCTTTACCTTTCTTCCAGATCAAGACAAAGCTGGATATTTTAGACTACAAGAAGTTCGTCATTTGCCTTCATAACTACAACACTCATGGCAATGTTGAATCGTTCTTCACCACGCTTCATGCGCTGTTTGGAACGCCTCGGAATCACTTCATTTTGCGCGGTTTGCAGCGCTTTGTCAAGTCTGAGCACAAGGATGCCTTTGAGAATTTACTGCGACAGCATTTAGAAGAATAATTGCCACCAATTTTTATTCACATTATGTGGTTGGTATTTAATACATAGAACTCTCACGAGAAAATAAAACAACACAGAAATTCACATTTTATCAACTTATTCATCAAATCGCGCAAAAGACGCTACGATCGCTCTATATCCTGCTTAGGAGCTTACATCAAATTTCGATATCATCTCCCGATAATACTCCCCATAAACGGCGTGGTTGTATGAGGTGAGGGACTTGAAGGAATTACTCACAGCCTCCAGCTCTCGGGCAAACTCCACGAAGCCTGGAGGTGTCGGCGGGATGTTTTTGGCGTACATGCACATCCTCAAGTACGTGGTGAATCGCTTCCAAATCAACTTGCGCACCAGCGAATCCTTCTGCGCCGCCTGAAGAACTTGATTCTTCAGCGTGTCATCGGTGTCCTGATCGAGAGACACTTTCTGATGCTTCTCAATGACACTCTTCATGTGCACCCACACATTCTCCATGGCATCCGCCAACTGAGACTCATTCTGCACATCTTGCAGCAGAATTTCTACCTCCTGGGCGAAAGCCGCCTTCATATTAGGATTCTGTGCAAACATGGGCACACCAGAAGCAATAGCCAGCACAGTTGTGCAGGCACACAATCGATTTATGCGCTTCTGTAGTGTCTCAATTCTCTCCTTGTCCATGGACAAGAGTTCGGGAAATTCGTTCTCCGCCTGCCAATCTGTCAACTCAACATAGGCATTGGCTATTGTGTATTTCACCGGGGATGCACCAGCTTCGTCACTACTCGCTGGCGTGGAGGCGGCAAAATTCCTCTTCAGCCACGCCTCGGTGGCGGGAAAACCAGCTGCAAAGGGGAGAAAAAGAAAAGTAATTGAAATGATCAGTGTACACTTTTCGCCCAACATCTCACAAATTTATCCGATTTATATTTACTACAGCTTCAACTGTGCGTAACGCAATTGATCAACTCAACAAAGGTAATTATAATAAGTAAAAGAGAAACCACGAGCAGCATTTTCTTTCAACTGCGAAAGACTCACCAGTGTAGTGCTTGAGATAGTCCTTGAATTTCAATTTCTCGTACTCCACAGAGTTGGCAATCACCTTCCCACGAGCCGCGCCAAGGAAGAAATTGGCCGCATCCAGACGCATCACTGTCAGTGCCTCCATGATGCCACGGAAAACGTCCACCACGTCCTCAATATCCCTCAGCTGTGCGATCTGCTCATCGCGCACCGGTGCACAGGACTTGGCCATGATGTCAATCACGAAATTGGCATAGGCCCGGAAGTCCAGCACTCCCTGTTCAGCCTGCTGCTGAATGAGCTTTGGATCGAGCACTTCGGAAATTCTCTGCATGATGCGTCGATTGTTGTCGAGAAAGATGTGATCCAGGTTCTCCTTGATGTCCAGCAGCAGCTGAATGGCATGATCATAGCACGGTGGATCGCTGGAGAGCTTCTCCCTCAGCACATTCCAGAATGCCCTGTGCACCGTGTCCTTCACCACACGCTCCAGACTATTCTCGGGTGGCTCAAAAGGCTGCAGCTTGAACTCCGGATTGATGGCAATCTCATGAGCCAGTGTCATGTTCTGGATGTTCTTCATACAATCCATCACTTCGTTCATTGTCAGAACCTTTGGAGCACTTCCTGGCAATCCCGGAAGCACGAAGCGCATTTGTCTGCAATTGAAAAGACAATTGTGGATTATATTTTACTCCCAGAGACACTCTATTATTCAATTGCGTGTGTGTGTCTCTCACCCGTCCGAACTTTCACTGTCTGTCCTCTCTCTGGACGACGAAGCTCCGGGAGAGGAGCTGAAGTTGTCACTGCTATTCCCATCGGATCCTGAGGAATCCATCCTGCCAAGAAGAAAACACAAAAGTTCTTTGTTTAATTTTGCACAGGAAATTAACCTTCGCACAACAAGTTCTCTTGCCAACAATGAAATCACCTGGAGACAGAATCAGCTGGCATTTCTTCTATTTTTTTGCCCGATTCAATTATATATCCACAAAATGCGGTAGGACTGACGTCTATTTCTGAATTTGGGTTACTCTTGCACGCCCAAACAAAATATCCTATGAGTCTCGTGAGTTATTTAATTTGGCACGACGCCACATTGAGTTGTGAAAGTGTGATTATTTCCTCACTGACTCTTTATCGTCTCTATTTTGTAATCTTTCTCCAATTGTTCCACTGGAAATTTTGTGTTTATTTACTTTCACTTTCACAACAACTTCCACTGTCACACTATTTCTATTCCTCTTTTTAGGGGGATTTTTAGAAGATGATCAAGTTTGATGGTAATCCTGAAGTTGCAGGAAATTCGATACAATCACAGATTGATCTCCGAATGAACCGTCTTTTCCGCAGTTTCCGAGCAAACTAACATTATTTGCAGATGCGAGAGCGGAAAAGAGCTGTGGTTAATTCGCTATATCTTATAACGCTATGGTTGTGATATAACTGGCAGGGTCATTCGAAGTGGAGGGGAATTCTCTCAGTGCAGTCTTTGCCTCACGAAAAGCATCGACAGTGGTGTCTATAAATTACTTCTTTCAATATTTTGCAACCTTTCGCAATAACAATGCCTCTAGACGTCGTGACTAAGACGTGCCTTCGAGAACAAAGAAGGTTCCAGAGACGTCTGAAGAAAGATCTCGTCATTTGCGTTCTTTTACTCTCTTCCTCCTGCTTTCTCACTGATCATCTTTCATCAACAAGAGCTCTCTTTTAATTAGGAAAATTAATTTTTTCGCTTCTGTTATTTTGCCTAGAGTGAGAACTTTTTCATTCCAGCTCAAAACAGTTTCATGAATTTCTAATCAAAGCGTTAGAACCATTAGAACACATAGAGGAATAAACAAAAAGGTGCGAACAATACATTTTTTACACTACAATATAGAGTCTTGTCATCCAAATTGCGTTTCTAGACAGAACATTTGTCTCCCAATTCAATCAATGTCGAGTGGAAAGTTTCCATAAAAGAGCGACGCAAGAGCCTTCCCGTAAATCCACTTGAACAAAGAAAAGTCATTGAGATGCCCATTTTTGGCTGGGACAAGTTCAAGAGAATCCCGATATTCACATTTTATCTCTCTCAAGACTATGCAATGTCCATTTCCGCAATTAATGCACAATTTCTGCTTTTTCTTCTGGAATCTTCTCTGGACAGGAAAAAAACTCTCCTTTTTTTACTTACGCAATTTGCTCTAAAAGCTTGTCACACAGTAAATTTTCACTATATTCTTCAAGTTCGTTGCTGTATTTGGAACTTAGGCACTTTTATTGCGGACTTTCTGAGGCGAAATTAACATGGAATTTTGGCAAAAGAGTATTTTGCAAAAGCCACTATGTTGTTTGGACTTCATAACAAGACCACTGAGTGAAATGTCAAAATCAGCTGCCTTTGTTTTGCGTCTCTGTTTCGCGAGACTCCCACACAAGGCGATCGCACTCAGCAGAAATAAGTGGCACGAGATTGTCTGAGAAGCCAGTAAAGTCAAATTTAGACTGCAGATGATGATTTCTTGGCTTTTTCATTGATTTTATTGTGATTATAGAAATATTGGCATTTTCTATTCTGAAAATCTCAACGAAGTTCGTTATTGGAATTTGAGCCAAGGCGCAAACCCATGACTTCCAATATCTCGGTGATTGGCGGGAATTTCCTGGATAAAATTGATGATGAATTTGAAGCTTTCAAGTGAAGATCAGTAGACCAATACTTTTCAACAGATGAGTTTTCAGAGGAGGATAGAGTGGATGATCCCAGATGGAAAGATTGCATGTAGAAAAGTATTAACATTTATTGCAAAAATCAAAAATTTTCTACTACACTATCGAGTCATTTCATCAGCTTTTCCTCAGCATCTGCGTCGGGAGAGTTGTCCGGGAGGGTGCTTAGTAACCGTGGTGTCCGTAATGGTGACCGTAGTGGTGACCGTGGTGGGCGGCGCAGGGGGCTGGGGCCACAGCGGGGTGGCATCCGAAGACCAGGTTGTGACCGCATGGCACATGGGGAGCGGGAGAGCCGTAGGTGTAGTGCTTGGCGTGTCCCATGTGTCCATAGCCGTGGTGTCCACCGTGGTGGTGGCCATAGCCGTGGTGGGCCTCGTGGTGGTGCTTCTCGTGGTGTCCATAGCCGTGGTGCTTCTCATGATGTCCATAGCCGTGGTGCTTCTCGTGGTGCTCGTGGTGGCCTCCGTATGTGGACTTCTTCGCCCTCACGACTTCATCATCGACGGCCTCAGCGGATGAGAGGGCGGTCTCCTCGGCGGACACCTCCTCGGCGGATGGGGCGGCGGAAACGTAGGCGGCGAACACCACGGCGACGGCGAAGACAACGAAGAATTTCATCTTGAGATGTTTGTTGTTTGGAACTGCTTGTTCGAACTGTTACTGAAGCTCTGGAACTGCTTGACTGACTTCCCAACCGAAATCACCGGCTTTTATATGCCTCCGATGCCTCCGATCGATCAAGATCAGCAATTTTTGCGCCAAAATCCCATGTCATAGAACGTCTTCAGCACACCGTGCGTTTGGCCAATTTCTGCACACGCCACACATTTTTTTCCACCTCCCGCTTTCGCCACTTGGCCACAAGGCATTATTGCTCATTTCCACCGCGGAGTGATTACTCAGGAAAATTGCACCCTCAAAAGGAGAATTGTAATGTATGGATTTTTTGTTCCAGCCAAGAGAAAAATACTTCCGCGGAAAAATGAGGTTGATGATGGTTTTTGCTTCTCTCTCGCTATGCTGCGTGACAGGAAGAAGAATTTGCGCATCTTGTGGGCGCATAACACCCCCGCTTTAATGCTCCCCTTCAGTGAGCGCACTCATCATCGAATGGGGCAAGGCAATAATGCCGACAATCTGTCAAATTTGAGCGCTTTGGGGCTGAATTATTGCTCCAAAAAGCCCACAGGGAATATCCCAAAAGCCTCTTATGCATAATTTTGTGATGATTTGAGGGTTTTTCCAATAAACCTCCACTGCTGTTCAGTGAGAGTGACCCACATTTTGGGGAGATTCTTGGGAAAATCCCCCACATTTGCCACTGAGCACAAATTCTCCCCCGTTTTTGGGGGTGTATTGGTTAGTGGTGTTCACACACTCCCACCAAGAAAGTACAATCAGTAAGAAAGTCTTCAAATGGGTCTTCTCTTCGTACTGTCAATTTTTCCACCCAACATTTGTGAACACTCTCGATTCCACCAAAAAAATACATCATTTTAGCTTCAATTTGTGTGCACAGTGAATGATAAACTCTTCCTAAGCTGTCGCAATTGCCCAACTCTCCCTGTACACTATCATCCCTCTGTGCATTCTAAGTGAGTATAACAGGAAAGGCAGTGCAAAGTTATCTGGTGAAAATTCCATTGAACTCCTTCTCGGCGGGGGCCCAACTTCGGGGGTGGTGGTGAATTTTTGTATGTGCCATTCAGAATGGAGGAAAAGGCAGTGAAATCTATCGAAATGAATTACTCTTATGCTCTCGCACAACTCAATCAATACTTTTTTTCCCTTTTAACACGCCTCAGTCCACGGAAATGCCTTGAAATTTTCATGAGAAGGTACATTTGCTCCCGCCCAAAAAGAGAGAAATATATTGTGTGTGGAAGTGAAAATGAAAAAAGGGCTGATAAGGCAATATCAATCACCCTGTGTTTCATAGCTGTGACAATTGGCTCCGAGGTGTATCACACAAGAAGTCGGGATGGGGGTGGATTTTGTGAATATCTTCATAAAGGCGTACACATTGCCTGCCAAGGAGCACTTGAGCACGATTTTGATGGGGGCCTGAGACGATGATAGGCAAATGAATGCAAATTCCGTGTACTTTGCCACCATGTAAAGTGACAATAAAGTTCCGTCAATGATGATATCAATTGATGCCCATAAGCCTTTCGGGGCTTAACATCTCATTACTGAAAATTAAAATTAATTCAAACTATCCGCCCACACCCTGAGGCCACTATTAGCACTGTAAATTCATCAATCGACCCAAATTCGATGGACAGGAAATTAATTACCCAAATTGTTCTCCCAGCACAGAGGCACATTTTTTCCCTCACACACTTTTCTCAATTACTTTTTTCTCTCTCTCTCTCTGCCTCACCATCAGCCAGGAAACCATCGCAGCCGAACTGCCGGAACAAGGCGGAGGATATCAGAGCCCAGCAAGAGACATGAAATAAGCGAGGAAAAGTGGAGCAGTGCAAAAGGGAGAGTGTGTGCACATAGTTTCCTTGATCGGAAGCAGAGGGCCGTCAAGCAATGAAAAGCTAACAGAACACTTTTCCACAAGTGGTGAAATGAAGCAATTAAGCCCACCCAAAGGGGGATTGCATTGAAAATTGCGCGCGCGAGAGCAAAAGAGAGAGCAAAAAAGTCGCGGCACTGTTTGTTATTCGGCAGAGCAAAAATTATAAATTGTGTTAATGTTGTGAGATTTTATCGAGGTGTTAAGAGTTCACACCCGAGGGCTTTGCAGTAATTCATTCTGCGAAGAGTGCCCCATTGCTTGTGAGTGGCTAATTTAAATTGGATTCTTCCACATGGCGTATTAGCAGCGGGGAGGATTCGTAGCAGCTGAGTGAGTATGGGGCGATGCCAAAACACTATCTCTTTATTCATAGTTGCAAAATTACTGAAAATTTATGACAAAACCCTTATGTTTTAATTTATTGCTCTCATAAACTTCGCACGACTCTTGTGCGCGAATTAGAATATTTACAGTCTCAACATTATCATATATCGTGAACAGGAAGTCTCTGAAATCGGATATTAAAATCTGATAATTGGTGTCATACAGCATGTTTCTCAGCAATAAGTTGACGTGAATGTAGTTAAAGTTTGTGGACTTGACTTAACATACTTAATGTAGTTATCATGCTGGAGTTTCTGAGATACGAATTTGATTGCGAAATCAAATCTTATCATCCCATATTTCAGAGTGAAGTCAAAATTCTGGAATTCAGAGAGGGTAAAATTCTCAATTGTACAATGAATTATGAAAGTTTTCCGTAAATTGAGAGAAGTTTCACGTTAATTCCGCGAAAAGCATATCTTACGTAACGATGGCAAACTAGACACAGGTGATGTGAGTTAACTTCAACAAAATGAAGGAGAAATTCACATTAAGGGTGGATAAATAATTAAAATTTAGAACGCGCTTTTTATACCTTTCTCTCCTCTTAAAGCTCCTTATATAGAATCCGCCGTACAAATCCTCAGCTGCAAATCCTTCTGACGTGACTGAGGGGTGCAAATGCAGGGAGACTTGTTGATTTTCAACCATATTCCGTCTCGGGGTTTTGCATTTATATATTGATTTGCCAATGCAAGACCGAGACACACATTTTAAAATAAAACACTTTTTGCTGGCTCACACAGCGAACGGAAGAGCAAGACAGCTGTGAATGGCGAATGAGAATTGACCGGATATTCGCAATATCATGAATAATTCACCTGTTCCGGTGTGTGTTTTTGCACATCCCCCTGTGTGTGCCCACAGACATGATTTGTTGTAAGCCCGAAATTACCCTGTGCAGCTTTTTTTCCACCTCTCGGCATGAATGGCCCAATTTGGGAAATGTCCTCTTGCGACACAAGTGTCTCTCTCGTGCTGAATGGGCAAATTGTGCTTTAATTGTAGCGAAATTTCCTCTCTGGGGCGTAGAGAAACAGGTGAGAAGTCAGGTGGAAGAGCGAAGCAAGGATATTGCAGTGTGTGGGTGGACTCACTAGCAATCCACTCGCTGGTGGCAGATGGCACTAGGAGTCACTCAGTGGTTTTTCATTGGCTGAATTTATTAGTTTCCCCAATTCATATGGAAAGCCCAGAGAAAACTTTCACAATAGTTTTCAGTGTAACTTACTCCTTCAAACCGCTCACAAAGTTTCCAAATCGCTCGGTTCAAAATATTTATTTTTTGACCCATTTTGCTCCTTTTGATTTTCACGTTCAACTTTTTCAACCACTCCGATTTCCGTTCCAACCACGATGAGAAGATTGTACCGAAATTGCTAAATATTCCCCCCTAAAATCGTGTGTTTGTGGTTTTTTTTCTATTACACATGTAACAAAATCCGCTCCCCGACCGAATTCACAGAAAAAACAGCACCGTAAAAATAGGAAATATTGTAATAAAATGCAAAAGAATCGTATCAAAGTTTTCCATAATGAGCGCCAGTGCTGAAAAAGTTGAGTTTTATCGTGATAGCAAATGATCATTGGAGGAATGCAGAAAAATGCTTCGTGAAGTGCTGATGATTTTTATAAATTGTCTGTGATGAATTTTAAACGACGAGTTAAATATTGTGTAATTATGATAAAAATCGGATTATGTAAAATATTGTGCAGAAATTGAGTGTTTTCATTGCCGTCGATAAATCACAGTTTTTTTGTGTCTCTAAAGCTAAAAAGTGGCTCTGAAGCTACATATTCTCTACTCTAACTATTTCATACTCTGCTGAGTCTCTAAAAGTAGTCTTTTTCACTCTTTTTCCCATGTGAAAAATACCATCCATTTGTGGGTGTTGTAGGAGTTTCCATCCTATTACATATTTGTGTAGAAGTAACGTGAAATTGAGCAAAATCATTCTGAAATTTGTACATTTTGCCTGAGTGACTAATCTCGAGACATCATTTAGCTAATGAGGAATGATTAACGGTGGAGGAATGTGGAGGAAAATGACACTCATGAAATTCACACAGAGATTCAGTGAGGTTGGGCAGAGGCTAAAAGAAAAGCCAAACTAATATATATTCTCCATGTACCCATGGCTCTTGGTTAAATTTATTTATGCATTGTGCTGAAGAGAAAATCAATATCTTGTGATTTTCTACCCATTTTTGGCTACCGAGCCGAAAATACCAGTTAAAATCTCCACTCCGCTCCATAGCCAAAATTTCTCACCTGCACAATTTTCCACAAGAACGCCCTGCGGGAGATTTCTACTCATCGAAATTAATTTGAAATATGTACCCCATTCCAAGTCGTAGTGCACTTCCGTGGGGCGCAACTCCATACACAGCATGTCTGGAGGATCTGAGAAGACACAGCCAGACAATCATGATGGGAAAATCCCCGAGAAATTCCGTGTTATAGGTGCAAAATGGGCGAAAGAGCCAACTTTTATGACTTGTGGGAATTTTCACGTAACGTGTCTCTGCCCTCAATACACATGTACTTTGTGGTTAATTATGTACCTTCCAATTTCACCCCCGCTTCCTATCCATTCCAACCCACTGTCTGGGCTTGACATTCTGTCACTGATGAATGATGAGATTATACCTACGACGGGAGAGTGAGGACACAAAATCACAGGGTGGAACACCCGGAATGCAGTGCAAAATGAATGAGCTCAGTGTGATGCAAATGAGTGCAAATTGCCTGTGTTCAACTGCAAAAGAGCATTGTCATTGGAATTAAGCAATATCATCCTAAAACATAATTGACGTCATACATGTCCAACTGAATTCCCATGAAGTGACACCCCTAATCAATTCTCAACCACCAATGCCCAATTGCATTCACTTCTTTGGCGACAATATCCGGGAAATTTTGAAATTTGCACAATGAGATCATGGAGATATTTTTAATTACTTTTCCCCTCTCGCGATGCGGTGGGCGTCAGTGACGTGATTGCTCAGGTTGAGTGATTGGAAAAAAGGCAAAGTTTAAATTGATCAGCAACACGGTGGAAATTGCTTTATGGATATCCTTGAGGCGGATCAATGTGAGGTGTTGGAGAGACGTGTTAAATGGCCTTTTTCACACCCCCACTGGCACCTTCTGGGTGATATTTTTTATCTTATTTTTTTCTAAACTTTCAAGTTTATACGTGACCTCAGTCAGAGGCTTTAGTGCTGCTGAATTAGGACAAACATTTCAGTAACTATGACACTTTCGCTCGTCCTCCAGATTTTCTGAAAGATCTCGCGCACAGACAAGTGTTCTGGAAGACTAAAACACAATCTGGAGTTCTCTAATACCATAGGAATGATTAATGAAACACCCTCTGTGAGATGTTTGCCATTGTCAATGTTTTACACGAGCTTTAGCCGCGTTATTTCCATAATCTCCCCTGAGATTTCACTTTCAATTCTTTCACGGAAGGAAACCCGAAAGGTTCTCCACCGGGAAATACTTCCCTACCAGCAATATCACTTTTCACTTTACATTTTACATCAATTCGTTTTCTGGCTGAATTTCTTCTTGGTCGTTCTCACGGAATGAATTTTTGGTGAGCCCGAAAAAATGGGAGAGAAGAGAGAGAAAAAACTTCACCAGTGACCTTTAGTATCGATTATATACATATAAATGTGAATCTATGTGATGTGGGTGAATAGTGTTCACATAATACTTTTACTATGACGCTCCCACCTTCGTCAACCTGGGGTGCCGCGCCACCCCACCAATGGTCACCCATGCTAAATGCCTCTCAAAGTGCCAAGGAGCAGCCTGGCCATTTCTCGGCGTGGTGTGCCAACTCTTTCATGGCTCTTGGCACGAAGAAGAGAGCCGGAAGTGGCATTTATTTATAACCCATTTAATTGCAATTCAAACACTCAGCGAACGGAGTCAGCCATATCTCTAAATATCCCGCCTATTGACGTGATTCCCTGCCCGTGTGACAGCAATTCCCATGCGAGATTATGCCTTTTCTCGTGGAATTTTCTCGGCGCCCATTAATGGCATTTTCATGCATAAACTTTTTTTTATTGCAACACCTCATTGACGGAGCGAGTGCTCCTTCTGAGAGGCGAATAAAAATGTGGAATACATTATGTAAGAAGTTTATGAGAGCAATTCGTCTATTGTATCGATTAATAATTTTACTGTAACATTTTTACGTGAAGATGTGAAGTTTTCTCCTAGGGAAATTTCACAGTTCAATTTACTTATTTCGCTATACCTTAAACGTAAGCTAGAAGGTCATGCCTCGAGTCCACCATCTCGACGTCTTCGGACAGTTCCGCGTCATAAGTAAGAAAAAAAAACTATTGATCATACTTAAGCCATTAATTCGAGACTTATATTCAGTGATTTTTTGGACATTAGAGCAGAACTTAGAGATTCTCTATAACCAGAAAAACACCATAGAAATTGCTCTTGACAATCGTTTATTTAGTTTAGAGGAAAGATTACAGTAGAGCATACTATAGTTACTTAGAGAGTCACCACGTGAACTCATAGAGTTTAGTTGTTGATCTTTGCTGAGAGTACAATTGTAGCAACTTGATACGTTTACATTAGCATATTCGGCATATTCATATCCTCACTAAAACAGGCAAAACATAATCTTCAGCTCGCAGTACAGTTGTCGCCCGGGGAAATAAAATTGTGCTGACTGTGGCAAAAATGTTGGAAATTGTCTCGAGAGGATTGGATGACGATGGTGGTGAAGTTTGTGCACAAAAAAAATACTTTCAGCGACTCTACAGAAATTCTCTTTTTTCTGCTCTACTGGCAGAAAAAACACGAACCCTTGACATTCGGCCTGTAGAAAACTAACAAATCATTCAAGTGAAAATCCCGCAGAACAAGTATGCTGAAGTACATGGCATATTATATGTGACGACGAAACTTTTGAGGCTCTTGCGCCAATTCCACTGAAGGTCTTATCAATGCTTTCGTATCGGCTGTTGGCACGTTGAAAAATGATCTCCGTGGAAAATGGAGAATTTCGTGGAAAATTCGATTAAGACTCTCTCGCTGTAACTGAACCATGAAAGCTGACTAGAGAATTTTTCACAAATTGCACTTCAATTCTCCCCGCTGTGCCAAGTCTGAAGCGCGAAGGAAATATTCTGCGTGTCAACAGCCAACAACATTTGTACGCGAGAGTGGTAAATTGAGGTTTTATATGTCGAAGCATGTGCAGATGGACAGGCAGGCCACAAATAAGAAATCGATTGTATTAATGCTCTTCACGCACAATAATCAAGCGTGCTCGGGGTGTTGGCGAGGAATTCAATCCCTGTGAATTACATATCGCAGAGCAAATTCTCTACGTGATTCCTGGGCGGTCGTCGGGCTGTTGCTTCATTGCTTTCATCCACAGATCTGCACACACACACACATACAGGGTTTTGTCACAAATCACTCGTCGAATCCATCTCTGATGCGACACTTTTTTAACAGAAATCTCGTAAATCATTTCTATTTCAGCGGGACTTGTTGGGAAAAGAGAATATAGAATATATATACTACTTATGTTAAGGAGCGATATGTGAGCAAGTTGATTGAGATTATTGATAATTTCTGTTGCGTGTCACAGTTTATTAGTTGTGTATTGAAGGCAAGCGGGAAAATCGAAGAGAATATACCATTGAAACAATAAGAAACAGATGATACAATAAGATTTGGTGTTGACAAGAGAATTTTTTCTAGGCGGGCGATCAACTAATTTGGTGAAGAATCATTGAATAGGTTAAGTGTGTTATTAACATTAAAAGCGCTTATATTGTAAGTAGAGAGAACAATATAATTGTAAGAGCCTTAAGTGTCTTATTGTTCTTTGGTTACCATTTTATTGATACCACAATTTGTATGAGAAAATGTGTGAATTTACATGAGATTTAGTGACACACCCAAAAATTGTAGAATTTTTCCAGAAAGACCGTGTATTTTGAATGAGAGGTCAAGTCAAGAGGTGAATTTGTTAGTTCTGCTGATGAATATCCTAGTTGTGAATTGTCATTTTGGGTAATGACAATAAAAGATGGGAGACAATATCGCATAAAATCCAAATTATTATTACTTTATGGCATTTCTCCGTGGAGAATTTTATTGGAAGCATGGAAGAAAAATCCAAACAAGATGTGTTAGTTCGAGGTGTTAAGCGAAACAACTAGAGAATTCCAATTAATGTTGATCAGTGTGTGTTGTTGACAAGGAAAAGCAATCATTTGTTAAAGAGTAATTATTTAAAAGACAAGGAAAGTAATTGTACGTAAATTGTTTACGAAAGAATTTTTGATAAGCATTTTTGTATGATATTTTTTCAGAGACAATTTCTTCTTAATTTATACAAGAGCATGTGCTGAAGATTTGAGGATATCGCAGGTAGATAGAGATTGTATTTGCCCATGTCGTGTGTGTTTTGAATGAGAATTTAAAGGAAAAATAGTAACCTGAAATATAGCTACAATCCGACCCATCGAATATAGTAGAAGTGAAAACGATAGAATGATGTCTTATTTGAAACCACAATAGCACAATATAAATTAATATCAAGGCAACAGCCACGAAATCCATTACTGAGAGTGAGCACATCAATGTCACGAACTATTTTATACAAGGGAGAACCTACAAAGACACAAATACTACACACTCTTTCACCCCCGCTGACATTAAATGCAAAAAGAAAAACCAAAGGATTGTGAGAGGAGTTAAAATTTGTAGAAAATGTTTACCAACTATTTTTGGACACTTTCTTACCGATAGAGCAATCAAGGAGGAATTCAAGAGGGATTCGGAAAAGTCTTTTCTATAGAAAAAACATTTCATCATGCACGAGCACACGTTCGGCTGAACAGGTGGACACTTGACGGGAAAAGCACACCTGAAATCTAATGAAATTGTGTCTGAAGGTGAGGGTGAAAAAGTCATTGTGTTGGCTGTTGAGGAATAGTGTAAAACTCACGCGAATAATTATCTCCATGAAATGCCATTAGTGTCCATTTGAGAGGACAGTGAACGAGCTGAAATATTTCGGAGAGTATACGCGGGGCTCTTGTATTTTTGTACGGGTAGGTGAGCATTTAATTAATTAGAGACGCACACCACGCAATTGGTGAAAAATGTACGCGGCGGCGGCGGGAGCATCTCTGGGCTCACGCCAGGCACGAAAGCAGCAGCGCCAGCAGAACAACAAGAACCGTGAGTTGCTGAAGCAGGGCCTCAAGGAGAAGCTCGCGTCGAAGGCGGCGGGAGCCTCCACACCCACGAAGAGCCGCCAGTTCCACCAGCTGCCGCCCAACTATCTGCGCACTCCCTATGCCCAGGCGCGGAAGCTGAGCGCCAGCTTCGCCCAGCATGGCAGCAAGGCGACCATCACGGACGCGGCTCCGGGCAGCCCCCATACGCCCCATCACGCCCACCCACACCACCAGCACTTCCATTCTTATGACACGCAGTGCCAAAAGACCGGGCCACACCAGAACGACCTCCACCGACAGCAGCTCATCAAGTCCGCCACGGCCACCTTCCCGCTAGTCTCGCGGGCCGATGTGTCGCCCCCGCCGTCTCCCGGGCTCACGCCCGCCGGCGAACCGTCCTCCAACCTCCTCCTCATCCTCGATCAGCCCAAGGAGGGCCTCCATCCCGACTCCATCTTCGTCACGCCCGCCACGCCGATCGCCTCGCCAGGCCACGTCACGCGCCAAGGCAGCCCCACGCTCGCTCTGCAGCTGCCCGTGCCCCTGGAGCGCAAGTGCAGCGTATACCGAGCCCGCAAGATGGACGCCATGGAGCCCACCGATCCCAACGCACCCACGGTCACCATCAAAGTGGACGACGCTTACGCCCTGCCCTACGCCTACGACCCGCTCCTGCCCAACGGCAAGTGGTGCCCCTCCGAGTACTGCGACTCGGAGCACAGGCACCTGGGCGTCTGCACCTGCGACCACATCGAGGTAAAGCACTTGTCGCCCAGACGCCCGCCACGGAGTTGGAGGCTCTTTCGCTTGCGGGGATGAATTTCGGGGGCGCGAACGAAAGGCTGCACGGTTTGCGTGTAGCAAGTCATAAAAAATGTCTTAATAGAGACATTGGAATTATGGGAATCATGAGGAAAAGTTATCAAATCTTAGTATCGTGATGAGGGAATTACAAATTTGATTTCAAGGCTCCGTACCACACATTGCCACGGGCGCGCAAGCGAGTGAAAAACAATAGCACAAAAGGTTTAATTTCAAGTCAATAAAAACACTTTGTGTGCCAATCCTGGCTACGCCCATGAGCAAGGCTATTACAATCTGATAATCAGAACAGGTTGGCTGCAAAAGGCAATTGAATGAGGTTTCTGACCAGCAGGTTGACCGTGTGCAGAGTAATAATTCATGGGGTTGCTGTGATTGGCTTAAAAATAACCCTTAGAAAGCGCCACGAGAGTGCATTAAAAGTTTACAGGCTTTTCATCGGTTGGGTTGTCTTCTGTACACTCGCTTAATTGAATGTGATTTCAATTCAGGCCGATTTGCACGAATTGTGTACATGCACATTACATCCAATTACTTTAAATGCTACACGGACTTCCTGAAAATTTACTTCAAATCAAGTTCCAATAGTGGAATACCTAACACAGTGCATACAACTGGCAAAGCCTCGAAATTCATCCCTCATCCGAAATTCAGGTCACTTCCAACTCTGCTTTCGATTTTGACGAGGAGTCGCTCCATCTGATCGTTGAACATTTTGTACCAGAGCATATGATATCTCCATTTGTTGCATGAAAGCATATATAGCAAAAATTTTACAAGTGTATATTGAGAGTTACATTAATAGTGTGTTTATGTATATCTGTGTTGTGTATTTGTGGCATGTCAATGAAAAATTCACGGGGTTCCACTCGGAATGGCTGGGAAACAGTGCGGGGCGCTGCTCTGGGGTGAGTCTCTAGGGAGGGAAAATCACATCGAATGCGACACATGGTTGGAGGCATTTTGTATAATTAAGAGCAGAGAAATTGCAATTTCCCACTCTCACCAGTCAAACAGTGCGGATCAAATGGCCTGAGAGGCACGTAATTCCCTCTAAGAGGCATTTGTGTGGAGAAAATATGGGGAAAAAGCCAGCGAATTCAAAGCTCAATGGGCAATTTCTTGCCAAATTCAGCGGGAAAATATTGCACACTCTCAGCGCCTGATATTGTATGGCAATGGCGATGGGAGAAATATCTGCTCACGAATCCTATTGGGTCATAAAATTTTTTTCAGTTCTTGCATTTTTCATCACATTTGATATCGAAAAACAAATTGACGCATTTCCTGTATGTCGTGACTTTAAAAAAAATTCCATGCAGTAGCAATTTCAATAGAGACAATATTGATTTCACTCCAATCTCGTGTGCTTTTTTATTCACACTCTTCATCATTATTACAATTTGATGCCGTGTTAATGTGGAGAAAAAAAATGCCCATGGCTGGAAATTTGTACAAGGGCGAAAACAGAGCACAAGAATGTCTTCCGAATGCTCTTTTTTCCTCCGACTCTGCAAAATGTCGAAATGAAAAATCAACCAATTGAGCGAATATCGAGGTATTATATTGGGCGAAGCGCGATAAATTGTGCAAGTAGGTGGAAAATTAATGAAAATATTATCTGGAAGGTGTTCTATACATACGATTTCTGTGTGAATTTCGACCTAATTCAGGCACTCCGTTTCTAAAGGGGTGTTGTTAAAAAGTTATCAATTAACCTGCAATATTCATTGGGAATTATTGATTGTGCCCGACAGTCCTTTTCCTCCACCTTGTTGAAATCGTGGAATGGGTGAACTGTACATCTATATAGTCAACTAGAAGTATCAAGGATGATACATTTTACAATAGTCACGAATTTATTTATCATTTTATCCCCATTCTCCCCTTGCCCACCACTATTTATTCATTAAATTTCACGTTTCTCTATACATTCTGAAATATTAATGTTATACCACCAAAATACCATTGGCAATTGATTTGCAATTGATGATCGTTAAATATTAAAACAACATATTTGTAAACAAGTGCCTTTCATGCTGAAATAATCGATAGACATATCCATTTCATATGCATTTTTGAGAAGCTTCAGCTGATACTTTCACTCTGTCTCGCGATAGTGCAGAGACATTCATAAATGCTGACATACGAATGTATTTACCATCATGCAGTGCGCTTGAAGACCAAACCGCGTGAAAATGTTTTCAGTTACTTGAGGACAATAAAATGTACGATATGTAGTTAAACGTAGTGCAATATTTAAAGCAAGTAATGGACAATCTTCATGCCGTCTCATCGTTGTCATCCGTCGATGGGTCAGAAGAGCAGATGGCTTTAAAATACATGTTGTGAATAATGGTGCAAATATCATCGCATTCGACATGGATATGCAGTGACGAGATAGGAGATTGTGACGCGAAGAGAAGACAATGACGCTTAAAATGCTGATAAAAGTATTTAAAGAGAAGTTCAAGAGAAAATCAAACGATATGCTGGTGATTCACTGTAAATACGCAAAAAAGACTTGTATCTCACAATCAATCGTCATGGCGAGAATGATAATGTTCTTGAGCGTTATTGTATCATCACATTTTTGATTTAAGTACCTCTATTACTCTATTCAAGCAATTATACTATCATTTACTCTTCCATATTTGCATATTTATTTGATGACGTGAGAACCATCATATTTCTCAAGTTGAATCTCATATAAAATGCAAGATAAAGAAATGCAAAAAGTAATATTGACATCAGGAATGATGGAACCAAGCATAAATTTGACCGCAAATGTAAAATAACGCTGGTTGAAGTCACACCATTTATGAGAAATCATAAAAGGAAGAAAACTAATCAAAAGTAAAAAGAGCAAGAGAGCAAATCAGCGAAAATGCAAGCGGCTTTGATGTTAAGGTCAAAGCAGCGGGTGGCGCGGCGGAAGAAAATGCGGAAAGGCCGTGCGGAGTTGCCCAGTAACGTTGCAACGAAAGAAATCGCACCCTTCCCACGGTATCCACCAGAATCATGGGTAGTATTATCTCGAAAGTTTTTATTTTTCCTTCTTACTCCACTCTATCACACTGTCACTGATGGCTTTCTGTTACCAAAACTGTGTACACTCCTTTCTTCTGAGTTCCTCTCACTCACCCTCCGCCACCCTCTTAATTTGCCACCACATCAGAGAACTCAATTTATTTTTTTTAGCTTCAATTTATTTTTCTTAGAGAGCTTTTCCGTTGCCATTTCATCTGTCATATGAATAGAGGACAAATACGCTGGAGTTCATGCAGGAGATTTCATGAAAGTGACGTCGAGACTTTACGGAATTCTTCATCAATAGAGACATTCAAGTGATCACAATTTCAATGATTTCATATAAAGCCATTTTCGATCAACAACTTCCAATAACTTTTTTCTTATCCATTGGTTTTTCCCACCACCAAATTATCATTTTCGATTAGACTGACTCACGAATTTTCAACTCGATGAACTTCACAATGGAATTGACATTCAAGAGGTGGTTTATTGATAATAATGTTCTTCTCTCTTTTGGTTTATTGTCAACTTTTACCAAACAAACAAGGAATAACAGTACAAAAATCAATAAACCCCTTTTTGTGTGAAATTCACTTTCTGTGCAAAGATTGTCGAAAGAAAATTGATCACATTTTAATTTTCTTCAGTAGTTTCTTGAGTTTCTTTTTCAAAAAAAAAACAATAACTTGAAGAAACATACAGTCCGTTCAGCAAGAACGTGTGAAGCAAAATAAAACACTCTTTCGTATTAAGCGTTTCTGCATTAATTGATGTTTGTGATAAAAGAAGAAAAAAAAACAATCACTACCGAAGAAATGCTCCATCACACTAAGAAAGTTTGCACTGTTTTGCTTCAAGTGTTGATTGAATTGACTGTAATACTTTTAATTTTTTGTCTAATCACAATTCACAGTATTACTTCGTCAGTTTTCTTCTCTATATATAGTTTTTGGGCCTCCAAAAAGCTTTTCCCAGAAAGAAAAGAAAATGATTTTACATGAAAAAAATGAAAATTCATGTCAGTTGCCAGAAAAATATGAGACATAAATTTTTTCTTATTCTGCGCCAGTGCCTATATCTCGCGCAATGACTATAACCTCCTCTCGCATTTTTAATGCCAAAAATATAATGAAGAACGCATCTAAAAGATTATGTACAGCATAGATAAAATCAACAATACTTCACATCTTCTTTCTTCCGACAGAGAAAGAATCTATTTTCGCTAATATCATGCGATTCATCACTTATTCCTCGCTGTAATTTCATTTTCCTTTATTAATTCAATTATGGTTACTTAGAAAGAGCGGTAAAAAATCAATATATAGGCAAGTTTTTGTACTATCATCCAAACAAGAAATTGTATATATAAAGCAACTCATTACTTTTCTGCTTCTAATAACTCTGTGTATAATCAAAAGTTGAAATATCAGCGCTTCTAGCAAAAATTCCTCACAAACACCGTTCAAAGTAATTTTAGTGTGAAGAAATTTAATCTCACCCTTTTCTCTCTCTAATCACCACTTCAAAGTTTATTTTGTACAGAGCGTATAGTGAAATCAAGTAAATAAATAGATGCTTTTACAATGGAGCAAACAAGTAGATTGCAAATATGCTATTACGTGGGTAAAAGATCAATCCTTCACACAATCACATAAGAAATGTAAGGAGAAATTAAGCCCAAGAGTGAAGTAAGTATTTTAAAAATAATTTTACTATTGATTTTATAGCAATTCCTCCGTTTGTCTGCATGCAATGGTGTATATCGGTGTTGTTTGCCACACATGAACAGTAATAATAAAAAACACCATACAAAATACAATGTTATCACATAAAATCCATTTGATACCATGTCTCACAGTTATTTCTTGTATTTAGTAAGCCGAGAAATTAAATATTCCGTTCTCTTGAAATTGGGAGTGAAATTCAAACTCCAAATTATACCAATTTTCCTACAAGTCAGAAAATTTGTGTACAGCCAGGAAAGACCCTCGTCTGGCGGTGGAATTGCTTCTTGTGTGTGTTTTTCATGAAATATGGATCCGCGTGTGATTAAAATAATTCCACATATTGGTCTTATTCAAATGCTGCTGCACGAGGACTTTTCTCCACCCGATGAACCCATATTTTCACCTAATCAGACATTTTCAACACTTCTCCGCTGAAATATTGAAAAAACGCTTCCTCAACTTGTTTTCTGGGTGTTAAATTTTCAGTGCCGATGCATATAGAGTCGATTTGGCGTAAAACACTGCAATCAGCTCTTCGTGCATTGGCATGGCATCTTGTGGTGAAATTTGCCTGACTGTGCAAGAATGGCACAATTGTCCTGTTACAAAAGTGACGAAGGTTGAAAAGTAAACAGCAAATAAAATGCTAATGCTAGGTAAATTTCAGTCGGTGGCACGACAATGTCGAAGAATTGAGTAGACAGAGTCAGTGGTAGTTGTAAAGAGTGGAATTTTCGTGTATTGCAATTCGCGAGATCCAATTACATGTTGGAATTTTGAGGCAAACTCCACATGGAGACACGGATGGCCCAGACCAATAATCCATGACCTCGATTTGCTGTCGATTAGAATTCCCAACAAAATTATTGATTTCATTTTACTTTCCTTAACCATACTACACTCGTCTCTGTTTTGCCCAGCACAACACCAACAGACTTGCCATAAGAAACCCTCCGTCCCACCCATTAATGTCGCCTGCGATACATTTTAATTTAGCTGGGGGCTGATGGAAAGCGGCACGATTGGGGAGCAAGAAAGTATAAATATATTTGTATTATTTGCATGACTTTACTTTCTTATATCTTGTGAACAAATTATGTGTTTTTCTCCTTTAACGGTGTTCAGTATAACAGCATCCTCGAGAGATCGGTTGAATTCACATGGACTCATTCACATGTACTTTCAGTGTGCCCAAGGAAGAGCCGCATGGCTTGAACGTGGACGTCGCTGTAGTGTCCAGGAGAATACAGCGTCATGCCACAGAAGATGGGTCAAGAGGAATCGAGTAATTGTTCACATTTGCATCCAATACCATCCCAAGCTGGAGCATGGATAAACAGCCACTAAATGCACTCTTATCATGTCTTGGCAGGTTCACGACTCCTCCATTGGCGGATCATCGGACGATGATGACCTCCTGGGTGTCCTTCAGGGTCCGAGTTCCTTTGCCAACGCTTTTCTCTACGTCGGATTAGGCACAGTGGCCATCGGCCTCGTGATATCATTCGTGGGGACAGGCGAAAAGGGATTCAAAACAGTCGAATTGAGACTCATTGGACCATCTCTAATAGGTTGGACTCAAATATTCCCATAACACCCATAAAACCATTATTCCAATAGCATTTTCCATACAACCGCTGTGACCATTTCAATAATTAATGCAAATAATTGTGCAATATTAAATAGCAATGAAATAAGTAGTAAATAATTTATTGCTGTGAAGCATGAAATGCCACGAGAAAAAGCAGAATAAGATCAAATACATATCTAATTATCTTCCTTCTTTGACTTTCAGGTATTGGTTTGATTTGCTGTATTCTACGGATATTATTTTGTGTTTGTCCATCAAATTGTTTATCGAGTCGACGGAATGCGGAGAAGAAAAATGCCAAAATTGATGCTGATCACACGACATCACTTTTACGGAGTGATAAAAGAGTGCAAATTGCCCGCGGAGGTAATTCGCAGGTAAGCCATCAGCAGAATATCTTGAGAGTCATCATCATTCACGGGGGGAAAATGTCTCTTGCAGACCAAATTGCAGACGCATAAAACAATGTCGAAATCCCATAGTAAAACGATAGAAGGGATGGAAGCCCTCCGTCATCTCGCAACAACGTCATTGTTGCTACAATCAGAGCCAAAGGTATCATCGAATCGAATTGTTCCGGTGATTCAGGAGCCAGACAGGACAGAAGGTGAGCTTTGACGAGAATGCACAATGCATTTATTATATCTTAGTCTTCGCTACGCCCTTAAGACCTTCACACTCAACGACCATCTTCCACGCTAAACTGCCGTAAATCTTAAGGAAATTAGGGCTTTTAAGTAAATCCAGTTTCACAATTTAAACTGGCAGATAATTTTATTTTAGAGGAAATTACGGTCAGTCCCTAATTAGAAATTATTTATTAATGGAAAGCCATTCTTCCACCATTAAGTCCGAGTGTGAGCCTCGCAATCTCGTGCTCTTTGCGACAGCACCTCGCAGTCAGATGCATTAATATAATTGCAATGCACGCTGGCCACTGTTGCACCCATCAATTATTTAATTAGCACAGCCAGCTTACTCAGTGCAGGGCCTCGCAAAAAGTCTGCACTTTCACTCTCATCCAACATGGATTTATTGCGCTACGCTTGAACTTCTCTGGGGGTTGCGATTTCCATGAAAAATATGTTCAATCCTCGTGCCAACTTTCTCAACTCTATAAATAATATCTCGCCAAAATTTTTTCGCACCAGTACAAAATTGTGAATTGAAAAATTACATCAAATTTTCGCAGATGCGCCGCTGGAAATGCACAACATCGACTCACACAGTGTCGACCTGTGCGACCTCTCGGACGATAATGTGTCCAGCAGCAGCGAAGAGGGCGCCTGCGGGGGTGCGGATGTCATCCTGATAGGGGACACGGTTTCAGAGGATGTGGCTGAGGTGCTCCCGGAGCGAGTTCCGACCCTACGACTGAGCAAATTGCACCGGCAGCGAACGCGCGGCGTCCAGTCGGCGGCCCAGGTCAGCCTGCCGGGAGATGTGGCCGAGGCGGAGACGTGTCTCATGCTGCCGCCGGAGACCCTCTCGCCGCCCGCCATGGCGACCTCGCGACTCATGTCTCCGCCGCTCAAACCACACCTCAAGAGTCGCTACCCCAGCCCACTGCAGCCACCGCCATCCAGTGAACAATCAGTGACGAATTTAACTTCCATCGCCCTTCCGACATTGCCAGGAGAAGCTGAATTAGTTCTTAGTCCCTCAAAACTCGGTCAGTGATGTGCAATCATACGATTAATCCACTCTTCCCCGTGAGCCCGTCTGCGATAGCACCGGATGCCCACCAGCAGAGCATCGCGGCCAGACGCGCTCCGCGGAAGAGTTCGTTGTTAGGACAAGTTATGTGAGTTGTGTCCCGTTTTGGAATTGCGAAAGAATTTAGATGAGTGAAGATGCTAATAATAAATCTTATATTTAATTTTGCAATGTGGATATATTGAGAAAAAAATTGCTGCTCCTTATAGGTAATAAGTGAAATGTAAAGATTTTTAAGAGAAAAAAAGAAACCAGAATGTTACAGTTATGTGAGGAATACGAATTGAATTTCGAGGCAAACGTACAGTTTCGATTTCTTCCCCTCGTCTTTGCAGAAAGAGAATAAATCTACCATATAGTTTCACCCCCCAAAGAATTTGTGATAATTTATCCTTTTTCCATATTTCTCCCTTCCAAAGATCATTCTTTTCTCACATTCACAAATCTTTCCAATTTTCATCGATATTCTTTCCAAAGAGAAAACCAACAAATAATGTAGAAAAAACCCACTGATAAATGCATGACTTTCAGAGAGCAAGAAACTAGACATCAAACATTTCCTTTTTTCTTACCCAAAAAAAAGAGAAGAAGCAAATAGACATAAAATGAATCTACTTTTAAATCCCAATTGTACCTTAAAACATGGAAAACTCTCTAATCTATGTGTTTTTTCAAACATATCTTTGTATTCATGATTTCAACTTTTAAACTCTATTTATCATACAAGTCATATATTTTTATTTGATAATATAGACATGAAAAGAGAAGAGATATATTTAATTTAATAGACAATTCAGATGGAAAAAAACAATGTAGAAACCCTGAAAATTGAAAGTAAAGGATGACGTAATTCTGAAATGTGTTTACCTCGTTTTCTTTCTCCAACTACTTTAGAAGTGAATTGAGCAGCAGATTCTTCCTTCCTGGCCGTGCAATCGCCCCATCACTCTTATCAACTTTGCGGATTACCCTGAGTTCCGGCGGACGATGGCAAACTTCCCCAAACTCGACAACATCCTTCTTGAAAATACGATTATCCGACTCCTGTTCCTCCCTCTTCTGCGACTCCTTTTTCTCCTTCTTCATCTTCTTCTTGGCGTTGAACTTCACCATCTTATTCTGCGTTGGAGCTCCCTTGGCGTCCACTTGTCTTTTTGTCACCTGCACTTCTCCATTATCCTTCCGGATGATGTCCACATTGTACTTTGCCGAGTATTGCGCTTCTTTCAGTCCCTTCTGCGTGGCTCTGTTAACGCGTCGCAAGAAGTCCCGAGCAGTTTCGCCCCTGAAGGGCTTATGTTCCGGCACATCCTTGTACACACGAGGCTGCTCTGTTTTGTTTTTCCTCTTCACTGCTCTTGGCACATCCTCAATTCCACTATTTGGCCGAAAAGTTCCAGCTTTCGCCTCATTCTTCAGCTTGATGAATTGTGCTGTTGACCGGGATACGGGTTGTTCATTAATATTTTGCGGTGGATTATCGATTTTGTGCTTAATCCTTAAAAGGAGGTAAGGAAAGTGTTAAAATTTAATGAATGTCTAAATAAAGTACGAGCTTACTTGTTAAATCTCTCGCGATTTTGCTTTATTGGATCACGAACACCTCGATGACGCTTCGCAGGAATTTTTCTTCCCATTTTCCACAATATCACGAACTTTACACTGTGATTTTCCGAAGAAAAACTCGAGAGTTTTCAGAGAACACGCGAGTTTGTTTATCAAAATTACCACGAGGTTATGTTGGTTTGTTTACAACAAGTAGCGCCACGGCATATTCGTCAATCACAGGCGAGAGGATTCAATTGAAAATTTCACCTTTCATTTCAGCAGAGATATCAATTGATATTTAATAATTTGAGAACTAATACGTCTTATCTTGTTAATCACGCAGAATCCCTTGATAAGATTGTCACCACAATTCTGCCTCATCTGCTATCGTCTTCTTATCAGAGACTTGTTCTCGCAACGTTCTCAATTCTTGATAAATTTCATGAAACTTTGCGACTAAAAAATCATAGCGTGAAATCGTTCCCACGTCATGCACAACCAGCCACACGGGAGAGTATTTTTAGTTGAAAAGTGATGAAAAGCATAATTTTCGTAGTTCTTGCCGCGCTAATCAGTAGATCGACAGCTTGGGATACTGTAGAATTGGAAATATTTGATCTCGTTGAGGACATAAATGAAAATTTCTACACTCTGCTCGGCATCAATCAGGTGAGTTGTCAACACGTTGGAGACAAGTTTTTACAAAAGAGATTTATTCGTTTTTCCCCTGGGTTTTCCAGAATGCCACGACAGCTGAGGTGAAACGTGCTTTTCGCACCCTCTCTGTGGTGCTGCATCCGGACAAGACAACGGCCGAGGGTGCCAACGAGAAGTTTCGCAACCTCGTCGCTGTGTACGAAGTGCTCAAGGATCCGGAAAAGAGGGAGAAGTATGATAAAGTCCTCAGAGATGGATTGCCCAACTGGAAGTCCGGGCTCTACTACTACCGGCGCTTCAGGAAGATGGGCATGGCGGAGATGGTGTCAATTCTGTCCGTGATCCTAACGGTGGGACAGTATTTGATATCCTGGGCGGTGTACTTCGAGAAGAAGTACACGGCTGAGCAGATTTTGGGCACAAAGATCAAGAAGATCCAGAAGAAGCAGAAAAATACGATAGACATGGATCGGATACTGCAGGAGATTCCCAAACCGAGCATCTTCCAGACACTTCCCTTCCAGATTCCCCTCTTCATCTGGCGCTTTCCCAAACGGATGAAAGATACATACAAAGAGTACCGCGAAGTGAAGCAGAGGCAACTGGAGGAGGAAGAGCGAGAGCAGGAGGAAGAGAAGCGCCAACAGGAATTAGTGGAGAAGATCCAGAAGCAGAAGGAGGAAGCTAAGGGACTGCGGAAGCGAAAAGCCTTCGTAGTGCCGGAGAAAACAGACGAGGAACTCTCAGGGTACACGAATGTGATGTCAAAAACCACTCCTGATGGTGTCGTGCGTCCTGTCCATCATACTCAGGTGAGGAAAATTAGTATGTTGGCAAATCTCTGGGAAATTTATACTGCTTTTTTTTGTGTGCTTCAGGTCCCCGTTTCCGGTGGATTGTGGACGGATGACGACCTTAATGAGCTGGTGCGCCTGGTGAAGAAGTATCCTGGCGGCACGACGGATCGCTGGGAGACAATTGCCAGTGCAATGAATCGATCAATCCCCGAGGTGACCTTCATGGCGGCGAAGCTCAAAGATAACCCCCTGAAGGCGCCGAATGCCACGGAGCCGGAAGAACTTGGTCATGCAAAGACCAAGCAAAAAACTCAGGACGGAAAGCAGCTGATAATCCCCGTGACTAATTGGAGTCAGCAGCAGCAGCAGGCGCTGGAAGTGGCGATTGTGAAGTATCCCAAGGGAGGCGTGGGCGATCGGTGGCAGAAGATCGCCAACTGCGTGCAGGGAAAGAACAGGGAGGAGTGCATGGCGCGGTATAAGTACCTCGTGGAGTTGGTGAAGAAGCAGCGCGAGGAGACAGTGGCTCCTGAGCAGGAGGAACAGGCTGAGGAGTCTGAAGAGGTTGCAGAGGAACCAGAGGAGATTGCTGAAGAGGAGGAATTGATTGAGGAGCCCCCTGAGGAAGAAGAGGAGGAGGAGGAAGAGGAGGTGGTGGAAGTGGTGAAGCCAAAGGGGAAAAACCGACGACGGGATCGGAAGAAGCTGGCCGAACTGACGCTGGAGGAGTACGAAGAGTATGATAAATAAATTGCCACGCGAAGGGACACTGTAAGATGTTTGCATTGCACAGAAGGAATGCTCGCGTCGCGACATGAGGTGAGCATATGAGCATTCTCTATATCGACCGTCGGGGAGTCTGCGCAGACTCCTGTCCAAAAATCCTCGTCTTTTTATTGTCCAACACCCCCCGAAGACGAAAAGTCAAAACCGAAGGGAGAGAGAAAAAACAAGGAGCACGCATAAGTGATAGGACAGGACAAAGTGGTGGAAAATCGGTGTGAAAACGGGCCAGATACCCTTCCATGGTGATCCCTGTGTGCTGTACAGTGCAGCTGTGAGCGTCCAGGGGGTGTTTTTCCAAGGTTTTCCGCGGGCAGCGAGGGTGAGGGCGACAAAAGGGACTCGCCAGTGAGACTGTGCTGTGTGTCAGAGAATGTTGAGGAGCACGAGTGACATCCTGACACTCGTGAAATGTTTCCTTCTCGACACCTGATTGCGACGGGAACGGCACTGGGAGCTGTTGCAATTGCCGATATCGTGAGTATCGACCAGGCGCCACCTCGGATGCCCCTCACTCAAGCGGACGCTCTCCCCAAGGTGTCTGGGCGCTACTGCGAAGGCGGACATCGGTGCTCCGCCCCGAAGGAATGCTGCGCCCAGGGCTGTTGCTATCTCTACGCGCCGCCGAGTCCGCCGCGCACGGTGCCTCCGGCGGCGGATCACGTGCTGAACCTCTTCTTCATCAACCACTGGTACTTCTGGTGCCTCGTGCTGGCCATCATCCTGGCTCTCCTGTGCGCCTGTTCGCTGTGGAAGAAGCGCCGGCAGCTGTGCGGATGGGGCGTCTCCGGCGCCGGCCACAGCACCCACTCAGAAGGTACCCACAGAACGGTCATCACTCCCCCAATCGCTTTAATCCCGCATTCTCGAGCATTCCGATAAGAATTATCGCCTGGCATTTGGACCCGTCGCTGAAATATTTACATTACGCTCGTATGAATTAATCATTTGGACGAGTCTCTGAACATTTCGGGCGTCATTCTCACTCATGATTGGCTGAAAGGGTCCCTAATGGGGGAATATTTAATATATTTTTCTGCATGCTGAAGCATTAAATTTGCAAGGGACGAACTGGTTCACCAGAGACTCTAAATTCGGAATGCCGCTGAGGCATAATAATCAAATTGGATGAAATAACATTCGAATTACAAGAAATTCATTATCATCCCATAAAAACATTTCTTAGGAACATTCCATTTCCATTGTAGCACAAAATATCTATGTAATAATGTAGGAAACAATATTGATGTTACCAAACAATAATAGTATCATTTGAGTTCTCACGTTGAGTGAGGAATTGGGATAAATGCATATTTTTTTAGGGAAATTCACTCGAGTTTCATTATCAATTCCAATTCAACCCTTTTTCCGTGCATAATAATATTTTGTGAACCCAAATATGAATACATTCTCCTAAATATCATCTGAAATACAGTCTTTATTACCGTTTCATCCAAATAATACGAACTTTCTTAAGCTTGTAAGTTTAGAAAACACGGAATTTGCGTTACGCTCTTAAGCATGTCCTTGCAAACAATGTCCCTCAAAGGTCGTTCTTTTGGCGAATTGCAACGTATTTTAATTTTCTTCATTGAAAATCAGGTGATTCCGCGGGCTCGTGCTACGCTCCGCCTCAGTATAGCCGCTGCAGTTCCTTCCACCACGCTCCGCCACCCTACACGGAAGTCACCTCGAAGCCCGACCTGTATCCGCTGGTGTTCTCTTGCAACGGCGACAGTGGCAAGAATGGCGCCAACTACCTCATGGTGCAGTACTTTCGCAACTACATCGTGAGGCCGCTGGGCAGCATCTCGGCCACCAGCACAGTGGACTCGCTCAGCTCCAGCTTCATCTGCACAGTGAACGAGGCCAACAGTCTCGTGCCGCCGCCGTACTCGCGTGCCGCCAGTCCGGACGCCACCACCACCATCTCCATCAACAGAGCCTTCCCGCGCTCAGCCTCGCAGCACGCCACGTTCGCCGCAGATCCGCACCACCTGCGGCCCGCCAACTCCGTGCCCGGCGTCATGAACTGCGTCCAGCCGGGCACCAGTGAGGACGGATCCACGCCGTGCCTGCGCTTCTCCGACAGCACCAACTTCCCCTACCTCTCGGGCGGATCGCAGCACCAGCCCTCGCCCGGCACAGTCACACTGAACATCTCTCAGAGCGAGCACCACATCCAGGCGCTGGGCGCCGGTCAGAGCCTGGCCACGAGTGCCACCAGCGCGGCCAGCAACAATGTTCTCTGCAGCCCTTCGGGTAAGTGTCCTTTCAACTGGCAAATCTGAGTCCTTCCAGGACTCTAGCTGTGTGTGTGTGTGTGAATTCACTTCAGAAATATGACATTCATTAAGAATACCTTCAATTGAACATGAATTCAATCCCATTTCCCAATAGTCACAGAATAAATACACCATCAACAAATTCACATGGGATTCTAGCATGGAGCAATGCCAGCTATTTAAATTTCAATCACACCGACATTCATTGAATTCCATGCACAAAAGCTGCATATTTCGTTATTCCTCTTAAATGTGTGTATAAAGCTGTATTTTTGGCGAAATTTCCTCTTATTGAAAGCACCCCACGATGGTATCATGAATTCTGATACTCATATAAAGACTTCTCTTTCAACATTTGCATTTAATTTAGTGAGAGTGGTTTTTGATGAAATGCTTCATATTTGAAGAGGTCACGTAGGAGCGTAAAAACGGTCGGCCGTGAGTGATGAAAGAGGGAGTGAGCAATAGAGAATATGAATCCCCCAAAGAGTCCTACTTTAAGACAACTCACTTTGTGCACTCTTTTCCAGGACAATCCGTTCCTGCTTCGGGATCTGTGGAGAATTTCCATCATCAGAACTACGAAGATTTAAGTGCTTTGAGACGAAATCTCGAGAAATGTTGCCACATTTTGCAGAAGCAGCACCCGTCTGGCCCGGCAAAGTTCCCCCTGACGCCGGGCGAGAAGTCTCCCAGTGCCCTGGAGGCGGGATCGGAGCACTACGGCGGTCTCCGGACGTTTGTCAACTCCAACATGGACTCGGCCGTGTCGAGTTTGACCAACATCGAGAGCCCCATGTCGCCGCCGCAGGCCATCAGTCCCACGGACGAAGTGCGCGAGTTGCTGGAGCAGATCAAGCAGCTGCAGAGCACGACGTCGGCCCTCGAGGCGACCGAGGGTGGCTCGAGGAGTGACCAACGCAGATCTGGCCCTCCTGGACAGCATGCCGAGTGTGTTGTCACGCCGGAGACGTACACCGTGGGCACGCGCAGGAGTCTGTTCGGCAAGTCCACAAAATCCGCGTACATTCCCTTCTCGTCGGTGAGGGAGACCCAGCGCAGTCCCACGGGCCAGCGCCCCACGAGCTTCCTCATCCTCGCCAAGGGCTACCCCTACTCGGGCAAGAGGAGCTGGATATCGCGATCGGCACCGACGACGCCGGGCACCGCCCTGCCAACGACAAATCAACTCACCGAGGACAGTCCGCTCCTCGATGAGCACGACGAAGAGGAGCAGAACGTGTAAAGGAACCCCAGTTTGACCCCGCCCCTCCCTCCAAAGCGCCCCATTTTGCTCTTCGACATAATGTTTTAATTAACACTGTATCAATGTGACAATGTAGCCACTTTTCGCCCCCCTTTATCTCTAAATCTATCTATAATCTCTCTCTCAATGATCCGGGACAATCCTCAATTTCGGCATTACTTTGCGAATCTCAGCGGCAATCAGCTCGGTTTCTTCTGCCAAATGGAAGTTGGTTTATTTCAACGGATTTTCCTAACACCAGTGGCCCGTAGAGGATTGTAAACACTCCGTCATTTTGCCGGATTTGGTATTTTATTCAGTTTCAGTATTACTCCGTTCACAATAACGCACATTTCGCAGTTGTAAAACAGTAGAGAAATAAAACTAACACATATATACCAAATCAAATAGCCAAAGCTAAAATTAAACAGAGATAAGCAATATCAATAGGTCCTAAGTTACAGTGCCTCTGTAACAATCACTTCTGCAATACTTTGTAAACTTTCGAAGAGTGTTCACACTCTTCTACTCGCCACTATTATTTTTAAAATAATTCTGTCGTTAAGATTGTGTAATATTTAAAGGGTATATATTTCATTAGTTAACAGAATATGTATAATAAAAGTGAGTAAAGAGAAGTAAACTGTTAATGATATTAAGGATTGCATACTTAAAGTCACAACTGTATTTGATGATGAAAGAATATTTACGTGCAACTTAGTGATAAGACTTTTTTTGTGCTTCAATCTCCCCCGTCTCCTCAAACAGTAATAACTACACGCCCCAACCAGAAGGGATAACATTATGATAAGCAGATGAAGAGAGAAAGGAAAAAAAAAACAACAACAATGTAATAAAAGTACTTGTAATAAAAATTGCATTCCGGAAGCACTTCCTTAGATAGAGGCTTTACATAGAATAACAATTGTCTCGGAATTGAATAATAAAATATTGTACGAATTGCAATAATATTATCAATTTGTCAGTACTCCAATTAGTTTTTATGCACACTTTGGCTTTATCAGTTTCTAGTTTTAACCAAAAGATAGCTTATAAAAGGAATGAGAGTCGAGGAACGTGATTAGTAGGGCGCAATGCGTCTGCTTGTGATGGTTTTCTGTCTCTTCATTGTGACTAAGAGTGTCGTTTCACACCCAATTGAAACTGTGAGGATCAAAAGGCAAGACGCTCCAGATATGTCTCAAATGCAACCCTGGATGGAGTTGGGAATGAAATACGGATCCCTCAGTGAGGAAATAATCATAATATTGACTGGTAATCAATGCTAAAGTATTCTTTGGCGTCTCTTTCAGCTGCCACGGAAATCTTAATGCCTATGGCAAAGGAGGCAATGGAATTGGCAGCTGATCAATTCGGTCCTGACACAGGGTCTTGAGTTCCTGAATTCTACTGAGTGAGAGAATTAAAGGAAAATGCAGAGTAACTCTTGATGTAGTCAATTGTGGGGCCCTTTGGGTACTCGTATGTGGTTTCTGGGGGCTGATCACAGAGAATGATCCCCGGAGGAGTTTCCTGGGGCTCATGAAGCTTCAAATAGTACGAAGAATACGTGACTGTTGGGATAGAAATAGGATTTGGCGGGACTTCTTCGGCTTCTTGGAAGCTTCCGCTCTTACGAGGAGTTTCAGAAGTCCCAGACTTGTTGTCTCTCAGTGGAATTTTCTTCCCATCCGTGTGTTGTCTAGAATGGCGAATCAACGCAGAGGATTGATTGAATTTATCTCCGCAGAATTTGCACGCAAATGGCTTTTCTCCCGTGTGAATGCGAAAGTGACAGGTAAGATTGGAACTGCTGGAGAATTCCTTGCCACATTCTGAGCATCTGTGTCGCTTCTCACCAACGTGAACCGTCTTGATGTGAAGATTTAAGTAGGAAGTCTTGTAGAACGCCTTACTACATACCTTGCAGATGTGATTCTTCACGCCGCTGTGTGTGCCCGAGTGACTGGCCAGTTCCCCGGCTGACTTGAAGGCCTTGGGACAGAGGTTGCAAGCGAAATTTCTCTCTACAGAGTGAGTCCTCTGATGTGCGTAGAGATTGCTGGAAGTGGTGAACATTTTGCTGCAGATCTCGCATTGATATCGTCTCTCCCGACTATGCGTTCGCATGTGGAGATGCACATTCCCAGCTTGTGCGAATCTCTTCTTACAAATCTGCAAAATAAAGTGTTGTCTGAGACTTGAAACGCAATCCTGGAAGGACACTTACTGGACACTCGAAGGGCTTTACTCCTGTGTGTGTCCGGAGATGGGCAGTGAGATAGCCGGGATACTGGAATGTCTTGCCACATTTGAAACACTTCTGTGGCTCTTTCTTTTTCTTCGCACAAGACTTTTCCTTCTTTTCGCTATCATCAAATTCCGGCATTAAACTAGCTATTGAGTAAGAGTCTCTCTTCGTAGGAGTAGTCTTAACTATCTTCTCTTGCGCTTTCTGCACTGTGTCAGTCTTTTCCTTGCCATTTTCTGGCTGTTTACTCTCAACTTCCTGCGTGGAATCCTTTTTCTTCCTCAAGAGACATTCTTTCAGATAGTAATCAGAGGATTCGCAAACTATCTTGAACTTGTAAGCATTCTCCAGACGATGCAGACAATTATAACAGATAAGACCAGAAAGTCCATCGTCCTGAGATACCTGAAGTACCACAAATTGATTAATATTTTGAGGAATTCATGCAAAACACAAACTCACTTGAATGTTTGCAAATGATTGAAACATTTCCAGGATAGACACTCCAAGTCTGCTGCTCTTAGCAAACAGAGACCTCAACTTTCCCTTGTCCTCCAAGCAGGAGCGACAAATTTTGGTGGAATTTTGAGGCATCGGCCGCTGTTACCTCGAGAATTTTGAGGAAAACCAGGAAGAGGAACTCCTCCGGCAGACTTTGTTTTGATTCGCAAGATCTCCGTTGAGGGGTCAATGACAACAGCTTGCATGCCAGTGCTTAGCACCAGAATTCGAAGCCTCAACAATTAGAAATCGAAGGAATTCCGAGTGATTTGTGTAATAATAAAGTTTTATTTCAATTTGCGTGGATGTTTTGCAATCTTTAGTGTTGCTCATCACCTTAAATGAGTGAATGAATCTGGGGCTTGCATGCATTTTAACCGTCTGCCAGTACCACTTTTGACACCCGGAATTCCGAACTTTTTGCCCCTCGATTTTTTAATATGGCAGATGACAGTGATATTAAAAATAAAATAGGTGAAGAAATTTTTCAATATTTCCGTGTGATAATCCGCTCTGAGTGTGTAGAAATCCAGTCAATGAGGATATTTACCTGTTAAATGGTGAGTTTTCGTTTGGGTGGTGGCAGAAAGTGGGGCCGAATGGGTCGAAAAGCGGCGGAGAAAAACCTTATTGACGACAACCGGCAAAGGCGTAGTCGGCTGAGAAAGGGGCCAAAAAAGCAGGAAAAAAGAGAAAAGTTGAGTGTTCTGGGTGGAAATTTCGAGTCTCTGTGGATTTTAATCAGTTAATTGGCAGAGGGGGAGATCAATATTTGGCGAGGAATTTAGTGGGTGCGTGGAGTAAACAGAGAGGGTTCGGCTCTGGGTGGATCTTCGGCAGTGTCTCTTCTGGGAGGGAGAATCTGTGCTGAGATTGCAGATAAGACTTATCGGATCTAGTGCTTATCCTCTCTCTCCACTCCGTTCCATTTCAGGTATGACTTCTGTGTGGCTGCACAGAGTGTGAAGTGAATGCGAATCAGCTCGCGCCATGAATTGAGTGCCAAAAGAGGAGAAAGTGACCGGAAATCAAGAGCAGGAAGTCGCGATACTTTGGGTGATCTGTGTGAGTGAGAGCAGTGAGGATGGGTAACAAGAATTCGTGCTGCAGCTATGCCAGTCCCACGCCCGTGAGGAAGACTCAGGCGGCCCCAGAGACGCCAGAGTTCAACTGCCACATCCCCAACAGTGAGCCCAACTTGCCCCACATTTCGGAACGCGAGGCGGCTGACGGCGATGTTGACCCGTCGGTGCACCCATCGGCGGCGACAATGTTCCTGGAGCGCTCAAAGCAGTGCCTGGAGAATGGCATCACGCGCAAGAAGTCTCAGCACCAAATTGCCCCACAGACAGGTGGGCTGAAGAAGAGCAGCTCGTGCTCCACCATCTACCTCGACGACAGCACAGTATCGCAGCCGAACCTGAAGAACACAGTCAAGTGCGTGTCCCTGGCCATCTACTATCACATCAAGAACAGGCAGTCGGAGAGGCGGCTGGACATCTTCGATGAGCGCCTCCATCCACTCACGCGTGATCCGGTGTCGGAGAACTACGACATGCTCATGCCGGAGCACCGGCAGATCTACAAGTTCGTCCGGACGCTCTTCAACGCGGCCCAACTCACGGCTGAGTGTGCCATCATCACGCTAGTGTACCTCGAGCGCCTGCTCACGTACGCCGAGCTGGACATTGCTCCATGCAATTGGAAGCGTATCGTGCTGGGCGCTCTGATGCTGGCCAGCAAAGTGTGGGACGACCAGGCGGTGTGGAATGTGGATTACTGCCAGATCCTCAAGGATATCACAGTGGAGGACATGAATGAGCTGGAGAGACAGTTCCTGGAACTCCTCCAGTTCAACATCAATGTCCCGTCCTCCGTGTACGCCAAGTACTACTTCGACTTGAGGACACTGGCCGAGGCGAACGATCTGTCTTTCCCCTCGGAGCCACTCTCCAAGGAGCGCGCTCAGAAGTTGGAGGCCATGTCTCGGGTAATGCAGGACAAAGTCACCGCCGAGGCGCTGAAGAATGGCGTGAAGAAGTGGTCCTCAATGGACAATATCAACAGCCAACAAGCTGCACGACGAAGTGTGGCGATTCTCTCGTGATTTCACCAATTCGAGGTACACCTTCTCACGCATTCTATTATAAATTGCCCCACTTTAGATCGAGCGGTCGGCTCCTAAGTGCTAAGCGAGGGTCTAGGAGCACCCAAAGTGACGAGACAGAGAGATAGAGAAAGAGAGAGAAAGAGAAACTAACGTGATTATGAAAATTCATTAATACCGTAAATGAAACTTAAGTCTTAAGAGATTTATCACATTTTGCATTCCTCGAAGTTTGGATATTAGGCGTGAAAGTAGCAGATGTACTTCTCAATGACATTCCTCGAGGGTGTTCACAGATGTGTGTGCACGAAATTGCAGAGCGCCTCTGCAATAAAAGTATCGTAGAGTCCCATTTGAATATTTATTGCTGTGCCTCGCATGTAAAGCAATATTGCAGTCGTGTGCTGAAGACATTTTATCGTGGTGTAACAGAAGAAAAAAAACAGCATAAAGGCTTTTAAAGCTGCAATTTTCCACAGAGTTTTTCTCACTTGACAATTTTCGTGCTGCTAAAGCTACATATAATTCTCAGAGAACGTGCTGATAGATAAATATTTGGGCAACTCCCTAATTCCAAGATAAATCGAGGATTAAATATTTACCTTCATTATCTCCAATTGAGGAAAAGTTCCTTATCGCTTAGTTAATTCATTTTGGGAAATGCCTTACACATATTTCTGTATTAAGAGAATGAGCGAACAATAGAGATGATTAGCTAATTTAATGCTAATCTTCAGCCGCGTGTCTTGCTTGTTTGTAGAAGAGTCACTGATTAAAATGTAGGCAAAGAATTGATTGATGGGCTTTATTGGGCTATTCAATAATAAATCCTTGAATTACAACGATTCTACGTTACAAATAATGGAATTGTCATTTTGTTGCACACATGATCTGAATTTCTAGCACGCTTCTGTGGCGCCTTCGAGGAAGACTTCCAACAAATCATCCTCTATTTGAGAATTCTGTTCAATTTCAGAGTCGAGTTGAGTTCTTAGCGATAAACTTCGAGAAAGTCCACAGATCAATATACATAAATACGATATGGAGATGTGACATGATTGGTAAATAACACGAGAAAGGAATATTGTGGAGAAGAAAGGGAATAATTTAAAGTACCAAAGTAACACTAGTGAATTATGTGTATTGATTGGCGAGGCGAAAAAGGAGATGAAACTTAAAGAATTTGCATGTAACATTTTTTCAATTTTTATATAAGAAGAAGAAGAAAATACATGAAAAATGATTATAAATGTGAAAGGAAAAAGAATGTGGCGTGAAAGAGGGAAAAAAACGAAATGAGGAGTGAATCAAAATTGATGATTGGACCTCATATCATGGGGTTTGAGGGAAAAGACATGAGACTGCAAGGAAAGTGTCAATTTGAGAATATTATTTTCACTAAAAAAAATGCCCCCCGAAAGTCATTAGTTCCATCGCATGCTAATTTCTTTTCTGTAAATGATATATTGATATTTTTGCAGGATAAAAATCATTGTGAAACATTTAGATTTATATATGTTTTGTATAATTAATTTTCTCTTTCCGTCGTACAGCAAGAAAGTGTAATATTTTGTAGTTAATTTCACGGAGGATAAGAGAGAGAGAGAAGGATGGAGAAAGCATAAAAATGAAATATAGAGATAGAAAGTCAACTAGGATGATAGAATACAAAGTAATTTCACATCTTCCGCAGAAAACCGAAAAGATACATGATTAAGAGAGGAGGAAAATAAAGAGATATGAAGGAAAAAAACAAACATATTTGTGAAAGAGTCTTTTTTCTTGATTTTCTGGGTGAATTTTCACGGGAAATCTGTGGAATATTCTCGCCTCTGCTCAACGAGTGTTCCGCTTACGATAAAGTGGCAAAGTCGCGTTGTTTGCAAAATGACCCAGTAATAAAATATTATCAAGCCGCAGAGTATTAATTGCACTTTTATTCACATCCCATAAACTGTTTGAATACCAACAATACTTATGATAATTTTATCTATTTATGGCAAATTTATTGATGTTTTCGAGTGAATTCCAAAATATGACTTATTTGCTTCAACTATGTCACAGTTCGAATGAATCAATGCGTTTTCTTTACTTTTCATTATCGCTACTTATCTCAAAAGATGATCACAACGCCTGTGTTTCTACTCTATTGACAAATAAGTCAACTGCTTTTTATTGTCAGTGATAATATTGAATCAGAAGATTACGTTCTTTTTTTCAATTATGACACAAAATATCTCTGTCGTCATTATCTTGTCGCATTTTTGAAAATTCTTTCGCGATTTGTAATCGGAAGTTTTTCTCTTCATCTTATGTGTGTAATATTGACCTTCACTTATTCTGCATACAGGGTAGAATTAGGGAGCAATTCAAGGTTCACTTGATAAGGAAATTACTGTTTATTGACCTCTAGTTCTTCAGTAATTACTAGATTGTGCAAACTTACTTGAGATCTCCGTGAGATTGAGCATAAATCTCAGTTATTACATGTATTAATTAGAGTTTGATATTCTTATGTAGACTCTGGCTTAATTTACTTACTTTTCCCAATGACTTTTCTAACGCAATGGAAAATTTTTTTTTATATTCTTACATTCTTTCGCGAGATTAGCCATTCTTGGGAAATTCTTGTCTGTCTGATAATGTGAGGGTTGTAAAATATGTAGCTAAGAGAGAATTGATAATTGTCAATCTTAAAGTTTTTTATTCAGAATTCCACTGAATTGAATTACACACGCAGAGAGAGAGAAAGAATGATTAAGTGGCGGGAAAAGGCGGGATGTTTTCCCTGCTGGCAACTCAGAGTCAATTCTCAAGCTCAATCGTCTCGCAATAGTCACAAAATCACAGTCCTCGTGAAGTGTGTGCTTGTGAACTTCTTTGTGAGCTCTCTGTAAAGTGAGGAAGTGACTTATTGGCGCCACAGTGGGAAGAAAACTCGCAAGAGTGTGTCCTTTGGCAATAAGGGAAAGTGCAGTGATTTTTTTCCTCTGGATTTCTCCGCCGTGAGATTATCTGATTAATGTGATTTTCCTGTATAGTGTGTGAGTGGGAAAAATGCTGGAAAGATCGATTGAGTTCAGCGTAGATCAATTGAAATGTTTTGATGAGCTGAGATTAATGCTCCAAGGTTTGTGAGCTGCACAAAGAAAAATGGCAATATGTCCCGAAGCCTGTTGACAAATCTTCTAACATGATATTCTTATCAAAATTGTTTCAGATTGCCCTCTGCTCGTAATTCGTCATGACAATGAATTCCTATATAAGTTCCTCTGCCTCATGAACTGGAATGTCGATGAAACTTTCAAACGAATGATTACACTCTTCAAATTCAGGGTACAACGCAGGAGGAGTTATACTTGCAAAAAACGTGATTATGATTAATTGGGGTTATTCTGTTGTTTGCAGAAAGACAATCCAAAATACTTCCTCTTCGGTCCCATTGATCTGCTACAGAAACTTCTGCACAGCGATTGCAAGTATTTGCTGGAAAAGCCAGATCGCTATGGTCGATGGGTGTATATTGTTAAAGTGGGTGAGTAAAGTGTCATCATTCAGATTAATACAATTGATCAATTATTTTACTGATAACAAGTCGAATAAGTGGCAAATAAATAATCACACGCTCTGACTTTTCGAAGTGTTAGGCCGAAAAATGATTCGGTCAGCAGATTCTCTGTTGCTCACCAGAATGGAAACAGATTAGAAGGCTCGCGTGTGTCCCTGAGAATCTCTCACTGTTCTTTTCTTTTTTAGCTCGCTACACCCATGCAAATAATGTTTATGAAATAGCACAATTGGACGACCTGTGGTTTTCCGCAATAATGGATGATCCGCATGCCATCAAGAATGGTGTATCGGTTTTAGTTGATGCCAAAGAGTATGTGAAACATTCAATTACCAATGACTTCTCAAACATCACAGATTAGTTAATGGCCGTGACAAATTTCAGTGTTCCACTGCGTCTGGTCTCGTGGGTGACGCCAAAGCATTCAAGGATAATGTCACAGAAGACGGAAATTGCACCCTTTCGGATAACATTCCACTTCGTGAATTCCTCCAAAGCCATCAATTTGGGTGTTAAGCTCGTGTTTCCCCTCATCTCGGCAGAGGCGAAGAAAACCATTCACTTTCACTACTCCGACTGGGATTCTCTGCACAAGTGGATTGGGAAGGAGGTGTTGCCGGTGGAATACGGGGGGAGTGTAACCCATCTGGACCAAGATAAGTTGAAGGAGAAAATCTACAACAATGTGGACAAAATCCTCGAGAATATGACTTATGGCTTTGTGGAGCCTGAGCCAGAAAATTGGGATAACAGGTGCTCGTGAGGGTCTTTCTTCGACAACATTGTGTGTATAGAAATTGTTTAGACACTTTTTGTATAGAGATATATTTTTTTTGTGCAATAAAGTCCACTGTATTTACCTTTACACCCCTTCGACACAAACTCTTCTATGCAGTGCCTTTTCTTGGGGATGTTTTTTGTACGTGAATTACTTCTATTCCCCCACTGTGTTTCCCTACTCTCTTAAGCTTACAAAGAAATACTCTCACCGATTTACTGCAAAGCACTCCAACTTTTATGTGTTTTTTGTACAAAAAACTTTCTTCTGTAAAACGGTGAGAGGTTTGAATAGCACCATCCTGGCTAAAGTGCCACAAGAGAAGCACTTACAACTTCGAGCTACACTCTTTGCAGCTTCTATGGAAAAACATTGCGTGAGTGAAATCACTTGAAGCATCAGTGATTTTCCACGGGAATCAAAATTATTTACATACGGTGGTTTTTTCTCGTGAAAAACGTTGTTTAAAAATAAACACTATACGTTGAAAGTGAACAAGTCGCAGATGAGTTGCATGCGACTGTGCAAAAAGTTCCCAACTACCAAAATCCCTGGATTATCGATTGCTTCATGACTAAAAATTTGCATTTAATAAAATGCAAAAATAGCATAAAAAGCTCATGCGAAACGATGGCAAAGTAAATTGAGAGCACTATCGAGCATTTGCATATGAGCATGATAGATTGGTGCAAATTGAATTTTTTCGCTATCGCGGAAATTAGCATAAATTGACATATCACACTTGAGAGTGGGAGGGGCGCCTCATGGATCATTAAGTAATGAAACGGCATAAAAATCTCACAAAAGTCGAAGCAAATTTATTCAAATGAGCCTTAATCAAACAAGCACGTTCAACGTACACCTCGGTTTAATCTCCCATCTCGCCGCACTGTAAACACAAAACCACAATTAACAATTTCTCAACCCGGACAATACACGCTGAAAAAAAACAGAAGTCCACAATTGCGGTGAAAAACAGAAAGAGAGAGAGAGAGAGAGAAATATGATGAGATTATCAGAAATGCACTGTTTTTTCCAGTATCAATTGCCTCGATTATCTCCAGGTGAATATGATAATTGAGCAGAGTCCTTCAGATTAATGCTAAAGAACTGGTCGAGAATTTATTGCATTACTCGCCTCACCATCAATGAGATTCTGTGCTGAATGATTTCACTCTCATTCCCTCCACTATAAAGCTCTCCGTCTCTGTTCCACAACTGAGAGTAAAAGCGTATTCGGTTTTTGCCACTATGTTCACTCACCTGTTCCGTGTCGCGATCGCTGGTGATCGTCTGACAGTGTGCAAGAATATCTCACGGCGATCGCATAGAGTTAACAATTTTTCTGTGGCTGTGACAAAGGGAAATCGACAGGAGATGCAGGAAAATCGGTTGAAACCGATGAAGGGCCGAGCCGATGTGTACGGGATGTATTTCGACGTTCCCTTCTCGCGCTTTGAGCTCGAGTGCATCGATCAACTCAGGAGATTGGTGAAAAGTGAGCCAATTAGATTATCTCAAGGGAAACACTTAGTCAAAGATTTATGTTCCAGCCTATCCTCTCTTGCTAATTCGGCAAGACAACAACTTCCTGGCGCGCTTCCTCAACTGGAGCGAGTGGAATGTGGACAAAGCCTTCGAGAAGCTGTTGACTTTCTACAAGTTTCGCAAAGATAATTACAAATACTGCCCCTTTGCGCCGCTTTCCGACTATGAGAATTTCATTAAGAGCAATTGCTTGGTAATGCTGGACCAGAGAGATCGCAACGGACGCAGAGTTTACATCTGCCGTATTGGTGAGTATTCTAATGTCCAATGCAAACACGCTCATCACCTCCGAAGGTGGATTTTTTACTCCAAACTCTTTTCATTCTCCCACTCAGCCCGATACTTAATGGCGAGGAGCATTTACGAGGTCTCACATTTGGATGACATGTGGTTCGAGTGTGTTCTTGATGAGCCTGAAACACAGAAGAACGGCGTATCTGTTATTATGGACGTGAAAGGGTAAATTTTATTCATATCAGACACCTCTAATGCTTATTTTCACGTGGCTGACGTTGATTACACCACGCAAAAATTGCTCGCTTTCAGACCAATTCCTCTAATTACCATAACATGTAACACTTCATGCTTATCGAAACGCGAATGGGCAAAAACGCGATACCCTTTCATTAAGGATATTTGAACTTATGGCCCACTGTTTTGCAGAATGTCTCTCAGTCTCCTCAAGTGGCTCACACCGAAGCACTCTAGTGTCATGACGAGAAAGGCCGACGTGGCTCCCTTGGCGATTTACTACCACGTGGTCAATTCGTCAGGACTCATGAAGGTGATCATGCCCGTGATCTTCCAGTTCATGTCGCCTGAGACACGCGATCGCGTGTTCTTCCACTACGACAACTGGCCGTCGCTACACAAGTACATTGCGCCCGAAATACTGCCCTCGGAATATGGGGGCTCTCTGGAGCTGGACTACGAGAATCTCCGCAAGCTCCTGTATGACCGCGAGGACTTCCTGCTTGAGTACATGACGCACGGCTTTGCGGATCCCGAGCCGGAGAATTGGGATCATCAACTCCTCGATGTGACCCGATAGCACGGTGCAATTTATCTGTCATCAGCCGCTCATTCCCCAGCTCCCCTTCACCCAGGCTCGTGGATAGAATCTCTCTATGGTGCCATGCGCTTGCGCCATGGTAGTATTTTCACATGTGAACCTGAGAGAGCGAGAGAGAGGAGATTTTCCCACTCTTCGCGAGGATGCCCTCCTCAATCGATAGCCGGCAACATGAAAAAGTTTCCCTCTTTCACTCTCACCCATCTTTCAGTGTTACTTCAGACGGCGATACCACTGCAGCTCTCTCGGGACTTCATCGCGCGATTTTCCTCAATTTTCCCATCCCTCGACTTTGTGTTTCCGTTGTGCGTTTTCGCGATCAAAAATATTCACGCTGTGTAGAGTCAGTATTTGTCAAAGAAGAATTGTGACGTCTTTTCGAGAAGCGGAAAATCCCTGCCTTATATCGTGTTTGATGTGAATCATTGTAAAATAAATGAAAGAACATTCGCCTTGAAAATATCCGTTTTCTCCCCTTTTTGGCGCCCGTTTTGTGGTTCGCACACGCGACGCGCGAAAGGGACTTTCTCCTGTGAGTGAAAATCCACCGAGATTTCAAAATTGACAATCGTGTGTATCAACACTTTTATTTATAATTCGCGACAAGAGTGAAAAAAGAGAACCACAAGAGAATATGATTGCATAGACAGACGATTTGGCATGTGGCCAGTCTTTCTCAAAATTCCACCCATAAAGTTTGCCTGTTCAAAATCCCATTCTCAAATATTTTCAAGCCACCCGAGAGAAGCACCCATGGAGGAGTGTAGGAATATCTTCCTGAATGTGAATTGATTGGGAAATCAGCAAATTGCCTCTCATCCGCCCTACCTACAATTTCACTCATGTGATTTCTATGGTGAAATTCGAGGCGCAGAGTCAATAGAATTGAAGGTGAAGCAAATTCTCGAATTTGATATAAATAGACGCCAAAAAGTGAGAAGGAGTTTTTACACAGTCAAATAAATAATCTAATTCTGTGTACTGTTTGCTAAGACACAGTGAAAGTGCAATAAATCCCGAAGGTTTACACTTTGCAATGGAGTAGAGGAGAATTTTTCTAGTGCTGAAGATGGTGTCGATTCCCTCGGCCACATCGTCCAAAAAGTTCAACAGTGCCTCCGATCAGATGTTCTCCGATTCAATCCTTCAAGCAAGCATCTTGAGCGACTGCCCAGAAAATAACAATTTAGGTAAGAGTCACTGTCCAATTTCCCAGTCGATTTGCTGGTGGGACGGAATTTTCTTGAATTCATCGTGATGTTCTTGAATTCACTGATCTCTCGGCAGAGGTGGAGTGGCGCGAGAAGGCGGAGAAGGAGCTCGGAGAGTCATATGAGATCTCACGGACTGCACTTAAGCAATTCAGACACTTGTTGAGAATAAATCGCGAGAATGTGCCATTCGGTTGGCGGGATGATGCGTTTTTACTGCGTTTCCTGCGCGCCAAGAAGTTCGACGTCGAGAAGGCGTATCGAATGGTGAGAAGGAAGCCCTCAACTCAGTAGATTTGCACTGAGCGTTGATTTATTTCTCGGCAGACTGTCAAGTATTTCCGCATGAAGCAGCAATCACCGGAATTGTTTAGAGTGTCTCCTCCCACGGAGGTGCGTCACATTCTCGAGATGCAGATGCAGTATATGATCCCGCAGAGGGATCCCTGCGGCAGACAGGTGTTCATCTTCCGTGTGGGTGAGAAAAACTGCTGATTTATTGCATATATACTTAATTCCACCATAATTATCCATTAGTTTTGATCTTGAAAATTGCCCTCGGGCGCGATTGAAGCATTGTAAGATGGAAGTACCGTGAATTTCTCTGCTTTCAAGTCACGTATTGGTCACGGAAGGACGATAAATTAAGTGTCAGACATGGTGGATTTTCAGTATTCACGAGAGATTCTTAATTTCGGGGAAAAATTTGAAATATTTTAAGAGACAAGGGGCATTTCTATTGCTCAACTCATTGCCATAAATCTCAGAGGATGATTTATAACCAATTAAAAGTTGTAAATTTCGCTCTCTTCTGTGCAGAAAAATGTGATCCCTATCGGTGTTCTGTGGAGAACGTCTTCCGCACCAATGTCTTGAGCCTGGAGAGTGTTGTCCGGAGTGCAGAGACGCAAATCGCTGGACTGGTAGTGCTGCTGGACATGTCTGGAGTGAGTCTTGGGCACAGTCGCTTTCTCTCGCCACAGCTGGCCAGGCACACTGTCGAGGTGGTTCAGGATGCCTTCCCTCTGCGCTTCAAGGCATTCCACATCCTCCACGAGCCCTTCTACTTCGACGCCATTCTCGCCGTGCTGAAGCCTTTTCTGCGCGAAAAGATCCGGAAGAGGGTGAGTGACTGAAAATAAATCAATCGCATGACACAAGATAATCCGGATATTATGAGAAAAGCCATTGCGTGTCTTCCTTCCGCAGATTTTTCTACACGGCAGCGATTTGGCGTCACTCTATCGATTTATTCCACAAGATATCCTTCCCAGGGAGTACGGAGGATTCCAGCCGCCCTATGACAACACCGCGTGGCGTCAGGAGATCCTTGACAGCGAGGCGTACTTTGCAGACTTGGAGAACTATCAGATTCAGGAGGAGACCACCACGCCGAAGATCGAGGTGTGTCCCAGGGAGCCAGAGAATATTGATTATCTCGATGACGAAACGGAAGACAGTGAGTTTGAGGATGCCACGTACTTCCTGGAGGAACCTCCCAGTGAAAGGATGAACTTGTAGCTTTTCCTCGCCTTCAGCGCCATGCCCAGCGCTCTTGCGGTCAAAGCCAATTGCAAAATTACTCAGTGAGCTTTTTATCTGGAAATTGCACGCAATTGTGCTATTTTTTCCCTCGACTCGTGACGCCAAACAATTGCAAACGGAGCTAAGCCTAGGGCGGGAGGTAATTGTTACGTCTAGAGAGCATATGCAAGAAAAGTGGAAAAGCTGAGAAATTCATCTAGAATTTTATCAACCGATACGTGTGTGGAAATCGCGTGAATATTCAAATCAATTGTGCAAACAGCGACCTTACACTCAAACTCAAAGTGCAAAAGATCTTTATTTCTATACAACTCGCTATACTGAAGTGAAAAGATTGATAAATATATTTTCTATCAGCAATACTTTGATGATTTTTATTTTATATTTGCGATAAAAATAGATACGGGAGTGTTTTTTTGCTGGCGGTGAGCTTGAAATCAATATACGTACGGCAGGTAAATGGAGTGTTAACTCACTTTTGCATGTGATTCTCATCAATTTCCAGGCGCTCAATTGAGCAATTAATAGGTATTTCACTCAAAAGTCAATCCGTTGCAAGTGCTCGTGAGCTTTTCGTCAATCTTCATTTTTTCCTACTCAATCCATTTTCCATTTACCCGTACATTCGTGTGCATTTCAGTGTTCCACAACTTGTGAATGTATTTATTTATAGTGCAGTTTCAGGGTAATAATAGTGGAGCAATTACGACGTAGAAAAGTAAGTGAGCAATGCTTAAGATTTTCCTGGAGTATTTTGCTCGTATTTCTGAAAATTTACTTCAAAATGCAAGCACCAGTTCGGCATGAGTCGCTATATTGGGAACGATACTGTATGACAATTTCTCAAGTAAATGGAAAATCAATTTCCCCTCTTCTCTCTCACGCGGGAAAGCTCAATTTCCTCTCATGCCCTCTCGCGTGCTCTCCCACGAGATGAGAGAAAACTCGTGGCGAGAGAGAAAATCGCCGACGAGACCCATTTTGTCGTGAGAAAAGCCCCTCGAAATCAGTCAGTGAGAGTGTGTCCTGTGAAAAGCTTCTGTGAGCTCCTTTCTTTGTGCAACAACCATAAGACATCCCATGCAAAATCACCCTCAAAGTCCTGCAGTGTGTCCCAATCTCCGCCGTGTTGTCCCCTCATCTTATCATCTCACTCTTTCTGTGCACACTGCGTGACCCCAATTGCTCCCTTGGCATTTGGACAGCCACGACAGACTGTGTGAGGAGGCGGAAAATCAGTGGTGGAAAAGGCAAAGCTCACGAAGAAGCTCGCGTTTTTTTCCTCCAGTGCGGGCGAGTGGAAAAGTGAAGTGGCTGCCATTGGGTGAATAAAGTGGAGAAATACAACGAATTCGATATTCACCGGTGTAATTTCTTCAGTACACATCACTGGTACACAAAAAGTAGTGATAAATTGAGAGAGTTAACAACTGTTATGTCTTCCGTACAGTTGCATTGCACAAATTTCAGTGGACGTGTTTGGCATCGATGCAGGAGAAGGAAAGTTTCCACCAATTTCGCTCTTTTTCCCTCAAGACGCGAAAAGTCGGTTTTCCCACTGGGAGGGTGACATTTCCCCGGCACTCCGCGGGTGGGTGAAAAGTTCGTCGCTCTGTTACTCACCTGCATGGAATGCGAGGGAGAAAGGCGGGCGAAAAGAAAAGTTGAAGAATTCGAGGAGGCAGACAAAGGGGATGAAAATCGTGCCTCTCCCCATTTCATGCTTCCAAACATCTCCGTAATTGATCAAATTTGGGAGAAATTTTCAAATTACAAAATACATAAATTCATTAGCCCAATATTCCCACACGAGACACCCAATGAAATTACACCACCTTATCAATCAATGCCTGATATCTCGAGCACAAATTTATGCGAATCCGCACCCTCCTTTGTCACTCCTTCCGCGAAATCTGCTCCTTGAGATCGATTCTGGTCAAGGTTGTGCCATATCTCGGGGCTCTCCCGTGTGGCCCAGTTCTGTCACACCCGCCACCCCCGCTCCCGTCCCGGAACAGGCTGCTGGGCGCAGGAGAGCTGCATCCACCCATTCCACGGCAAATTGCGAAATAATTAAGCGAATAGCTCTTCTTTCATGCCACAATTCTCCCCATCCGCCAGGGATGTGTTCCTCAGACTCTCTCCCGCAGAGCATTCTCTCTATAATAACACCATATCTGGGTTAGATAACAGAAACACTTCCGATATTAATACTACACGTATCAATTAAATGTGCACAACAATGCCACACATGTCGCCTCGATTCGGAAAGCACTGAAAAACATCAACAAGACTTGTTTACAGTAAATTTGCATTTTCCATTAATTCTGACGATTGACGGGAGATGTGAAATGTATGTATAGGTAATAAAATTGAGTTTTCGACGAAATGTGAAATATCTGAAAATGCTGCTGTGTAAATTGTTCGGAAGCCAAGACATTAAAGGGGAATTTAATATGCGGTTGGCACACAAACAGGTTAATTAAATGATTAACGGAATACATAAGAGGTACACTTGAGTGAAATTTCTCAAAATTCATAGACTGAATTCCTTATCTTAATTTTATCAGCATATTAAAGTATGATTTTTATATTGAATTACTGCCCTTATGAAGCGCGGGAGTGATATTTTCATTACTGAAAGGTTCTTGGAATGCTACATATTTGACCTCATTAGGGCCAGTTTGAAGCGATGTTTTGGATTTGAATGTGTTATTTTAAGATGATATTTTATGGGTAAAGTTTGCAATTTGTGGATTCAACACGACACGGGGTCAATTCATGGGCACGAACAAAACAGAAATGTTATATTCGTCCCAAATTTAAATGTCTTCATCAGCCAATTAAAGTATGACGCTATATTTCTCCACCTTAAGTCTGCCATGCTCCACATTTGCTGTCCCTAAATCAAAAGCAAAAATTCTATTTTTAAGAAATAACACTCTCCACGCCGATGTGATAAAATTATCTTCGCATTTTTATCTGCACGCGGAGAAGGACATTGTGAAGACTGAGCGGAATATCGGACTCTTGTGTGAGTGAGTGGAGATGGATAAATAGTTGGTGTCACGAAGATACTGAAAAATAGATTATGGAGGGAGCATCGTGTGAAGTGCTGAAGTGAGTGCAGTAACATTGGGCAGGCCAACGATGAAGGAAGAACATGCAAAATCGCCGGCAAGGGCGAAAAGTCAGCAGAACATCACGTCGGACATTCTGCTGCCGGATAGTGTGCTGGAGAAGCTATACCAGAACTATTCTATCAAGCAGAAGCGGAGCGGACTCTTCTGCTTCCTCCTCACGTCGCTCCTCTTTGATCTGTGGGCCATTGCAATTCCGCAGGGACAGACTTTCTGGAGTTTAGGTAATATCACAATGCGTGACCTCACGCTTGACATGAGAATTTGTGCATTGGCTCTCTTTCTCCTCTTCTCGCTCAGGATGTGTGTGCTTGTTCCTCCTTTCAAATGTGATTCTCCTCGTGGTGCTGATATTTGGTGGAAAGTTCAAGGATACCGTGTGGAGGTTCGCACCATATCTGGGATGGACTTTTGCCTTCCTCCAGCTCGCCCTGCACCTCGTCCTGAAAGACAACCTCATACCGAAGTGAGTGTGAAAAAAATTCACGTGCCGCGCTAATACCACGAGTGACAATTTCACCCAGACTCCCTTTGTGTCTCCTCTAATGGCAGAATCAATAATCAATGAGATTCTGTCAACTTCTCACTCCCACCAATACTGTCTCATGTGGGAGAGTTTGAGAATTCATAGCTCCGAATGCTTAAGCTTCTGCTTCCGTGCTTACAGAGACTCTCTAGGATGGGTGATGCTTCTCAATTTCCTTGTCTACATAATCCTGCCAGTGCCCATGAAATATCACCTGATCTTCTTTGGCATTGCCACTTTCTTCATGTACACGGGCGTCATTATGGGCATGGCGCAAGTGGATGCCGAATTCTGGAGACAGGTGAGTTTAACACCTCTCACACATTAATGATATTCACAAATTTATATACCCTTTATTTGCGAATAGAGCCATATCATTTGAAATTCAAAACCAACGACAGAAATAAACTTTGTTTTAAATGCATGAGAACACTTAAAATAATTCCCAGAAATCTATTAGCCTTTCGTTAAATTTGAACCTTTTATTTTCAATATAGACAAGACTCAAAGTTAAGAGTAAATAAACAAGAAAGATTTTCTGGACCTATCTTCACTATAGATTTCCATGTTTCCATTACATTTGGTATATTTATCCTCGGCTGAACTCTATCAAAAACTTTATAGGCGATAGTAAACGAATGATTTTATTTATTTTGTTAGTGCTTTTCAATAGAAAGATCTAAAGTTCTCACGCCAAATTGCGTTTCTCCCGCATAAATCTAATTTTGTGGTTTCATCTGATAATTGCCGGAATGTTTAGTACAATGTTCTATGTATTTTATACGTGAACTTTTCTCATGTGTGCAATAAAAAGAGTAACAATCCCGAAAGGAGAGCGAGAAATTGCACGAAAGGGCCTCTTTAGATTACTTATTCTTTAGTGAAAGCTCACCTTTAATTCGCAAAATGTAATGTCTATTATCGTGTGTGTTTTTCTTTTATCAAATACTCGTTCTTTATTGAGTATAAAGGTAACATTTTATGGATTCTGGTTCTATTGAAAGTAAAAATATTGCAACTCACGTTTTATGTTTGGATGAGCCTTTAAAATGGATGTTATGGAGGTAAAAAGGGCTCATGAAACATTCACCAGGCTATCCAAGGCATTTTCAATTAATTTAATTAACGCCGCAGAGTTTCTTGTTCCTTCTCGGAAAATTGCGAATTATATGAAACAAAAAATCTGAGGCATGGCAAAGAAGAATTATTAAAATTCTCTCTGGTGGACTTTAGAGGGAATAGAGATTTGCAAAATTTATCGATTTTCCCCCACGTGAAGTCGTTGGTCATATTTTTAGGCGAGTCTCTCGGCACGTTCACTGGCCACAGACTTGGCTAGCTTTCGCAATTTGAGAATTCAAATGGCAAAATTTAAATCACACCACGGATCAGGCCAGAAAGGGTCAAACTTCAGCCAAATGGGAGGGTAAATTGTGACTTTAGGCATTTGCGGTGCACGAGAGGGTTCATACACGGAGAAAAACAGTATCCGGTCAGTCGTGATAAGCTATGAATCAGTAATTTTTTTCGTAATCCCAAGGGGCAGTTTGTTTTTAATTACCATTTGCATCGTTTCACAAAGCAAAGAGTGAATTATATGCTTGGCCTAGTGTGACGTGACTACCAATCGATTAGGGCTCTAATTTATTCACCGTGCTCGCTCTCTCTGGCCGTCACTGATGAGCCACTCGGCGTGCCGGCAACGAGTGATGGGATGTTGTGTCTCTTACACGATTTCCACCTCTTCTTCCCGTCAAACGTGGGAATGTATGTAGTGAGGATTACGGGAAAATTACAAAGGATTCTTCCCTGTGCTCTTGTTCCTTATCCTTTGTTAAAGGCGCGGTTAATAATGCATATCATTTCGGATAGGATGAAAGCTTTTTCTGCTTTTCGTTTCGACAAATGGAAAAAAATGTCTAAATTTGGCCCGTGTTTTCAGGTTCTAGTGGACATGGTGCTGATCGTGGGTGCCACTCTTGTGGGACTATTGTGTTACCATTTGGGTGAAATTAAGCAACGACGCGCCTTCTTGGAAGCCAAGAAGAGCCTCGAAGTGAAGATGCTTATCGAGGAGGAGGCCGCCGAGCAGGTAAATCAATAAACAGTAAATAATGCCTCTCAATTAATTCAATCATTCGTCATTGGATTAATTCTTCTGCACGGTGGGCTCGCCAAAATAGGAGCGACTCCTTCTCTCCGTTCTTCCCGCTCATGTGGCAGTGAAAATGAGGTACAAATTCAATTACTTTCACCCTCCGCTGTTCTGGAGATGAAATTCTTTCACAGGGATTACTATTGGCCAAAATGGAGAGAAAAATTCCGCGATATTCTTTGGAGCAGACTTTGTGCTGCTTTTGCCAAAATGAAATTTTCTCCCGAATAGAACATCAGAAAAAAAAAATTTGCATTTCATTCAACGAAGAACAAAAAAACCGCGTGTGAAACTTTTTTTTTATATTGCTCTGGGAGAATTCTGCATTTGCATAAGTGAAATATTGTCGGAGAAAATTGAATAAAGTGCCGGAATTATTAATATTTTCCGGAACGCCAGTTCATGAATTAATTACTGTTCACCTGAGAGAAATTATTGTCCTCTTCATCCACTGTCTGGATTTTTCTTGATGTCACGCCAGCACATGCGAAAGCTCTCGCCAAATATTTACCTGTTCACCTCTGGAATGCTTTCAGATTATTTTTATCTCACTCGTTAATGAACTCTCTTTCTCTCTCTCTGTCGCTGCGATGAGATTGTGTCACAGAACAGCACATATTAGCATTTCATTCTGTACAGAGTTTTCTCACCATGTGAAAATGGGTCAATATTCTTTCCCTTTCGCATCCACAAATGTTATGCAAAAGCTCACCCACGATGCGCGCAAATAAACTCCACTTTTAACTCTAATTCATTATTAATGGAGTGATGTTCAGAGTTGTGAATTATAAAGAGGAATTGAAAATGGGCTAATTCATAAATTTTTTCCTACTGCTAATTGGAAATAATTTATATAACAGGATAGAAGTCAGCATTGCGTACTGAGTATAATTAATTAGATTATTCATATAGCAACAGTCAAATTAACACTACATTATGCCTTTTCGGGAGAAATAGAGTGAGAGAGAGAAATTTCAGAAATTTTCCAATTGGGCGAAAAAGTCAATTTTCCCATAGAGACATAAAATGCCTTATCTGCCATTGAATTTAAGCGGAAATTTCACAAGACGGGTGCTTTAATGTTAAACACACTGTAAAAAATTCAATCACTTTTTGTCAGATAAGAAAAGCCCAGAGGTGTATAAATTATGAAATTAAGCTGCGGCTTTGGAGAACAATTTTATGCAAATATATTCATAAATGTATATTTTTCAAATTCAGAGAGCATTTCAATGTTTAAGAATCTCTGAAATGAGTTATTTCTGTTCTTCCTTTAGTCAGTTTAAAGTGTATATATAATATATTTCTTTGTTTTCCTCTCACTTTGGCACTTTTGAGGCCCAATTGTTTTCCCCTCAGTGAAGGAATTTCACTCCAGTGTTCCAAATATCTCTCCCTCCCAGTGGAAAAAGGTATTATTTCCTTTTGCTTATGTACATCAAATTGAATTTAGACAGGATTTGGGATGCACAGATTCGGAGCAATTCAAGAAAATTTATATGAGTCGCCACGAAAATGTGAGGTAAATTGAATTAATTAGGAAGGTAGCTGATGGAGCGGTTTTTTCTTACACAACCTCTCCTCTTTATCTCTCTCCCCACAGCATTTTGTATGCCGATATTGTGGGTTTCACAGCCATTTCCTCCACGTACTCAGCCCAGGACCTCGTGAAGATGCTGAACGAGCTATTCGCGCGATTTGATCGATTGGCAGAGGTGAAAATCGCCACTTTTCACACCTAATTACTCGCAGGGGTGCTGAAGTCTTTTCCTCTCCTTCCTTCCTTCCCCGCAGAAATACCAGCAGCTGCGGATCAAGATCCTGGGCGACTGCTACTACTGCATTTGCGGAGCTCCGGTGGAGATTGCGAATCATGCCTCACTGTGTGTCTACATGGGGCTGTCCATGGTGAAGGCCATAAAGTGAGTGGCACAATTATTGATATTAGTGCGGAGATATTGAATTGCTTTGTCAGTTTATTGATCCACTCCCAAAAATCCGAATGGCCCACTTGGGAACTCTCCATTGCAGATATGTCCAGCAGAAGACCCAATCGCCGGTGGATATGAGAGTGGGAATCCACACTGGGGCCGTTCTAGCGGGGATCCTGGGTCAGCGGCAGTGGCAATTTGATGTGTATTCGAAGGATGTCGAATTGGCCAATAAAATGGAATCCAGCGGAATGGCAGGGTGAGTATCTCTCATTTTTCAACCACTCCCACATCATGCTTTTGTCCTCGTGACAACTTTCCACAAAAGTCATCCCCATGGCTGATGTCACTCTTCAAGTGGCAGCAATTTTTCACGAATGTTTCACCCATTATAGAAAAATGGACGGTCCATTTATTTTATAACCATAGATCTAAAAAAAGTGTCCAAAAACTCGATTATTATACTATAGTCAAGTTAATAGCTGCAATTTTCCAGCATCAAGTGAAACGTTCCATTTATTTCTGATATCTTTCGCAATGCTTTAAAGTTTATCTGAATAGATTTTCCATGTCATTCAAGTGTCTTTTCATCTAATTTTTATGACACAGTCGAGTTCACATCAGTGAGCAAACTTTCAAATTTCTCAACGGGGAGTTCGAAGTGGAGCCAGCTTATGGTGAGAAGAGGGAGGAAGCTCTGAGGATTGCCGGACTAAAAACATATTTCATAACTAAAGTTCTGAAACCTGTGAGTATATTAACTTTGTTAACTCTGTCTCTACTGCTGGAAAGTTTTTCTCACTTGCAATTTTTCCCTATCGTCATTCGACAGTTTGTTCCTACTGCCAGCGAGGAGAAGAATGGAACAACGAAATTAGGCGATATGGTGCAGAATTCCTTGGAATCTGATGCACTGTCTGAGACACTTCAGGAGGATGATCAGCCAAAGGTATACAAGGGCGTTTTAATTGGATAGATGGAATTTCCAGGGGGAGCTTGAATTTAATTAGTGTCAAATGAAACAGGCCCAAACTGCACAGGAGAGTCACGATGTGTCGCCCATGTCGGAGGACAAGCAGAAGGAGGAGGACTTTAAGCAGAGACTTCAAAAGGAATTAGTCAGTCGTGATGGTCATGGGTAAAACTTTAAAGATTAGGACTTCCCAAAGGGCATACCAAACTTCTCCCCTTTCTTTCAGGGATTTGTCGAAGCATATAAATATCCTGTTAACATTTCGCAATAAGAATCATGAGGCAGCATATTCGGCGTATCGGGAACCATATTCATCAGTGCCACTGCTCGCATGCCTCGTCGTGTACTTCTTGGGCATCACTTATTACCCCGTGGTGCTTCCAAAGTCAGTGACAAGACCACTCTCACACCCACTATTCTCGCTAAAAATTTAATTGAAATTCCTCCGAAACTTTCAGAACTGCTCTTCATTTTGCACTCACACTGGCGCCATTCCTGCTCATCTTCCCATTAGTCTTCATATCCGTGTCGGAGAGCTTTTTCCTCGTAAGTTAATTGCCTTTGAACATTGAACGGGAGTGATGAAGCTACGGTGTTGTGTAACTTTCAGATTTTTCCTGATTGGCTAGTGAGTATAAGCAGGAAATTCAATGATCTCATCTGGCTGCGAAGGACAGCGACTGCCCTGGTCATCATTCTTATCGTCTTGACTAACTTCCTTGCTATGGTGAGAAGAATGAAAATGTGGCCCAGAGAATGTCCAATTGACCTGTTATATATTCTCCAGGTGGCTTTTGCATGTCAGTGGGATAATTTCAGCGGCACTGTTAATGCTACACTTCATCAACCCAACAAGTACCGAGATTTGGAGATGTACTTTCCATCCTACTTCACCAACTATGCCGTCTTGATACTCATAGGAACCTCAATCTTGGCACAGCTATCGCACGTAGTTAAAATACTCTTCATTGTCACAAGCACAGGTGAGGTTACTCAGCTATGCAATTCCATGGTGAATCTCTAGAGATATCATTTCGAATTTCCAGCTCTTTACTGCTTCGCAAATATCTTCATGCTGGAGAGAGAACTCCAGAGAGAGCAAACTGCTTCATGGACAGCGTGAGTATTCTTGAGAAAAGCATATTGCAGAGCTCGAGGGCGTTTTAGTGACCTAAAAATTAACCTCCCTGGGAATTCTTGTTGAACAATCTCTAGTAAAGAATTCAGGAATACATTTCATATATTCAATTTAGGGCGAAGATTGGAGAATTAAGAGCTGCCAGTGATGAAAGTAGGACAGAATGGATTGAGTTTTCCGAGAAATCTCTTGAAATTGATGTGTTCATTACGAAATATAATTAATTTAATAGGATTTCACGCGAGGAACGTCATACTTTTAATTGGGGTTTAGAGAGTTCCAGTGAAGTATTACTGGCAAACTATATTGTTTCACATCATCAAATTGTCCAACTTCAGTAATGTAATTCCACCCTCTCTATTTCCCCATTCCAGAGATCTGCCACTGCGATTTATCATCTCTGCCCAGTTAGTTGCAATCTCTGCGAGTCTCTCTATTCTGAGCCGCCACTTTGACCGGGAGGATCGCGTAATATTCATGTGGAAGATTGATGTGGAAGAGGCGAAGGAGAAGGCCAGCGACATGAGACAACGAAATGAGCAGCTAGTGTACAACATCCTTCCTGTCCATGTGGCGGCCCACTTTATGGGCAACCGAAAGCGCTCCCATGACGATCTCTACTCCCAGAGTTATGCTGAAGTGGGCGTTCTGTTTGCCAGCATGCCTAACTTCTCGGACTTCTATTCTGAAGATGCAGTGAATAATCAAGGCCTGGAGTGTCTCCGGTTCCTCAATGAAGTCATATCGGATTTCGATGCGCTCCTGGAGCTGCCACAGTTTCAGGACATCATCAAGATCAAGACCATTGGGTCAACCTACATGGCGGCTAGTGGACTCAATCCCTCGCGCCAGGTGCAGCCTGATGATCCCATTGTTGTCCGTTGGAATCACCTCGCGTTACTGGTGGAGTTCGCCATTGAACTGAAGAAGGCCCTCCAGGTAATAACCACATTCTGGGGTGATTGTTGAATTTTCTCACACTGACTCTTGCAGGGCATTAATGAGCAATCCTTCAATCACTTTGTGCTGAAAATGGGCGTCAATCATGGCCCCATAACAGCCGGTGTGATCGGAGCCAGGAAACCGCACTATGACATTTGGGGCAACACTGTGAACGTCGCGTCGCGAATGGAGAGCACCGGCAAGGCGGGAGCCATCCAAGTCACTGAGGAGACCACGCACATCCTGCAGACTTTCGGGTACACCTTCGAGCAGCGTGGCTTGGTGGCTGTGAAGGGCAAAGGTCAACTGATGACATACTATCTCCAAGGCAAGTCTGCCAAACCTCCGCCCAGTGCAACACCTGTTGAGCTCACAAATGGCTTAGTCGCGCCCCCAACCACCCAGTCCGAGGGGGCGGCGGCGGTGGTCAGTGAGGGTATGGAGAAACCCGAGACGGAGGGCAGCAAAGGCGCCATCAAAGAGGATGACAGCCAACCGAGGGAGATTCTTAGCAATATAATAAATTCGGCAGCAGCGGAGGAGGAAAACCTCGAGCCAGACGCACGGACGCCTCTGCTCACGGACAACAATAAGGCTGTCATCAAGCAGGGCGACATGTAGGATGAGCGGGGAATGTAGTGAGTGAATCCAACCAATTTATGAAACAATCAGTAGAACTTTTTCCAAATTATCCATCAGAAACATCACAATGTTTATTTGGAAAAGTGGCGACATAGCACAACATTTATTTTCCGACCTGCAGTGTCTGCCCAAAAATGGTGTGACATGAGTTTTCTTATGGCAAATCGATCAATTGACGATGTAGATTGTGAACAAAATTATGTGTCGACTCTGTTTTGTAATGTTCTTTTTTTCAGAAGCATTTATTGTACCTAAATTCTGAGGTTTAGGAAGGAAAAATGGGGGAAATATTTTTTTGGCAGATACTGCACACATATGAGATGAAACATGTAGTAAAGAAAATGGGAATGACTCAATTTTTAGCCTTCGAATAATTCTTAGGGTGATGTTAGCAGAAGATATTTTAAGATTATACTAGGATAATAAAATGAAGTAGTGAAATTTCTAATATCTCATGATTTCTCACAGGCCTCTCTCCGATTTCTTCACTTAACTTACCCACAATCCAAAAGCTCATTAAAGATCAAAGGCTTTAATTGCATATTAATAGGAATTTTCACATACCTATTTATCGATTTAATTCACTGACATGAGATTTATTTCCATCTATAAAATCACTCCTAATATACTCTCACAGTGATATAAGCTATTTTTGTATTGTACATTTTCTCCTTCGCCAGCAAACATTGGCGCGCAAAGATGAGGAACAAATTTGAGAAGGGAATATTTTGAAAATTCTTCAACTTAGTGATAATTTTGCGAACACCTTTTAGAATAAGTAAGATAATAGATTATAATGTATGAGAAGTACTCGATAGTCTCTTTACGAAAGAATAATAGTTGAAAACAAACGACCACCGAAGAAATTCTCAATGGAACTTGTTTAAAAAAATATACCAAACTGGTCAGAATACACCAAAAATTGAGAAAAAAAACTGCTTTCTGAAAAGGTAAAATTCGAGGGGTTTTGTACTGAAGATTTTTGTATGAAATCACCTTTGCCAAAATTCACATATTTCGCACAATATTCCACGAAAATACCATTAATAACCAATCGAATTTAACATATGGAATACTTTTTGGATGGAACCTTTCAAGAATGGACACACGATCCAATATTTCAGACGTGATTTTAATTCTTTGTCAATAGATGAACCCCTCTGAAATAGCAAAAGAGCTGAAACGACATGAGAAAGAGAGAGAGGAAGAATAATAGGAAACTGTACCCTAAAACTTACAATGCTAAAAAGATTATAATAGTGATGAAAAAGACAAAATATAGAAAAGATGACACAAAAAATATGACTGTCTTGATTTTCCACATAATAGCAATTATCCTCTTTTGCAAATCACTCTGGTTAATTGTCCTGAAAATAACCTTCGATATCGTCCACTGATAAGTTCTTCACTTTCTCTGGTCCTCAAAAGATTGCATATTTCACAAGAGAGTTTGTTCCCAAAACACTTTCACTTCCGCGGATTGTCCAACTCAGACTCGTGCTGATGAATCGCTAATCGTGACATTTAGCTGCAGATCGAGAGTGCGGCAACCAATTTGCTGGATAATGACTCTATGGTCATCAGAAAAAGCCCACCGGACAGGCACTCATCCGTGGCGCACACATCGCAAATTGATGATGCTCGTGTCATGCACAAAATCTCGTGTGACTCCAGATAATAGTGACAATTTTAATATCCGCGAGGGCGGAGGTGAAGAAATGATTTGGAAAAAATTGTGAAGCAATGCATAAAGCAACCGACTGAAGTGAGAGATTGAAAAATTTGGAAAAATTCCCGCAAATAGCGTATGAAAATATACTTTCAGCAGTTCTATCTATGCTATGTAACTTCAAAGTGCAGTGAAATTTTAGTAAATTTCAAAGCTTGGGTAATTTAACGTGATTCTGTGTAACTTTGCTACCATGTTTCATGATATTAGCACACATATAATGAACTCGATTAAAATCTACCGCAAATTCTAGCAAAGTTTTGCACAACACACGGACATTTTTGCTATGATACATACAAATATGAACCGGAAGTGGATGGATGAAAAACACTGAGGATTCACAGAATTAGCTCCAGTTGCAATCCATTCGTGATCTCGTGCACATCGTGAGAATTGTTCTGTCGCAGTACAAAAATACAAAAATGATGGGAAAATATTTAGTGTTTGTGATCTTTTGTGTGTCTCTCGGGAGTGCTTTAGCAGAAGAGAGTGATTCTGACCTCTTTATTGGACCTCTCGAAAGCATCGACGAACCCACTCATGAGCACTTGCGCTCTTACTACGAGACCACGTGTTTGGGCTTCCAGAGTTGCGTGGGTCTCTCAAAGTGTCCGGATTTACACTATGAAGCAGCAAAAGCTTGCTATTTCGGTGATAAATCACTCTTCTGCGGGACTTCTGGGTCGGAACCGATGGTGTGTTGCTCGAGAGGCGACGACGATCCAGACTCTAATCCCGCTCCGATAAACCAGGATTGTGGAAAGAGTCTCGTAAGAGGACAATTTTACAAAGGATTGGGTGCCTTTCCATTTGTGGCCAGAGTTGGATTCAAAAGTAATTGAGATTTGTTTTAATTGATACATATTTTGTAATATGATTTCGTGTTGGCAGACGCAAATTCCGGCAATTTGGCATATCCTTGTACAGGATCAATTATCTCCCGAAGAGTTATTCTGACGGCAGCTCATTGTGCTCTTGCAAAAGCCGACGGTCATAGATTGTAAGTGCCGCAATCAGTGTTATCATTCAACTCTGAAACCACAAATGATATTAAATAAATTTAATTCTGCCCAGATCATCGGTTCGCATTGGCGAATATGATACATCTCGTGATCCAGACTGTGCCGGATCTGGATTCTGTGCTCCACCTGCTCTGAATCATGCCATTAGCCACGTGGTCGTGCACCCAGATTATGAGGTCGGCAAATATCATCACGACATTGCGCTTCTGATTTTGCGCACCCCGATTAACTTCACAGTTGCTGCGCAGCCACTATGTCTTTATCCCGACAGGACGAATCTCATCGTGGGAAAGCGCGCCACTGTTGTCGGATGGGGAAGGATCTCATCGATTAGCATCAAGAGTTCAGAAATGCAATTCTTGGAAGTCCCATTGGCGCCCTGGGATTTGTGCCTGAAGGTTTACGGATCAACTGGAGCCCTTCAATCGCCCAAATCCATCGAAGGACAGTGGCTTTGCGCAGGCGGGGAGAATAGAGATGCTTGCCAGGGATTTGGAGGAGCTCCTCTGGTTATCCGCGAGGAGAATGTGTATCATCAAATAGGGATCATGTCCTTTGGCTCAGACAGCTGCGGAAGTCCCAAAATACCCAGTGTTTACACTTCCATTTCATTCTTCTATCAGTGGATTCAGGACAATATTCCAGTCGAATAACCACAATCGCGTGACTGGCTAAACATTTCTTTGCACATTCTACACATCCATAGACTCAAATGAAATGTTTCGCCACAGTTAATTTAGGAGAATTTATTCAATTTCATAAAAGCTTCGTTATATTCTTTCTTACAATGTTTTATAGACGCATGTTTGGTAATCTCATTGAGAAGGAAGAGTACACATATTACAAAACTGAGGTATTGAGTTGCAGGAATGAAATGCGAGTAATAAAACATTCATAAAACATTTGAATTCAATATACATAAGAAAAGCTCTACTCGAAAATCACACGAGCCTTGTATTTGCCTTCATCGTCTGACTCTTCATCGTCTCCTTCGTCCAGACGGAATTTGCAGACAAATCCCTTGACGGGAGAAACGGGTTTGGGCGCTGGCCGGGGCGGTCGTGACGGACCTGGTTGAGGCTCTTCTTCTTCTTGTCTCTCCGCCTGTGCAGCCTGACTTTGCTCTGCCTCTTGCTGTCTTTCTCTGATAATTTCCCGCATCTCTAGAAAGTTGTCGTCTTCGGACTGCTGTGGTTCGATGGCCGACATCAGAACGACGGTGTCTTCCGCTTTGCTCGATTTCCGTTGATGCCTGGTCCACCAGAAAAGTCCGCAAGATACAGCGATAGCCAGGATGCCAATCCCTACGACAGACAAAGCCACTTTCGTGGCCGTGCTCATGTGCTTCTCCTCCACATAGTAGAAGACCCATTCAGACCAGGGACCGTCCATCGCCACAGAGATCGCCTTGACTCGAAACCCATAGATTCCGGGAGTCATGTCGAATGTGTGGTACTTGAAAATATTATTGTTGAGCTCATGATCTCGGCGCATGATACAGACAGTCTCGTATTCTTGCTCGCCACCTTCCATGCGTCGCATCTCTACCTTGTACGCCACCGTGAGTCCATTTGGGACCAGAGGCTCCAGCCACATGAGCTCCACCGACTTCTCCTCTGGCTCGTCGATCATGCTGAAGTTCATTGTGAGATCTGCCACAATATCAATCGTTGTGCGCTCGTTCATCGAATAGTACGGGCCGCAATCATACAGATCCTGACAAGCAAATACTTGGAAAGTGTAGAGAGTGTAAGGCGCTAGATTGGGCACTGTGAAGTTGGTGTGATGTTTATCCACGAAGATCCTAAAACCAGTGTCATCGCCTATGCTTCCTTCCCTCTTGCCAGTGTACTTGATGTTAGGGCTCCGGCATATCGGACTATTTTGACCATGATAGAGGTGACAATGGGTCACAAGGAACTCCAGTTCGCGCTTGAAACGATCGTACTCGAACAAGTGGCAGCCAGGCTGGAAGGGATCCTCTTCGCAATTGAGGTTGGTCTCGTAACTCGTGTGTCGCCTCAGGATTTGATAAGTCTCCTCATCATGATCCGAGCAACAGTGCTTGGCCGGGTAGTCGTCCTCGTTGGTGTCCTCAGTTCGCGGGTGTTTGCAATAATTCCTCGTGTCCAGGCTTTCCTTCGAGTACGGCCGCTTGTAGACATCTATGTAGTAGTTGGCGATGAGGGGAATTTGAGAGGACTGCATTACCCAGCCCAAAGTAACTGAGTCACTGGTCTTCATTATGGTGGAAACTGATGGCGCGGAGAGTTTGTCGATAGTCGTCTTGAAGTATTTGATAATGCTCTGGGCATTGATACCCTCCGATGATAGGTAGGAGCGAACATAGAATGCGTACTGGGTGCTTGCCTTCAATTCGCTTAAATTGAAGGCATACATCCCCTTCACGTCGTCGAAGTTCATGCTGCTCAAATCTATTAATTCCGATTTCCAGCTGTGCCTGGTAAGATGAAATGGACAAATATTAGAATTCGCACATGATTTGAAACTGATCTCGATACCTGGAGCAGGAATCCCTCCCGAAATAGGTGGTGATGTCAGTCTTGGGAGCCTCGATGTAGTAAATGAGATATCCTGCTAAAATGTTGTCATCATCCCCTTTGTGATCCACATGATATTTTTCCCAGTAAATCGTCACATTAGAGGTGGAAATAACCTGGAAAATTAACAAATCATACTCCCATTCTCATAACAATAAATCAACACCAATTCTCACATCATAATCCGTTTTGATAGTGTCCATATCACAAGCATGCTTGTATCCATTGGAGTCTGCGCTGATGTAATCGAGAGTTTTATTGTAGGTGGTGTGATTCTGTAGCCTCTGAATCTCTGAATTGCATAATTTCTGGTTAAAGTGAATCAACATGCCACCATTGAGAATTTTCATCTCATCGCGATTATAGCTGAAGTCGAAAAGCTTTTGCAAATTGCTATTTTCATATATAATAAGCGCAAATTGATTGTTCTCCAGCACTTCACCGTGAATTGTGTGGAGATTCTTCAGGAATTTCAGCGAAGAAATTGGTGCCGATCTGTAGATTTTCAGAAATCCGTGAATTTCCTGGATTGCACCCAGATTCTCCTCCAGTTCATCCAGCAATTGAGCCATGTCTGTATTCAGTTTGATCTGGAGTGAACCATTAATGATGGTGCATCCGCGAAGTTTCTCAGCATTTTCAATAAAATCTATTTGGCTACCGTAGCAAGTTTTGGGACAGTGGCCTTTACATTTCTGGCATTTGTGGGTGACATTCTGAAAGCGGAGAAATTGTATTGAGACACCTTCGTCTATCTCTCTGAGAAGTACAATTACCATAAATCCAATGGGACATTCCTCAAGACACTTTCCATCGTGAACTATTTTGCCCTCAGCGTAGCACTTGGATCCATCCACACAACGCTGTGACAATTTGTCCAGCAGTCTACAAAAGAGGGCGTAAAAAAGTGATTTAGGACAGAAAAGGAGGAATAAGCAATTATTTTATTACTTTGGCGGGTCACAAGAGTCCACGCAATTATCGTTGTCCGTCACAACTCTGCAGACGACGCATTTCCCATCTATGCATCCCCCGAGACACTTTGGGTCACAGTCCTTGTACCGATGAGCTGAGAAAGGAGTTTTCGAAATGTTAAATTTTCACCAAATCCCTCTTAAAATTCTAATCTTCCCACATAAACAATTGTAGAGACAAAGGACAAACACTCACGAAACATCGATTCCACACCTTCGAATCTCTGGCAATTAAAGGTGTTCCAGCATAAGTCTCGTTCGCATGTTTTGCAAGCCACCCTTCCATCGGGACACGTGGGCATAATGTCTTTCTGAATGTAATTGCCTCCGCCATTCGTCCCTGTGATTTTATTCCAATCTATTGTGTGCACAAAACAGAGTCTGATGCACTTGTCCACTCGCACGTAGCCACGTTGAACGGAGAGGAGAGCTCTGAAGCCCAGATTCTCCAGATGCGGCATATCGTACACTACCAGAGCATAATTGGCCAGAAGATGAGCTCCGCGGATGACTGTTAAATTCGGAAAGAGTGTCCTGAAGGTTTTCAATCCGTACACTCGAAAGACGACCAACATGCCGGTTATCTCTCTGGAACATAAGTAAAAAAAGAAATTCAAGGAAGAACATAAAAATTTGGTGGATCATAAAAGCAACATGTTTCAGGACTTTTTCATTTTAGAGAGAAAACACTGAGTTGTACTTATAATGGTGAAGTGGTCTTACGGAAATCAATGTTCTGTGGCATTTGTATGCATATTGAAGTATTAAATCAATTAAATTAAATTTTATTGAATTTACGTCGAATCACTTATCTCTCTTTCTCGTTCAATTCTCATTTCCCTTCAGCGACAATGTTTCGTCTTATTACCTTTCGAACGTCCCTTCTTGCACAATTGAATGATACTTATGATGACTCTGATGACTTCTTTGAAATTCTGCCCGTCGTCAGAACGCATGAATTAGCAAGTGCAATAATTGCGAGGCGCAAATCAAGGTCCATTTAATCTAGATTGCCCAGAAGATGCAGGTGCATCGTATAATGGAGTGAGTCGAATGGTGTAATATAAATTTTCATGTGATATAAAATTTAATGAATTGCAATTTAGAAAGGGAAAAGAAAAATTCTTTTTCTGCCACTGATGAGACTCTCCCATCATGATTGCTTGCTTGGCTGTGATGGCAATCTCTCGTGAAGAGGAATGAAATAATTATCGCTCATTACAATTTAAATCGTGTCTATGTTATGTTTGCGCACATGACAAATGATTTCTAATTATATATTGGCAGATTCACAATATGCAATAAGCAAATAACCCTTTTCTACACGGGTTTCGAAAGAATTTCGAGAATTGTCGTGCAAATATATTGTCTATACTTGTGATTATTTCAGTGAAATCGAGCATTGAATGCGAAAATTCCACTTTTACATGATTGAACAGATAACAATTGGGGAGCAAGTGAAGTCTATCGACAAAACATTCACCCGAACAGCCAGAGAAGTGATCGGTATTTGCTGATGAACAAATTGCTCCTCATGTTCGGCCTTTGCTTCCAACACTCTCACCACTACTGTACATATAATTTGCTGTTATTTGGACACCAGAGTGTCTGAAAACAATCGAATTATCCGCAATATTGCACCGCTTTTTCCCACAGTCACACTCAATAGCAAATCAGAGATAACAAAGAGTCGTATAAATTTATGCGGAAATTTCCAGATTGCTGATGTTCTGATTGTTCAAGGGAAAATGGTCAAGTTGCGATATTTCACACGAAGGGACATTTGATATTCACCTGAGTTCGGGAAAGGTGAGATTCTTAAAGTGAGTCTCGGTGGTTCGCTCCAGGAGGACAATATTGAGGTAACCGATCACGACTGTACAATTTTGCAATTTGGCAAATTGACCCACATTGTTGCGAATGTCTATATTATAGCACTCTTTGGCACTTGTTGGCACAAAACACCCACAGACAATCACAATAAAGAGAAGAACGATTGCAATTCCAGATCCTCGCGATTGCATCATCCTTGAGGATTTATCACAGAGTATCACACGAGATAAAAGGCCACATAAAATTCGATCTTGTGCGATAAAGCATGAACAGCCGTAGAGTGTGCCTGATGTGTCTCACTGAACTTTTCGCTTGCCACTGAAGAAGAACTCTCTGGACGATGATTCTCAGAGTGGTAACACTCACAGAGTCCAATACAAAGACACAAAAAATTGATCAAGTCCCACAAATGTCGAGCAAATAATTCTACGATGTCTCACAATTACGAGATAACAAGAAGTCAATAGGAGAAAAGTGAGGCAAATCCAAAGAAAAGTGGTTAATTAAGTCACAGGAGTACAGAACACTCAAAATTATGTCTTATCTGATGATTTCGCGGAAGAGCGTGTCCGAAACGATGTGATCCATGTGAGAAGAAATCTTCAACTGATCGACAGATTAAAGGTCAATTAATTATTAAAACACTGCACTCGAGAGAGTGTGCCCCTTGTTCTAATCATATTATAACAGTCGTTTTACAACGCACCGCTTCTCTTTGTGTCACTTCTGATGATCATGACAACGGTTTCACTCAGGATATTAATTTCATTTCCAAAATCTCAGTTTTCCCAGGACATTTGCACGGATATAATTTTCAAGACATGCACAGATGATCTTGAAAATTTCTACAAGAAATTAACTAAACCGTTGGAGTTGGACAACATGGATGAGCTGGAATTGTAACAAACTCTATTTAATTCTGAACTTATGTAAAAGGAAACCACAGCGTTAGAATAGGATTTTAACTAGTTCCAAATTTATTGCGAAATGTCAGGTGATTTGAAGTCTACAAAGTGATAGTGAAGGTACGGAGTATCCAATTTAATCCTAATCTGAGGCTTATAAGATATTTCGATACTTCTTATAAGTTATGTACATATAGGATTCTATAGGGAAACTTCCTCAACTGCCACATTTCCAGGATTCCAAGGGCCTTCCAGTTCGTCCACGCGCAATTCCAATGCACTGAACATAGAAATCGTGGAAGCTTCCAAACTCCAGTCGCCCCTGGAAGTCTATGACTTTTGTTTTGCATTGCTTTGAGGTTAATCGTGTTATGTTTTAATTAGCACAAAATTGCTCTTTTTTCATGGAATTAGTGCGCAAAAAGTCCATTAATTGCAACCAGGGTGCAATTAGAGCCGTCCGCTACAATGGTGAGTTGGAGGATTGGCTGGAATTGTGGTATTTGGTGGGTAAAATGGATTGTAAAATTTGCAGCTGACGGAGCGTATGCTATGACGTGCGGCTCAGACAAGAAGATAAAACTGCTGAATCCGCTCACGGAGACGCTCCTGAAGACCTATGGGGGCCATGGAGATGAGGTGTTGGATGTGGTGGGCAGCTGCGACAGCTCGCGCATCTTGTCCGGGAGCATGGACAAGAGCCTGATCTACTGGGATGTGACGACCGGCCAAGTGATACGGAGACTGAGACACCACGCGGGTGCCGTGAACTCGGTAAAGCTGAACGAGGAGTCCACGGTGGCGGTGTCCGGGTCGCGGGACAACACGGTGATGTGCTGGGACATGCGAGTGCCGAAGATGGAGCCCGTGCAGGTGATGAACGAGGCCAAAGACTCCGTGATTGAGGTGATCGTGGCCAACCACCGCATCATCGCCGCCAGTCTCGACGGCTCTGTGCGCCAGTACGACATCCGGGCGGGAGAGGTGATCACAGACAGCCTGGATTGCGCCATAGTGAGCATAGCGAGAACCCGAGATGGCCAGTGTCTGCTGCTCTCCTGCCATGATGGCGTCATGAGACTCATGGACAACGACTCGGGCGACATTCTGGCCAACTACCGCGGACACACGATGATGAACTACAAGGTGGAGTGCGGAATCGTGTGCTCGGACACGCACGTGGTCACCGGATCGTCCGAGGGCGTCGCAGTGGTGTGGGAGCTGGTGCAGGGCAAGGAGGTGCGCAGGATTCCCATTGGCAACAAGGTGGTGCACTCCATCGCGGTGCATCCCACGGGTACGGACGTCATCTTCGCGTGCGGGCAGGAGGTTCACGTGTGGGGCTACCCCTATTGAGAGGCAAGTGCGTCCCCATTCGAAGTTTTCGGTATATCAAAATGTTCCTGGATGTATAACAAAACACTCGAGAGACTTTAGGAAGAGGGCAAAAAGTGACAACAGCAAAGTAGATTTTGCGCAATGGCAAGACATAAAAAAAAAATGAATTGGCGAGTAGAATTCGTGCATGATGGACAAATTGGGAGGATGAATTTGTGTGAAGTCATACAATTGCATAAAACTTTTCCTAAGAATAATCGAATACATAAAGTTCCTAATAAAGTAGTGATAATTTTGCGAGGTATTGTTAAACACTTAGATTTTCGGATATACAATTTACTCTCTTTTAATTAGGACTTTTTTATCGTATAACATTTTTCTAAGGTCTACTCTTAGCATTTGATATTTGTAATTTTTGCTTGACACTTTTCATTACTTTAGTTGAGAAAAAATTATGATTTAGAAACAATTATTAAGTTGATCACATTTTTTTTCTTTATACAAATTAGTTTTAAACACTGAACGGTGAATTTCACATTCGCTGATACTTAAGTTCCAGTTGATATTCATATTTTTCTATGAAAGATATTCTGATTTAATCAAGTATGGATAAGCATTGAATTAGTTTAGGAATGAACAATGAAACTCGCTAAAGCATTCCGGATAAAGTATTTAGTTTAAGAGTATTTATTATGAAGTATAACTATATGAAAATAGTTCCTAAAGGTGTACAGCGTAAAGTATTATAAAAAGTATAGAATTTTTATGGGCTTTATTGTGCAATTTGTGCATGAAGAGAACCTCGCATAAAACAATAATTCAACGTAATACTTTTAGTGAATTTTTTAGGGAATTTATTTAAAATCTCGATAGTTTCAAAAACACACAAAAGAATTATAAAAAAAGCGTATGGAAAGCAAGATCTTATATTGATATCTTGCAAACAGAGAAATCTCTAGCCAAAGAAATGCATTTCTGTGTTTTTTCTATTGAGAAGCCCCGAAGCATTAAAAAAAATACTGAAACCTTTACGTAAATATAGAAGGAAGAATTACATTATTTATCCGGAATGACAAGCATAATCAAGAAAATTATATTCCTCTGAGAATTTTGAAGAGAAAAATCAGTGAAGAAAAGAAAAACAACCTATAAGATATTATAAATTTATTGCTAGTAATTTTCATTAATGGTAGTACATTTTTATTGAGAATACATAGTAATACATTAACAAAAAAAATAAAATAAAATAAAGACGTGAAACAAAGAGTAAAATATTCAAATATCGTAAAAAAGGATTTAAATATACACTCATGGGAGACTATTTTTCTAAAATGCTTGAAACTGATGAGAGAAAAAAGAATCATTCCCGAGTGAAATAAAAACATGTATTTGTGAGTTATTTGACATTTTTGGCAATTTTCTAAATGTGTGTGTGTGTGTGTCTCAGGAAAGAAAAAAAATGCGAGAGAAAACTATTCTCAAGATACTTGAATTGTGTGTTTACGTTTTTTCTGTCAATTCTTCGATTTTGAACAAAAAAAATCATCTGAGACATCAACTATCAAAAAAAATGTTGTAAGAAGACTAAAAAAAACATGCGTCAATAAAGATGGCTTAAGTAAGAAGTATGATGAAATCAAACAACTCACCAAGATAAATATAAATTCACCTTATATAGGAAAATATCATTATTCATTGCTGATTGTCTCGGTAACCAAGAAATAAATACAACAAAAATTAGTCAACTATTTGCACAGAAGGTTTGCAATAGAGGAATAAAAATCATAAGAAAAAAAAATTCAAAAATAAATATGATGTGCTCAGAATATATGGTGAATAAAATAATTATATACAGTAAAATATATACTGTGGAGAGTATAAATTGAAGGGAGGGCGGCGAGGAGGTGAAGCTGTAATTATAAAATTGACGAAATATCCCGATCGGTGACCAAGAAGCATTCTCAATTTTCAGCAGCGATGGTCTCCGCGGCCATTTGGCGGTTCCGCTCCAAGCGACTTTGCACACCGCTCGACTTGATCGTGGGATGATTATGATGCTCGAGATGGTGATGCGGTTGCGATTTTGCGGGTACAAAATGCTGATGACTAGAGTTTTTGTGGAGTGGCGATGAATTGGTGAAATGCGGGGCCTTCGGCATGTTCACCGGACGAATCCCAATGCGACCAGAGCCAGGAACCACGGGCGGGGATGCCACTGAAACGTGAAGGAAAAAGTATGAGAATCTGGCTCGTTGCCTCATGTCTTTAGCTTCAGCCTGTTGTGCTATATTTTGTGCAGTTATTATTGATTTGAATATAATTCTCGTAATGATTTATTGTTTTTTTTTTTAATTTATGCACATACTCTCATTCCTAATGTGATTAACCCCTTGTTGCCCACACACTGCAAATCTTGAGTGATCTAAAGAATCGCGCATTTAACTGTTTCCACATTCACCTCAATCTTGGCATTAGCATTTTGTATTTGTATGAAAAAGCCAGGAAACGAGTGACCTCCCCTTATTTGGTGTTCAAGTGAATGCGCACATGAATCAAGGCATATTCCCACTTACATTTCACGCTCTTGATCTCTCCGTCCTGGGATACGGAGATGGTGATATTGCCCCTCTTCTCAGTCACGAGCTCTCCTCCGGTGTTCGGGGGCGCCTTTTGGGGTGCATTCACGGGCCGCTGAGGCTGATTTGAGCCCTTCCACTTGGCATCTCCGCTGGACTTCTGCCTCTCAAATCTCTGCTCACGAGGTTTTCCCCTGTTCTGCCGAAAGCTTCCGCCGGCAGGTCCATTTCTGTTTCTGTAGCCACTCGATTGCTTCCACTGGCCGCCCTTTCCGCCGCCCTCCTGATTGTTGGGCCTCGGAGTACCAGGCTGCTGTGGTGTGCCACCATCACGCTCTGCATCGGCCAGGAAGTTGTACACCGGATCAGGCGGGGGACCCTGACCCAGAGCGAACTTCTTGTGCTCCTTGCCGCCCCGCAGGGCCTGTGTCGTCTTCTCGGGGCGCGCCTTCTCGGCAATCTGTGCCTCTGGGCTGTCATACGTGAAGTCCAGAGTGTCGTACTTATGCTGTCTTGGCCATTCCTCATCGCTGGGCGGTTTTATAGCCACCATTGCGTTATTTTTCACCGCCGCCAGTCTGTCTTCCATCGCCTCTCTGTGCTTCTTCTCGATCTCCTCATTCTTGAGACGGATCCGCTCCATGCGCTCCGTCAAGTTTTCCGTCTTGAGGTTTGCCATCGCCCGGGGCACTCGTGCTGCAGGTGCGAGAGAATGCCACAAATTTATCTCAGGGATGATCGCGGGAGGAAAAAGGTGTGTTAAATGTCGGAGGAGGAAATTTTGGTGTGTGTGCTGCTCTGTGTGGCCCACTTTCTCAACACCACATGTATTTCCGTGGTTTTTTCCAAATTTTCCACGTCACAATCCTCCGCGCACTCACACTGGGAATTGTCAGGCAGCACCTGGTGTCCGAAGCACTGGGAATTACCTTCTTTTCGCTCGATTCTTCGCGAGAATTGAGGAAAAATGCTGCAAAATATCCCAAATATGCGAAAATATTTGACGTTTTGGTGTGTGGAAAAGTGTCAGTATTCCAGTGTCAAATTTCGCTTTCCAATCCCAATTCCAATTGCGTTTCAAGATCATGGCACTTCTCAGTGTTTTCTTGTGAAACATTCTCCTCACCTTTGCCACTCAATTTCTCATGAAATCATCAAGCCGCGCTGGTGGAATTCTCGCGGAACCGCTGCTGCGAGTGCTGATAATGTGAGGTGTGCTGACGAGAGGCAGAAAGGATCAAGTTGAGAGTGAAAATGGGATTCACCAAGTCAGCTGTTTTGTTTCTCATTCTTATCATCATCTGCTCGGTTTTCGTGGCCAACGTCTCCAATCTGATTAACGCGAGTGGGAATGTGGCCAGGAGTGGTCCTGAGGAAGGATATGCCCGTGAGGCTAGACAGAGTGGCGCCAGGATAGGGAACAACACGGATCACTTGATGTGGTTCTTGCAGGTATGCTGACACATCATATTTTTATCACTCCCCCTCAGAGATGTTTCCATTGTCTACCACGCATTGTCTACACTCCCGGAGATGATGTAATTTATGAGTTGCCCATGATTTATGAATTTCACAATTTTTACCTGAAATCTCATGTATCGCAAATGCTTGTACATGAAGTTCATGAGAATAATTCTACATTCTTTGTATATTTATAGATATCTGACCTTCACATTAGCATGTTCAGAGATGAGGAGCGCATTCGAAATCTGGGCGATTTCATGCACCGGACCATCTCGGCGGTGAAGCCCACAGTGGTGGTTGTGAGCGGGGATCTAACGGACGCCAGGAGTCTGAATCACCTGGGCTCCGAGCAGTTTGAGGGCGAATGGAAGATTTACAAGAAACTTCTGCAGGAGCACAATGTGACATCGAAGACGGCGTGGCTAGATTTGCGTGGGAATCATGACAATTTCAACGTGGCCGGGAGGAATTCATCCAGCAACTTCTTCCACAAGTACTCTGTGCAGGGAAGCGCGCATTCCAGATCGTACATGCATCAGGTGGAGAAGGCTGGCGACAAGTACACATTTCTTGCGGTGGATGCGTGCCTAGAGCCGGGTCCAAAGAGGCCCTACAACTTCATAGGAATGCTCACGGCGGACGAAGTGCACAATATTGAGCGACTAATGGAGGAGGCGCGAAGGACGGGCAGCAAATACACCGTGTGGTTCGGCCACTATCCCACTTCCTGCATTCTGACAGCGGGCGCAGGCATCAGAGATGTCATTGGGCGCCACGAGGAGGGACTGGTGTACCTCTGTGGGCATCTGCACACAATGGGAGGTATGGTGAAGCGGATGTACACGCTCCAGAACGCGGGATTCTTGGAACTGGAGCTGGGCGACTGGAAGGACAATCGCCTCTTTAGACTGGCAGCTATCGATCATGGCATGTTCTCTTTCGTGGATGTTCATCACAACGAGTGGCCAATTGTGTTGGTGACAAATCCCAAGGATGCCACATTCAACAATCCATTGCGAGAGGATATTCGTCTCCAGGTGGAATCCACTCACATCAGACTTCTAGCATTTAGTGTGGCGCCAATTGTGGAGTGTCGCATTCGAGTGGATTCGGAGCCTTTTGGAGTGTGCGATAGAGCTGGAGAGGGAGTGTTTGTGGCCAAGTGGGAACCAGTGAGATACCGAGATGGCCTGCATCACGTGGAGGTGCTGGTGAAGGACGCTGATGGGCGAGAGAAGAGTGTGAGACAGGCTTTCTCACTGGATGGCACGTCGATTAGTTTCGCCATGAAGGCTCGGTTTGTGCTGATGACGGAAGCCTGTAATATTTTCCAGGCATTCTTCGGCACCACTCTGGTTCTCTGCCTTCTGCCACTGATCATCTTCCGTGTGTGGCACATGGCGGTGGTGCGCGGCAGGGCGAAGCGCCCTCGTATCCAGTGGAGCTTCGTGAGATGCTGGGTGAGGCGACTCTGGCTTCTCTCGTCTGTCAACAGACTCTTCTATCCGCTCCTGGTATTCTTCATCTATCTCCTCGTGGGACCGTGGTCTGTGGCAGATGTCATCGATGGCCACTTCGGGGTGGTCTTCATGTGGGGCATCCTCGTGGACGGCGTCCTCCTGCCAGGCTCTCTCACGTACCTCTATGGCTTCTTTCAAATCGCCCTCTGCCAACTGCCGCTCACCTATGTCTACGCCAGCATCCTCGATCGGCGCTATCGCCACACGATCAGCCCACCGACGCGGCCCAAGGGTCGCTTCAGGAAGTGCTTGCAACACTTGCCCTTCCTCACGATCATCACAGTGGAGCTCATCCTCATGTACTTCCACTGGGCATCCTACGGATTCTTGGCGCTCATTCTCGGACCACTGCGCACGTGGTCACTGATCCTGAACTTCACCTTGTGGTATCAAGCTCAATACATGCCTGACAAGTGTCTCCACGCTGGCTCAGCTGTGTGGTCAACGCAGCCCAAGTTGGTGAAGGACGACAATTGAGTCCGTGCAGAATATCTGTGGCACTTCCACCGTTCGTTAGTCTCTTTGTGATACGGTGATTTTCATGTCCAGAATTTCAGTAAATAGTGGTTCTGGCACTAAACACCCACATTTTCCCCACGCAAACATAATTGAATATTTTCTGAGTGTGGACTTACTTTTGGAGAAGCAATTTAATGACACACGATTTTTGGGAAGTTACTAAAGACAAGCACAAAGTCTGAGATGGCCTTAAAATTCTTTTTCAACTTTCTGAGTATTATTCTTGAGGTGTTGACTAAGATAGAGAGAGAGATGAAAAGAAATTTGTAAAATTCCAAGTTAACAAAATGTCTTTTTAAAAATTCTTATATTGATTTACACAAACACAGCAGAAGATATGTAGAAATGTATTTTCTTTTTTCTTGAGGACGTAACATTTGAATTGTCCGTGAAAATTCACTTCTAGTCCTTCTAGTCTAGACTAGATTACTATGTTACAAATGTTTTCTGCAATAGACATGATACTATTGCATGTTTTGGGGATGAATTTTATTGTAAAGACTGTAGTTGCATCTATATGTATGTATGTAGTTATTAAATGATAATATATTTAACAGTGCATCATTGCATTCTAATAATAAATCACAAGATGTCCCAGTAATATTGCTTTTTTGCGAGGAATTAAATTTTTTGGTTGATAAACGTTGATATAAAAGACGATTTACGGTTTCCCATTCAAGTTTGAAATGTGCAAAAACGGCCATTTGTTCCATGCACGATAAATTTTGCAACGGCCGGCAATTTTGCACCTAACCTCAGATTTTTTCATCGCGTCCTGCGTTGTGCGTCTTTTACAATCTTTTGTTCCTCGATTTTTCACGATTTTGTGTAAGGAATGGCAGAAATCAACCTCACCACACTCTCAGCGGCTCTGGACAATGTTTCCGGCAGTGGAGTTTCGTTCGAAAACAAGGAAAAGAACTGGGGAAGCAAGGAAGAAGGTAGAGTCTCTTGAGTTCGCTTTCTTGGGGGCTTTTCTCACAACACCTGGCCTTTTTCAGTTAAGGAATTGACGGATGCTATCGACAAGTGCCGGAATCTGGAATTTCTGAATCTGGCAGGGAACACACTTGGCGTGGAAGCGGCTCAGGAAGTGGGAAAATCACTGAAGAAGCATCCGGAGTTTCAGAGAGCGCTGTGGAAGGATTCATTCACGGGTCGACTTAAGACAGAGATTCCAATCGCTCTGCAGTCCATGGGCCGAGGCATAATCGATGCTGGAGCTCATCTCACCGTGTTCGACTGCAGCGACAATGCTCTGGGACCCAATGGCATGAAGGGTCTCGTGGAGTTGTTCAGCAGCGCCGCGTGTTTCTCCCTGCAGGAGTTGAAGATCAACAATTGCGGTCTTGGCATTGATGGTGGGAAGATGTTGGCGAAGGCTCTGACTGAGTGTTTGAAGGCCAGCCTCAAGACGCCCACGCCCATGAAGCTGAAGGTGTTTATTGCCGGGCGGAATCGCTTAGAGAACAAAGGAGCCGAAGCTCTGGCGGGATTCTTTGCACAAGTGAAGACTCTGGAGGAATTGGCAATGCCACAGAATGGGATCTACCATGAGGGCATTACAGCTCTGTCGGCGGCTTTGAAGAAGAACCAAAATATGCAGGTCCTGAATTTGAATGACAACACAATTGGATCGAAGGGAGCAGAAGCACTGGCCGATGCCATGTGCAACATGCACAAGCTCAGAGAGATCAATTTCGGAGATTGTCTGCTGAAGACGCGCGGTGCAACGTTGCTCGGCGAGGTCTTGAGCGACCAGCATGAGGCTCTGGAGGTTCTCACGCTGAATGACAACGAAATTGGCCCCAACGGCGGACTTTCCCTGGCCTTCGCCATGGCCAACAAAGTCAACCTGCAGACGCTGCAGCTGAATGGGAATCACTTCGGGCGAGAATGTCGCGAGCTGATCGCGGATGAGCTTAGGCGGTTCAACCTGGAGAACGCCTTGGCGCCAATGGACGAGGATGACTCTGAGGAGGACGACGGCGAGGGAGAGTATGAAGAGGGCGAGGACGAGCTGGAGGAGGAGGAGGAAATTGACACTGAGGATATCGAGGACGAGGACGAGTGTGCTGATGATGATGACGAGACTGATGAAGCTGTTGAGGATGGTGGTCAGGAGGCAAATATGCCGAACTTGAGTATTCTCACACCACCAACCAGAGTCCAGGCTTCTCCAGTTGAGACCTTCTGTCGCAGTGAGAAGCCCACTCTGGCCATGTTCAATGCCATCGATGGCAAGGATCGCGTGGCCGCTTTCCAGGAATATCTCAAGAGTCTGCCCAGCGACTTCTACCTCGTCTACTTGGTCTTCACTATCCTCAAGTGTTCAGACCTGAGTTTGCAGTCCAAGGAGGCGCTCGCTGTGTCAGATGCCCTCTTTGCGGACGCTTTCCAGTACGCCCAGGACAATTCTCAAGTGAATTCCGTGCGGAACTTCTTCCTCATCCAACTGTGCCTGCTGCGCTGCGAGGACAAAACCTTCCAGCCAACCTACAACACTCAGGCTTGTCGGAGTGCCCTCGAGAGCGCGATGAAGAAGAACTTCTTCCCATCTGATCTTCGGGGTACTTTTGAATGTTTCTTAGACAAGATGAAGTTCGACTAGACGTGGACGAAAATCTGGGCGCAACTAAATCGTGAGTTGAACTGATGAGGCTATTTTGGAAGCCAATTTGAGGATTAAAATTAAATTTGTGTCGAGATAAAATGGCTTTTCATTTCGCTGAGAGTACATAAAGGAAAGGCGATAAGTATCTTATACGCGTAGAAAACGTAGTTTTATTTTTCTACGTGCCAACAGCGGTACAGTACATGTAAGTAGACTTCATGAGGAAACAAAATAGGATAGATTGGGCGAAAACATAACGCGTTAATTTCCTAATTCACGCTACCTGTCGACATCCTCCATTTACACACGTACACATAATAGTAATAATATAATAATCAAGGGGGAAACTTATATCGAGATGAGCTCTAGAGAGAGTATGAAAGGGGCGCTTCTATGCGTGGGGGCGCTCATATTGCTTGGGAGGCGCTTGGGGCTGGGATGCGCTCCTCCTTGAGCTCCTCGAGACGCTCTGCGACGCGATCGAGATTGGCGGACATGCCGGTGATGGAGGCGCACTCTTCATCTGTGATGTCCTGCTTTGTGGTCCCCGGATCGAAGTCCTTGTCGGCAATGAGGGTCATCGTTTCGTCCACGGTGACTCCGCTGGAGCTGGACGCCACGCTGGCGCCTGAGTTGCTGTTGGTGGCCGGCGAGTGGGCGGCCGATGATGGTGATGACACGGAGGAGGCGCACAACTTCGAGACGAAGAACTTTGGTGTGATGCGCCCCTCGTAGGTGCCCGAATCGGGGCTGGGGCAGAGGGGCGACGGGGTCTGGCACACGGGCGACGAGCCGCGGCTCTCGAGGAACATCTTCTTGTACGGCGGCGGGGAGCACGTGGAGCTGTTGTCGTCCAGGTCGAACTTGCGCTTCACGGGGCACAGGGTGCTGGGTCGCATGGCGTTGGGCGACATGGAGCGTCGCGTGGCGAAGGTCTTGCGGGTGGGACTGGGTGACATCACCTGGTAGCGCAGCGCGTTGCCGCGGCTCGTGGGCGACGGGCTGGAGCAACTGAGGAGGCCTCCGGTGGGCAGGTTCACGTGGAGTGGATTCGTCAGATCGTCGCTCTGCGGGAAAAGGGAAGCAGATGAGATGAAGATTTCGAAAGGAATATGGCTACTCACGTCTCTGCTCTTGAAGGACCACCCCTCCGTGACTATGCGGAGGTCCTCGCAGCTCTGGGACATCTGCATGGCGCAGTGAACCTCGCGCTCGTGGTTCACTTCGCGGCTGTTCATGTCTACGCACTCCTCCTGGCGTAGCTGGGAAACTCGCGGGGTGAGTCGCGGCCCCCCGCCGGGGCTCATGGCACTGCCGGCTAGGGGGCTGTAGCTGGCCGAATAGCGGCGCGTCCGGGCGAAGATGTTGATGGCCGGCGATGGTGAAATGTCCCTGCAAGAGAAAATTTTCCATTGAAATCAAAGCCAATTTGCGGGCCGTGGCGGCGAGTGGCTGACCTGGAAGACGCGCTGGTGGCTTGGGTGGATGTCATAGTTTGTATTCCGGCTGTGATGTTATTAATGAGGGGGGCACTTGAGCACCTTTTCAGGTTTGAGTCCCCATCCATGACTCGATCTTTTTCACCAAAAATAGAGATGTATCGTCCACTGTCAGGCAGTAAAATCAATTGGCATTTTCCACCTCAGCACTGTCCACACGGATTCTCCGGTTGCACTTATTTGACTGTCCAGGTGTGCCTTGAACTGCAGTGAGTGGTTCTGGGCGGAAAATCGCAGCGGAATTAGGCGAAATATTTCCTTTTCTTGGCTTACAATTCACCAATCTCCCAAATATTTTGACACGATGAGCGAAGCGCCGTGACAGCTCGTGTCAGTCCGGCCAACTTTGAGCATGAACCAACGGTCGTTTGTTTACCATCTCTGCATTTTTCCGAGTTTTCACACATTTTCTGCGCATAAATCATCCTGACTCGTGCATAAATTTGACTATAGTGTGCTTTTGTAGTGTGTGCATCGTGATGTCTTGCCGAAACACCCCGCGAACACCCAAAAATCCCATAAGAAATGCAACGCCGAAATCTTCAAGCAAGCCACCGCGGAAACGCGATTTCTCGAGTGAGTCGGGAAAACTCCTCAACACGGCCTTCTCAGTGGAGAACAGGAGTGCCAAGAAGAGGATCCATCTTCCTCCAGCCACGGACTCCTTCACCACATCGACGACTACGCCTAAGCGCGAGAATCCGCGGTATTTCTTCACTCCGGAGTGTTTTGCCAACGTCTCGATGGACGCTTCCGGGAAGGTGGCCGGGAGGACTTCGGCTGGCCAGGAGGAGGGCCAGGAAGTGAGCAATCTCACTGTGGCGGTGAGAGTGCGACCGATGAACAAGCAGGAGCTGACGATGTCTGGCGTGGGAAATGTGATCCAGGTGGAAAACAATGAGGTCACTGTTCTCGCGGGAACATCTGCCGACAGCTCGAATGGTATCACTCGAGGATTCGTCTACGACTGCGCCTTCTGGTCGTGCAACTCGCAGCATCACGGGTACGCGGACCAGAAGGCCATCTTCGACAGCATCGGAGCGCCGCTGGTGGACAGAGCCTTCGAGGGATACAACGTTTGTCTCTTCGCCTACGGACAGACATCGTCCGGGAAGAGTTACAGCATGATGGGCATTGACACTGGTGAGATCCTGTGAGAGACGGAATTTTCCCAGGGATTTCCTGGAATTTGAAGCTCTCGCACTGCGAAAAGCATTGTTTTTTTCTGAATCTTTGGCGCTAGCGCCATCTAGAAGTGCGTAGATATTCGGGGTGCTGGGACAGGGTGGCTTGGGAAATGTATTTCCTCTGCTTTCCCATGGGAAATCGACGAAGATACGAGCACAACTTGCCGGCCACCCTGTGGTGACGCAGCTCGAGAGTGCGATTCGCCGAGTGTTGCTTCGACCGAGAGTGTGGCGGCTCTTGTAATCCGGCTTCTCGGAGGTCAGGTTATGGATTGATTTGAGGTCGGGGGCTCTGCGTGCTGGACGGGTCATGTTGACGGGACGTCCGCACTAAGCTCGCCATCAATATGGGCGCCGTGGCGGAGGCCGCGGCGTGCAGGTTGGCTAAGGAGGGGCGCACCGGGCCAGAGGTGAAAACCAGCAGCCAAAAGTCCCCGTGGTCAGCAGTAGTGGGATCGCGTCCCGGAGTGAGCTCCCAGCACCAGCCCGATCAATAGAGTCATACCATAATCTTTTTACCATCGCCAACATATGTGAGTTTGTGTCCTGATAAAAATGTCTCTTTTTCCAGGCGATAGCGATGTAATTCACCCCAATTCCGAGGTCGGCATCATTCCGCGCTTCTGCCATGAGCTCTTTAGGCGAATCGACGCCATGGGCGGAAAGATAATGGCTGAGGTGGAAGTGAGCTACTTTGAAATCTACAATGAGAAGATCCACGACCTTCTCAGCGTGAGCTCGAGTCGCAACACCACACCGAATGGGCGGAAGAGCGCTCTGAGGGTGCGAGAGCACGCCTTGTGGGGACCGTATGTTGTGGACTTGTCAGCTCATCCGGTGGACTCGTATGCGGCGCTGAAGACATGGATGATTCTGGGCAACAGTCAGAGAGCCACGGCGGCCACTGGTATGAATGACAAGAGCTCAAGGTCTCACTCCATCTTCAACATTGTCCTGAATCTCTGGGAGCGCGGCGACGATAAACGCCAACAGACTCGACGCAGCAAGATTAGTCTGGTGGATTTGGCTGGCAGTGAGCGCATGAATCCCACCTGCACGAGTGCAGATCGGCTCAAGGAGGGCATCAGCATCAACAGAAGTCTCCTGACCCTCGGGAAGGTCATCGCAGCGCTGGCGACATCGAAGAAGGGCTCTCTCGGGCACATTCCCTATCGCGAATCCGTGCTCACGTGGCTACTCAAGGTGAGTGTGAAGCTCTCTGTGGGGTTTTGTGGGATTTCTCAGCACTCAAGGTTTATTCTTATTCAATGTCTTCTCATGGAATTATTGCTATAGATTGTGACCGGAAATGCTTGTTTAGAGATGATTAGTTAGAATTATCTGCTGATAAGTTCAATTTTTGGAGGATTTTTCTGCTCTTCCTAAACTGCCTTCAAAGCATTTTTGCGTCTCTCTGTTATTGTTTATTTTCTAGGGAAATCCAACAAATTTTAAACACTAATATTGCTGTCTCTGCGTCATCACGACTTTTTATCAATTAAATCCCCTTGCAAGTTCATAATATTTTTATTTCTTACAAAATATTCAGACGATAAGCAAGTCTTTTGCAAGTGCTCGTTCTCATTTCCGTTGGCTCAATTCAATGTCTCTGATAGGAAATTCAGTCTCGCGGGGGTTTTTATGGATCTGTGATGTTTGCACTTGCATTCTTGAAGACACTTGCATCCGCATTTCTTCCTCCTTGTGCCCGAGAAGTCTGCGGAATTGAGAGATAAGTGGCGAATTCACTTTGACACAATAACCATCATCACTCACCTGCATTTTCTTCACTCTTGTCATGCCTTTGCGATCCTTTGTTCTTAAAGATGTTCAGCATTTTCGGTATTTTTCCTCTTGCCTTTTTGCTGCACTTTTCACGAGAAGTCAACCATGAAATGAGCGCTGTAGAAGTTTTTCATGGTGCTTAATGCAGTGTGGAATAAATGAGAAATTCCGGTTGTGATAAAAAAATTGTGGTTTCTATCCAAAGTTGGGGTTTTCCTTCGAGATTTATAACATTCTTTTTACCATCGTTTTGCGGCGTGACTCCTTATCAGAAGTGTTGAGCGGTTATTATAATATTCACATGACTATAGAGAAGGCAAAAGACAACGTATTTATTTCATAAACTGGGATTTTTATTTTATATTATTAATTATGGGAAAAAAATATCCATTAAGTACCAGAAAAAGTTTCCAACATTTACATATTTTCCAGATTATTTCGCAAAACAATTTACATTTTTCTCACTATACATTCAGTCTTTATTACAAAGGCAATTGATTTTGCTGGAAAAAGTTCAATCAACGTTTTATTATATTTATTATTATTTCATTATCTCTTAAATTTACAACATCAGTAAAAATGTTTTGATTCAATAACGAATGTTAAGTAAAAGTTGTATATAAAGTTTATATTTCCATTATAAATATTTCTTTTATCTTATTTTACACATCTGCACAAAATATTAATATTATATTTCTTGTGTTGTAAATATTTTCATCAAAATCTCCCTTATACACAGTATAATGAGCCGAATTATATACTTTTTTTTTGTTAGTTTGTGACGGTTTTTAGGGGAAAAATGTGAGTAATTTTGTATCAAACAAAATAAGTGCATTTATTCCTCATGCTCATCAGCCTCGCAGATGGATTCCTTCTGCTGGCGATTCTCACGCTTACGAATGTAAGCAATTAATGGACGTTTCTTCTGCTCTTTGCAAAAGGGACAAGATTCTTTGCGCACTTTGTCCACCACTCCTTTGTTGGCGGCTCGCTTGTTGTTGCCTCCTGGAAGGACAAGAGAATGTGGGAAATCAATTTCAATTGCACTCTCGTGTTATTATATATTTATTGAAATTGTAGACAATTTATCTTTAATTACACCGAGTATTTTCTTAAGTAAACACTCAAGTTTCAAGCTATAAGTCGCTGTTGCGCAGAGATAAGGTGTTATATAATGATTCTTTCTCAATTAAATGAATCAGTTTCCACACATTTATCAATTAACTGGTAAAACAACTCATTGGGTTTTTTTTCATGAATTTCTACTTTACAATCTTTTGTTCTTTGTCCCCTTTTTATAATTCCGATTCAAGAGTCAAGATCTCATCTTTTTTAGAACGGTGGCACTTGACATTATCACTTTATCAGAGAGACTCTTGTGTGCTGCAAACATCATTTCAATAACAGGTCAGAATAATTTATAGTGCCACACGTTTTCTTCTATCCTCTTCACATGTTTCCTCCTTTTGGGGTCTTATAAATAGGTAATAATTGTGGGGCTTTAAAAGTGGAGGAGTTTAGTTGAGTGTCTCTGTGATTGGCTGGTAGAGCAATTATACAGAATTGTGCCACGTAAATGAAATATACATTTGCCCTCTATGGACAAAAGAGGGTGATAAAAAGCAGAGAGAGACATCACTTGATAAAAAGTGATTAAAACAGACTTTCTCTTATCAGTTTGGGCCATGCCACGAGGTTGAGAGCGCGTCTATATGACTTTTTTTATAATTGCAATATTTACATCTATTTTCTTCTCCACCTCTTTTTTTACTACGCAATTTCTTCTGCGCTCTCAAGCACGTTGTGGACTTTTTTGTGAGATTGTCGTAGAGTGTTGAGAGGCACTACTATTATTATAGTTGCGCGATGGAATTGTGAAAGGGGAAATGGAATGGCGTATAAGATTGTACAACACACTGGCTCAACATGGGGCCATGAAGCGTCCGATTTGAGCTCTGAATGTGTGTCGTGTGAGTGTGATATATACGCACTGTGTTTATTGAATTGCGCGTTTTTTTCTGTCCCGTCGCTTTTTCCAGTGTACTATCATGCCACGCCTGTGGATTGCAGCCCCTAAGCGCGGGCTCGCATTCAGCTGGGGCGGAGGTAAATGCACTTTTAGCGTGTCGCGGTGGGTTATTTTTAAACAGTCACATCACACTGACAAAGTGGTGGTCATCGCAGGAGAGAGAGACAGAGGAGATGCCATGGAATGTTGCGATGCGTGGAGGAAAAAGGGAAAGGCGGAAAATGTTCACCTTGGTTGTAATATGAGGTGGCAGCCGAGGACGCGTTGGTGGGCTTGAAGGATGACTCCAGGGTGCCATAGGGGAACTTCTCGAAGTCCCTGTACACTGGACTCCTCATGGACGAGTAGCTCATGCAGTCGCCCAAGTATGCATTGTAGACATCCATTATTTTCTTGCTGTTTTACTCCCACTTGTCACCGCTTTTGCTGCTCGATGGCGATGTTGTTCAGCTTTTTGCTGTGTTTACGTCGAATTTTTGTTATTTCTGGCGCTATTTGCTCCTATACGAGGCACATTTCAGCTTCTTTATGCCTTGAATAATTGTTTACAACAAAGTTCTCTTGTCCACTTTGTACACAAAACTGTACAGTAAATCTAATTCACTGCGTTGTTCTGTCTTTATTTGGCCCCAAAGTAGGAAAAGATGAAAAATCTCACTTTTGGAATGAAAAATCTCTTCTGTCTTTAAAGTGAAATAGATGGTTTACGTGCTGTTGCTCACGACTTGACTCGTTCACGTTTGATGTGAAACTGAAATTAACATAAAACCTAGCAGAGCAAGAACGAGGGCGATCCATACGATACGTAGAGAGCGTCCGAGTGTGTTGGTGAATACGTTTTATTTTCCTCTCCTTCGCTGTATTCGCGGGATTTTTCGTTGTGTGTCTCTTGGCGATACTGTAATAAAATACTTCAACTCTGGGAGATTATAAAATCATAAACCAGTGAATTCGTATTTGCTGCATTATTCTCCATTGGGATGACTGAAAGTGATAGTTTAAGTGTGTTATTCGCGAAAAATGACCCGTGATTTTAAAGAAATACTTTGAGATTCTATGTAGATGTAACCGTAAATTTGAATGAAACCTTGGACAATTAAATAACATAATAATTACCCAAATTTTACCTTCAAACTAAATATGATTTTGAGAAATCTCTGCAAGAAAAAGACTAGTACTTGGAATATCACAGCAAATACCTAAATTTTACAATCTACAATAGTAAGAAATGCACATAAAGTATGTATTATCATGTGTCGTGACGCAAATAAATATTTTACTAAGGGACTTCAAATGACGCGCATTGAGACACTCAAGATTTTCCTTCCTGACTCTGAACATATATTCTTTCTTGCTTGGATTTAACAGCGGTAAACAATATTGCTTTGCTGATAAAGGAAAGAAACGACTTTTGAGATAATTAAACAGAAACGAAGCCCTGATAAAAGTGTCGTGGTCGTGAAGAACATACAAGGAAGATATTTTGATTAGATATCATCAATTTGCTTGTAAATTTTATGGACATTCCAAATAATGAGCCTTGACTGAAGGAGAAGAGAGAGAGAGATTAGTTACAGTATCACTAATTAATTTTACCCGCTTTTCTGGGCCTTGCAGGAGAATTTGGGCGGAAATTCGAAGACCGTGATGTTGGCCACGATATCACCGGCCAGCATTCATTTGGAGGAGACTCTGGCGACGCTGCGATACGCCTGCCAAGCGCGTGCTATCGTGAATCGCGTGAAGGTGAATGAGGATCCGCATGACAAGATCATCAGGGAGTTGAGGGCTGAGGTGGAGCGATTGCAGGTGTTGCAGCAGGATTACGAGCGCCAACAGCAGAGGAATGCAGTGACGGAGACTGGAGCTGTGCGGCACATTGTGATCGAGACGAGTGGCGGCGTAGACGAGCGCGAACTGGAAAAGCTGAGGAAGGAATTGAGTCAGTCGAAGCAGGAGCTGGCCAAGGCCCAGAGATCCTGGATGGAGCGTCTTCGTGAGGCAGAATCAATGCGCAAGAGCGAAATGGAGGTACTTAAGCGGAAGGGATTGACTCTGGGATCGGAAGTGTCGAGGAAAGAGACGTGCCTGGTGAATCTGGATCCAGATCACATACTCTCGGGCACACTGGTGTTCAGACTTCCGCTGGGGAAGGTGAAATTGGGCAGAAATCACCCCACGTCGAAAGAGCAGCCAGATATTGTCTTGGAAGGTCCTTTGGTGTCGTTCAACCATTGGTGAGTTTTTGTCCACATGACTAATGACGGTCTGATAAGGTCACGGTGATAAAACAATTGACACTCAATTCTCCATCATCGTAAAAAGTATGAATTTATCTAGACAATGAGCACAGAAATGTTGTAAAACAGGTCCTGCAATGGCTATTGATTTTTGAGCGAAAGGTCAGTTCTTTGCCTTTAGTTGTGAGCTCACTGTGAGACATTCTGCAGGCAAGATGAGCACTGAAGTACTGAGATTCCATTGGTAGGAGTGTTTAGATTATTAAATTGGTAAAGACTACACTATCATTAATTTTAGCGGTTCGTGAAGTGTGCTTCCGTAAATAATCACGTGGAGGTCAACAGAATTTCGAATTGTGGTTCATTAGCAAGTCTGCCGTTTTTCTACTTTATTGCGTGATTCTATATCATTTTTTTAATGTTTTCAATGGACAATTTACATTTACAGTTTTTCGGTGAAATTGCGACGAACTGTCTCGCATTTTTTCCACGCGACACACGTTTTGCTCTCTACGCAACAGTCTCTGGTTAATTAGTAGTAATCGATTGGATAATTGTGGGGATAAGAATGATTGATTATACCTCTCTATATTTCCTGCCATTTAATTGACAATAATCTCTCTTGCAGCGCGTTCGAGAACAATGCCGGCATCCTCTATTTAACACCACTTTCGCTGGACTTTGAGACGTTCGTCAATGGACAATTGATTGATGGCCGAACGGAGCTTCACCATGGCGATCGCGTGATTATCGGTGGATCACACTACTTTCGTGTGTCGAATCCCGCTGAAGGACGTCCTGATGAGGCGCTCTTTGACTTCCATCAGGCTCATCTGGAGTTCCAGTTGGAGCAGGAGAAGAGACTGCGCGAGGAGGTGGACGCGGAGAAGCGGAACGCCGAGAGAGAAATGCAGAAGGAGCTGGATTCACTGCAGAGGGAGGTTGAGCGTCTCAGGACACGCAAGGAGTGCGTGGAAGTTGAACTGGAGATGCTGAAGGATTGTGCTGAGAGGCCAGATTTGGAGGTGCATCGCAAATCGAATATTCTGGCGGATCTACAGAATATCATGATGCATCCCAGTGAGGATAGTTTGCACAAAATACAGCTGCAAGTGAAGGAGGCAACGCAGAGATGCAGGGATTTCGGATTGAGGGAATTTGAGTTCCGACAGAGTCAAGTGTGCGATGAGTTTGGACTGTTCAAGGCTGTGGTGAATATTGTGGACAGGAGGAGCAAGAGGGTAGCAGATTGGCCACCGGCGCGACTTGAGGTGTGGCTCGAGATGATGCGGAATGCCGAGATGGAGCCCTCGAGGGTGTTTGAGGTGTTGGACGTGGAATGGAGGAGCCTCGATGAGGCGAATGAGAATGCTCTGAATGAGTCCATCAACTCTGGAAAGAGGATTTCACTGAGTCTCAGCAGTCGCCTGGGAAACAGAACGCCTCCGTCACGTATAAAATCTGCCCTGAGCTCGTCTCACAAGAAATCTGGAACTCCTTTGAGTGCTCGGAATCAGACGCCCGGAGACTTCCCGATCAAAGCCAGACCGTACTTGAAGGACCTCAATGTGGCCATGAGCTGCTTGAAGAATCTCTGCTGTGACGATCAGATGAGCAACAGGAGTCGAGAGATGCTCGGGATGATCGATGAGATGGATGAAATTGTTGGCCGAATGACTCATTTGATCAGAGAGAAGGACAGTGAAGCTAAAACGCCAAAGACGCCCAAATCCGTGAGGTTTCGCTTCGACTGACTAGGCTAATGCATCAAGGAAATATATTTCCCACATTTACTTACATCAATCCAGTCGAAATCCGTGACTTTTGAACTCATATTTGCCAATTGAACTTTTGAACGCTTAAGAGAATGGAATAAAGATATGTGAAATTTACAAAAATCTGGATATTTCTGTGTTGGTGAAAGTGAAAAGTTGCTAAACGGAGGAGAAATTTGCTCGTGGATCAGAGACAATCACGAAACACTTAGCATAGGTCATGTTACAAATACAACATATCAATTTTTACCCACAATTTATTGGCGTTTTTATGAAAGAAGTGATTTCTCACTTTTTCTTACAAATGTCTATCATTAACTGTAAGACTAGATTAAATAAACTTACAATCAACATTTTGACGAAAGGAAAACAATAATATACCTAAGCTTTCAACATTTACGCGATTCTTGCTCATCTAAAATAAATAATTAATTGAACTCCTTCCACTTTGTTCTCTCAGTCACAAAAATGAACACATTCTTGCCACTTCTCAGGGCGAGAAGTGAAAGAATACTAATGAGATTATTCATGAGAAGATTATAATCGTTATGAATTATATAAAGTAAAAACTCTCACTGGCGGTGAATACAAAAGAAAGACGCTGCAGGTCGCAAACGATAGCTTTAAAATTCGCTCTTAAAAGAAAATTAACAAATATGTTTTTTTTTTGCCTAAAACACTCGCAATTTTGCTTAATTCATTTTCAACAACGATCATTTCTTTTGAGTATAAGCGTACTTAGAATACTTTCTTCAGTATTCGCCGAAAACTACCTGTCTTCTTAATCAGCGGCTCATCCACGGGACGCGTCAGGCCAGAACCCTCTTGGCAGTCTGCAGAGACGCGCGCCAGGATTTCCGGACTCGTAGAGTTGGCCTTCGGCTTGAGCCTGTGATTCTCACTGGTATTTTGTCTCTTGTCTTTGGATTTGGGCGTTGAATTGGAATGTTGGCTCTTGTTGCGGGACGTCTTGAAGAGCACCGGCGACGAGAGACGTCTGGCGATGCTCTCCCTCAGCGGAAAGCTGCTTCTGCCCTTCTCGCTGCCCCGCGAAGGGGATTCAACGTGATTCGAGAGACTCTTTTCCAGCCCCTCGCCACTCAACTCCAGCTCACTGCTGTTCAAATCCTCAATCGGCACGTCGTTCTCGCTCATCTTCCCACTCAGTCCACTCGCGATTGAGCCGCTGACTTCCTCCGCACATTCATTCGCACTCTCCTCGTTCTCCTCCTTGATCTCCGTCACTCCACCACACTTGGCCACCTTTCCGCTGTCCTCAGCAGTGTTCTGCGCCTCCCCTTGACTGCTGATCTTCTCTTCCCCCTCAACGCTGTCATTGGCAGTTGCTTGAGATCTCCGAACGCAATCCATGAGCATCTTGCATCGTCGGCTGATGCGCTGATACGCCCTGGAGTATAAGTAGATGATGAGGATCTGCAGGCACGTGAAGCTGACACCAAAGACGAAGCAGAACTTGCAGATCTTGTCCATGATGTCCTCACATTGTTCACGCAGTGCCTCGTGTTGCATCAACATGAACTCCTTCTTCTCGTCGAAGCGCCGACTTTGCTCCTCAATGGACAACAGAGCTTTTGCGAAAGACGACTGCAGTTCCTCCACTTGCTTCTTGTATCTCTTCGACAACTCCTCCAAGTACTGCCCAGACAGAGACATGTTACGCTCAAGGGCCTGCAACAAGAAGATCAAATAACAATTAATATAAACTAGATCGAATATCTTATCTCTTTCACCTGGAATGTGAAGTTTCTCAACATTTCAGATATCTTTCATTGCAATCAAGACGGAACTTCTCTGAGGTATTTGTCAAGAAAACAAGCAAATGTACATCTAATCTCAAGCAATGATAAATAAAGCTTGATAAGAGATCATCGTAAATTTCCAAGGCATGGCAAAATTTTCCCACCACACAAAAACGCAATTTGCTATCTGTAAATTGAATTTTGCAGAGGAATTACATTCCTAATACCCTCCTAAATATACAAGCATACAGTGAAAAAGAATCTCACGTGTTTCTAGCTAAGAGAACGTGAGTATTCTTGCGCAAAATTGATTTGTGTGTTTTTCCCACCAATCAATCTGTGTTCATACCAATTTTTAGGCGCAATGCTTCTATTTTCTTTCTACTTTATCAGGGGAAAAATAGCACTACAACAGTTTTATAAATAGAAACCTCGTTCTGGCACAGAGTTGATAAGACGAGAGGAATTCACAGTTGGGTGGAAAGTTTAACTTGTTGTTGCGCGATAAGGGAGAATTGAGAAAAATCCTACCTTAATGCGATTGGAGAGCCTGAGAAAGACACTCTCGCTGTGAGCTGACGATTGTTGTGCTGTTGGGAGATTATTGTTGGCCTCATTATTCACTGGAACCTCCTGTGTGGCTCCATTGGGGGCATCCTTTGCCGCCTCCTGCTGAGCCGGCACTTGAGGAGCATTGATCTTGGGCTCCACTTGCTCACTCTCCTCCACATTATTCTCCGTGGCATTTTGATGGGTTTGTGACGATGAATCCTCCTCAATTGCTTGACTTTCGACTAGATTTCCACCACTCTGAGTGTCTTTTTGAGCCTCCTCATCTACCGGCACCTTCACATGGTTCTCAATCACAGCAACATCCTCCTGGACAGGCGGATGACCTTTCCCATTCTCAGTCTGTGGAGATTCATTCTTCGCTGCCTTTTTGCTTTCGTGCGGAATTTTCTTCCCTTCCTTGCCATTCTTCAACTTCTGCGCATTCTTTTGCTGCTTATCATCTCTCTGAGACTTGTTCTCCTCTGTCGATGTGTTCTGTGGGTATTTCTCCTGCTCCAGTGGAACTACTTTGATCTTCTCGCCATTCTTATCGAATTTCTCAAAGCCCGTCAGAGACTTTTCTGTCTCTGGAACCACACTAGCCACTGAATCATTCCAAATATTGAGATTAGGATTCAATCCCATGTGATTCTCCACAGCAGCTGCCAAGTTGCACAAGGCTGTTAAGTATCCCGTGGGAAGAAGGTGGGAAAAGTAGGAAATTCGCTTTAAATAAGCTTCCTTCACGCTGTCTGTGAGATTAATGTTAATCATCTTTTCACACTCTCTGGATTCATAGACAATTTCCCGGATTCTCGGCATTTGCAGCAATTGTAGCAGAAAAGAGTGCTTGCAATTCAGCAAATTTGTCACTCTTTCCAGCATTTCTGGTGAGCAATTGACACAATTCACCTGGTAAGCGAATGTGAAACATTCTTCAGTGGGTGAGTTGAGCCTTGATGTTTTTGCGGTGGCATTGCTATTTGCAGATGAATCCCCTTTGCCAAGCACTTCAGCGGCCTTCTTCACAATGGACAAAACAGCATCGCTGGCAGATTTGAAGATATTATTCTTCGCATCGCCTCGCTTACTATCCGGCACTTCCATATCACTGTCATCATCCAGAAGATCTCCATCGATAATCTCTGGATGATTCTCCGTCTCGAAAGCCTCAAACTCTGACGTTCCATAGACGCGAAATAAAGATATGGGACAAAAGTGCTCCTTGCTGTAGTGCGAATTCACCTCCACCCGAATAAACTTGCCAAACACGAGCGGATGAAGATTGTACTTCTGCACATTTCGCTCATCCTTGGCGGTAAATTGACCAACATTCAGCCACTCTCTCGTTGGGAATCTGTTACTCACAGAAATACTAAAGTCTTTGGGCGATGATGAGTACAATTCAAAGTTGGCCAGCTCAATCTTCTCCGCTCTGATGGCCTCACACAGCTCCACCACGAACCATATTTTACTGGTGCACGGACTCAGCAGGTACTCATCTTTGGATGCCGACAGAACCGAGCTGGAACTCTCAGCCTCCGGATTGGCAATGATGATCTTTGCACCACAATCTGGTGATGCATAATTTTTGGCACGTACTTTCACTTTGAGCGACGGTCCCTGATCCGTGGCATTCTTCTTCATCGTCGACGAATTCGTGCTCTCCTTCTCCAGCTTCTTCTCCGCCTCCTCCATCTGCTTCTGCGTCCACTCTGAGAACACCGGAATTATGTTCTCCTCGCCATTAATCACTGGCATCTCAAAGGGCTGCGTTGGCTTCAGATTCACCTGCACGATCATCTCCTCATCTCCCGATGGCGTCACATTCACCAGCAGATCCTCCTCACCCTCCAAAGCAGTGTCGTTCCGCTCCTCCTCCTCGACAAGGTGCAGATCGATGCTGTTGCCATACTTCTTCTCAAAGTCCAGATCAACGACCTCCGGTTTTTGCGTGTAAAACGATGATGATGAGTCTGTTGATGAATTGCTGCTGAGACATGCAATAAAAGAAGCAAGTATTAGCCAAAATGACACTTTATCGGGGACAAAGTGGTGCAAGACGTTTTTGACCGCAAACATGATCGCTCACGCAGACTCAACTAGTTTAACTGGCAAAAGTGTAATTTGCGCAGAAAACCCGTAGATGACCAAAACAACTTTTCCGCGCAGTGTCACAATTAATTTGCATTTTGGAATAATTTGAGAAAAACATCATTTTCACACTCTAAGCTTATCATGAAATTATTCCATTGATCGAGAAAAAATATGATGAATCAATATTGAAGCATGATCGCGTGTGAATAAGAATATCAAATATTAGGAAGCAAACAATAAAATTCCTTCTTTGGTAATGTGATTTCTCGCTTTCTCCTATATTTGCACAAAAACCATTGATTTGATTACGAAAACAGTGGAAACAACGTCTTTCGTGATCAGGATCGCGGCGTTTTGGTCACAATTTCTCACCTCAAATTTAAAAATCGATAACAGATTTGACCTTATTCGTGCATAAATATTTACCCCCAAGTCTTTTAATAATACAACACCCAAAAAGGACAATCAATTTGTATTATATACTTTTCATTTTCATGTTTTTATTATTCCTCACTGTCTGTCAACACTTTAATCTATTTAACCAAATTCCGCACACTTTATCGTCTCCATTGTTGGACAGTGATGAATTTGCTTGACTGTCGGCGCAAAATTATAGTGCTTTAATGCGATTAGTCGCGAAAAGAATCACATATTTGACCTTCCTATAAAGTTTCTGTGATTTTTCCAATATGCAGATGACTTTTTTTTTCTCACAACTCGTCAAAAGCGTTTTTAAAGGAAATCCTGCAAACTGCTATTTACCATAGAATGGCCAGAATAATAAACTGTTCGAGGAGTGCTACAAGCGACATTTAAAACAGCTCCAGCAAATGCACACGATCTTTATCAGCCAAATACAAAATTAATACTGTCACACTTGTTCAATGCTGCCTTCCACCAAAGTTACTGTTTCAGAAACACTGCATTATGCGGGGAAAAATGCCATTACAGCACACACAATTTTTCTTTTTTTCTTCTGTATTCTTTCCTCCTCCAAAGATGTTCTCAATACCCTTCAATATATACACACTGTGCACTCAACTATTGTTTCGTAACAGCTGGCAAGAAAATTCTCGTGCCACAGGAAATTTTTCATGAAAAACTTATTTTTGCCCAGCGTGCTTTCGTGCAAATCACTACGCGCTTTCCTTACACATTCCACTCATTTTGCGACTCACTTTCGAGGCGTGACAAGAGATTAAAGCAAAACAAAAAAATACAGCACGACGAGGTGTTTTTAACACATTTTCAGCACTTTCCACCTCACAGTCATTGGAGAACTCCTGCAGATCGGGTTAGTTTTCATGTGTGCGGCGTTGAAAGAAACACGAGTTGGAACTATTTGCTAAACAGTCATTCGATATTATTGTTGAGTCTCCACAAATTAGATCCACAAAGCAAGGCAATTGCGCAAACACACGAGCTTTTAGGATGCAACACGGTTGAGAAGAAGATTTTCGCTCATTTTCTTCACATCGAACAATTGACGAACAGAGTGTTAGTTTTGTGTATTTCTGAAGATAAATCAAACACACGCAATTCTCTATTATTAATTGGTAGTTCAAAAACAAATTGCTTCTAATTAATTTGCCCCATTTTTTAAGTTGACAAAAAAAACCTGCTTGATAAAGGCGCTTAAACCAGTCAGTCAACTTAATCTACGCAAGCACGGAGAATTTCATGAAAATCCAGCTGAATAAGACTGAGTCACTGCAGGCCAAGAGCTTTTCACGCAACTCCCGCATTGTATATTTGCCATGAGCTGGTGAAATTCCCACTGATAATTCCACTCGCCATTCCCGCCTATTGGAGACGAGCACGTGGGCATTTATTGCTGGGTCCCCAGCATATGTCGAGCAACTCCCGGCGCTCATTTCGTCAGTGTGTGTTTAAGAGAACTTGAGCGATTTCTCAGACGCGCAATCACGACGCTTCTCCGTGAATTTCCTGGCAAATTGAGCAATTTCAACAAAAGCATTGTGTTGGATTTCCTCGCCACACATCGAGGGCCGCACACACTTCAATAATAATTATTAATCCAATTGGGACTGCGTTCCGGCACTGACTTTAGCGTTGAGTGACGATTTGGTTCAGGAATCGGTCAAGAATATCGATTTTTCTCGCGACTCTCTATGAATTATTTAGCGCCACAGTTCGCCTGTGAAGTGTCTAATGATTGATATTCGGACACATTTACTGTGTGACGTTGTTGGAATTCTTGTGCGGCGTTTTTTTCTCTTCCTATGCAAGATTATATTACCCTTCTGCGATGTTTGGTTCTCGTGAAGGTCTCTCTAAAAATAACAACTCCTTTATGCTCGATGCATCTCTGAAGATGCTCTTCGACTGAGAGCCGTACTTCGACACGAATTCACTGGACTTGTTCGCCTTTGTCCATTTTGCCAGAGAAGCTGAGGATCTCGAAGCGGCATCGCCAACCAAGGAACTGCAATGGCAGAGTAAACAAGTGAAAAGATAGACTTGAAGTGCTGCATTTTCCGCTGACACTGAGTGCCAAAACTCACCTGAGTATTAAAGCTGCTATCACGAGTTTGCACGACGAATAGGAAAATGTATTCTTCATGCTTATTTTCACATTTTATCGGGGATTGTATTTGCGTGAATGACCAACTTCGTCATCAGTGAGTCAACTGTCAAAGTGTCACACAGATTATGTTCGAGTCAGCATCAGCTTCTCCCGCTTTTCTCCACGCTCTCCACACAGATTATCGCCGAATTGGGGTGCTGGAGGCTTCACTTCCTGGTCGTAGGTTCCGGGCACGCACACAGAGATTAGAGAAATCTGCCCAGAAGGTCAAATCACGTTCACTTTCAATGCAAGACAAGTGGGCAGATTCCACCCACTTTTCACACTATCTCCCCTTTTCGGGAGCACTTTTACGGTCCCAGAAAATCTCCTGGCACTACCATGAAACTTTCCCAATAGAAAATACACGTTTTCCTATAGAATCTTCACAGCGGGAGATACTTTTGAAACTTCCGGACTTTTTGTTTACGTTTCACTCTGCCACGGCCTCGCATACGCGCATTTCACAAAAGCCACGAAAATTACAGCATCACTTCACTTGTCTCCGCTTCTAAAACACTTCTACACTCTTTAGCACGTGTTTTTAGACTGACGAGCTCTATTTTGTGCCTTTCTTTATCGCGAAAACACGCAGAGAATGAAGTTGCACAAATTGGCGATAATAATTTGAAAGAAACTAAGGCAACCCGGCTGAACAGTCCCACCAAAGAGCTTTAGACCAGAGTCGCGTTACAGGCGGTGTCAGCGACATGGGATAAATGATGGTATCTTTCCTATTCGACATTCTTGACGATAAACCGCACAAAAATGCTCTGATTTGGGGAATTTGTAAGTCTGCCTTGCTCTAGAAAAATCTTGTAAGATTCTGGTCGTACAATTGATTTTGACTGCCAATTGGCGGGTAACTCCAACTGGGTTTCGACGAGTACTGTCAATCTGTCAGGGCGTGTCACGGCAAGTTGTCATACAGTGTTTGTGTTTGCGTGTTTTCTGCCAATTTTCCGCATTTTCCTGATTTTCCTTGCCATACCTTCCAAAATGCCCTCCCAAAGGAGCTTCCTGCTCATCTGCGCGTCGATTGTGCTGGTGGTGTGCGTGCAGCAAGGTGAGCAGACACGGCAGGAACCGCCCTCCGGGCGACACTCGCAATGAAAACTGGGAAAATATCCACCGGAAGCTGATAAACAAAGTGGCTTTTCTGCACCTTTTCACAGGCCTCTCAATAAAGTGCTGGGAATGCAGATCGGATGAGGATCCAAAGTGTGGCGATCCGTTTGACAATAGCACACTTGTAATCACCGATTGTACCCAATCGCCACAATTGGAACACCTGCCCGGAGTCAAAGCGACAATGTGCAGGAAGATCCGCCAGAAGGGTATTGAAGAGTTGATTGTTTGATCTCTTTCTCGTCTACATTTTCGCTGTTTCTTTCTTTCTCGTGCAGCCCACGGGAAGTGGAGGTACTTCAGGAGTTGCGCGTACATGGGAGAGCCCGGAATTGAGGGCGACGAGCGCTTCTGTCTGATGCGAACGGGAACATTCAACATATTCCTGGAGTACTGCACTTGTAACAGCAAGGATGGCTGCAACACAGCCGCCTTACCCTCCTTCGCACCATCAAATGGCTTCCTGGCTGTCCTCGTGCCGCTGCTCGCCTGGAGATTCGGGTAAAAGTCTTCACATTCCGTCCCAAATAGGGTGCTCTCCACAGATGGGCGATCATCAATTGTTTTTACTTGATGACTAACGCTTAGCGAAGACACACTGCAAATTGAGTTGAGAATTTTCACCCTCAAAACCCGAAAAATTAGAGAATCTAAAATCTCTGGTAAAAAAACAGCGGTTACGCTGGATCAAAAGAGTAATCTTAATTAGATTTATCACTTTGCAATAATTTCTTGATAAAATCATCGCCTAGTTTAGCACTTTTTACTTGCATTTTGTGCATTCTGTGTCAATGAAATCACTCGCCATCTATTTTTTGTGTTCATGTATTCAAATGAGAGCACCCTGTTCAAAATTCTCACATATAGAACATAAATTGAAGTGACAAAGAAAGTGCCTTTTGAGTACTTTATATGAGAATCTCATGAGTAACGAGAACCGTCCAAGATTGTACGTAATAAGATCCTCTTCATTGATTATAGAAATTAGAGGAAAAAATACACCGATATTGATTTTGTAATTATTTTTGATAGTAAGTTTTTTCTTAGTAATGTCAAAAGCAGTTTTACATACAATATAAATTCAAATTGATTCGGAAATAGATTGTGTGCTATTTCAATGTGCGGAAAAAGCTCAAAAAGTCTACTTCTTGCCACCATGTCGGCGGCTGTTGCCGCGACAGAAGAGCGCCTGGTCGAGGAAGTGCTCCTTCCAGCCATTCTCCGGGATGTTCTCGTGGCAAAGAGGGCATCGCACGCTACTGGGCGGCACTTCGCGGCAGTACTCCTCGAGGAGATGCAGCTGGAAGAGTTCCATGTGGACGGCCTCCGAGCATCTCTTGCAAATCACGTAGCTCTCCTTCGCCTCGCACTCGTCTGCCACACAGAGAGATTGCTGTGATTGAGTATTTATAAGTTTAAGGCATGACAGAATTACTTGTTAGGTGATGCGAATAGGCGGACACTTCCAGGACGCACTGGCACTGCGGACACTTCATGAGTAGCGGACAGGACTTCCAGTAGTGCTTGTCCAGTTGCCCGCTGTCTTTCTCACAGACCCAATCACAGAAGGAACATTGCCTGGTTATTAGAAATTACTTATTATAACTATTCAAGTAGTCATTAAGCGTCAGTTAGCGGAGAAAATCAAGCAATTCGCGAATTACTCATCCTTTTCTGGTTTTATCTTCTAATAAAATCATGAGGAAATTGCGTGACACGGACGATAAAACCATAAGCGGAAGGAATATTGATTTGAGATATTTCAAGAACACTTACACAGTCTGCTTGCATCCATTCTTCTCCCCATTTGCCATGCTTGGCAAAGACACCTTCAGCTCCTCCACGTCCCACGCGTCGCCGAAGGCAGCTCCTTCCTCCTCATCCACCTGGTCGTCTCGCATTGGCTCCAACATCTCGCTGCGGCGCGCCTTGTCGATCTTATCGAACTCGGTGAAGAGTTGCCGATAGAGAAGATTGCGGCGCGTGATATCATCGTCCGGAGGCAGTTGCTTCCGGATGAGGCGCGGATTGATGCGATAGACCTGCAGGAGCACGCGCTCGGCCACCTTGCGCACTGGTTCCGAGGGATGGTGTATGCCTGAGCAGCCGCACTCGGTCAGCGAGCGGCACGTGAGGCCGCTCTGCTTGTCCGTGCTGATGCCCTGGCTCAGCACCAACTGCTCCAGCATCTGGATGCGACTGAGAGCGAGGCGAGGATGCGTGCCGGAGCCCACAGGACGCGACAGGGCCGGAGCCACGAGATTCTGCTGGCGCACTTCGGTGCAGGAGGCAATACTGAGGATGGTGTGCTGTGCCAGGGTGTGGATTCGAGGCGATGGATCCCCGCTCTTGGCCAGCAGCTCAGGCAACAGTCGATCCACGCATCGGGAGACTTCATTGGCGGAGATTCGCTGTGGGATGAAGTCCACAAAGAGAGCTCTCACCGTTTCCGCTGCCTGACTGAAGACTGAGAACACGGCATCGCGCACGGCGCGATAGAGGAGCAAAGTTGAGCTCCTGGCCACTTTGTTGGGTCCGATGGAGCCCTCAATCACAGTGGGATTCTTCAGGATGTTCCGCAGACGCACGAGACCCTCTTCGCGATCCTGGAACTGCTTCGAGTAGAACATCTCCACCTGCGAAGATTTACTTTCATGTGCATTTTTCAAGGGATTCTTGCTGAAGACACTCACCAATTCAGTGCCAAAGACGAGGAGCGGAAGGGCCGCTTGGCGTCTCTCGCGATCATTCATCACCTTGAACCTGCCTCGACTGTTCGCCTCCACTTCCAGCGTGGATTGGCATTCCCTTAAAAATTCATTAGTTTGTGAACTGAAATTTAACATTTTGGAGAAAATGGCATCACATCGACAGACACAAATCGCACAAAGGTCACATCTTACGTCCTCAGCGTGGGTAGAGTTCGCTCCTCGTAATCCTCATAGCTGTTCCGTGGGGCGCTCTTGTTCCTGCGACGCAGTGAACCTGTGTTTGTGGGTGAATTTCGGCTGGGGCTGCGTCCAATCTTGCTGAGCTGAGGCGAAAAGTAGGGCTCATCCTGCTTCTCGCTCTTCTGACTCGGTGGCTTCGGACTGTGCTGCTCCTTGGGATCGTTCAGCAGCAGATGCGCCACTTCCTGGAGACTCGGCGGCGATGGAAGGACTGGCTTCGAGATGTAGACTGGAGAGACGAGATCATTCTCAGTCACTGGACCGCTCTTTTCAAGGAGTTTGCAAACTTCCAGCTGGCTGAAGACGGAATTCCGGTACAGCTCGATTTGCTCCTTTCGCAGTCGAGCCGTGGAAAAGTCTTCCTGGGCAACGGCTTGTCTCTTGGCCAGTGCATAGCGTCCCAGACGCTCACCAGCACTCCTCAAGGCTCCCATGCAGAGTTTCAACTTTCGAGCGTACTCAAAGCGCTCCTCTGAGAGATAGAGAGAGATTGCATCACTATTAGTATCGATTTCACTCTTGGCAAGGTATTAATAATAATGAGGATGAACTCACCCACAACGGCTCTAGACTTCTTGGCTTCCAACTCTTTCACCACCTCACAGATGGTCTCCTCGACGTACATGGAGAAGGAGAGACAGTCACAGATGGAAGTAATGGATTCTGGAGCTCCTGAAGGACCTGCATCCTCTCCAGAATCCATGCCCAGGACGTTGATGCCGATTAGAGCCACTTGGCGGGCGTCATTGAGGTCATTTGCGTATGGTGTTCCCATGCGCAGCTTCAGATGCGAGCCCATTCGTGGGGCGACGGAGACGCTCTGCAACTCCCGGGATTTGTACTGGGAAGCTGAGTTGTCCGACAGGACAATGAAGCCCAAGTAGTCGAAATTTTGACTGGATGGAGTCGTTGGGGAGTCTTTGGGTGCATTGTGAAGCCACAATTCAATACGCTCGGCTGCAAAAACGGGAATCACGGGTGAATTTGCTGCCCAGAAGAGACTCTGGGAAGACACTTACGGATCATGAATTGATGTCCCAGCACCTGAATTCGACACACTTTTGCCGGGCGGTGGAACTTCAGGATGAGTTCCTGTGGCTGGATCTTGGAATTGGCACTGGAGCGCCAGCCAAGGACTGTCGGTCCGTGACCATTGAGTTCGCTGGCCGGGAAGGCAGAGTCCTCATCTGTAGGAAGATGGTTTGTTTTAAGCGAATGACCCAGTGAGACACTTCTCTGGCATTACCTGTGGCGAAAATAACACTAAAAGGTATCTTCTTGGCCATGTTCTCTACACTAGTGGTAAATCACAGAATTTTGCACGGATTCGCATGGATTCGGGAGTCTTTTCTGGCCAAATGGCATGGAAGAGGGATGAAATTTTCCACATTACGTGTCAAAAGCGGACGAAGATCTATTTTATCGATTGGAAATCCCATGGAGGGACAGAATATGGCAGGAAAGGTGGCCGAGAAGGAGAAGTTGAGTTTGCGCTCTGCACGCAAATCCTTTCGGGAATGAATATATCATCAAACAGAAGGTTATTTTGAAGATCCAATGCTGTCTTTATTGGCACCGTTCTCACGTTGTGGCGAACAGGTAGAGAAGATTCTTGGCAAACTGGAAGATCTCCGTTCCCCCCAGCTTCGACTGCCCGTAGAGGCGGTCCACAAATGTGATGGGCACCTCGCCAATGGTGAAGTGGTTCTGGCGTGCACGCACGAGCATCTCCATTTGGAAGACGTAGCCTTTGGAGACACACTGCGAGATGAGACGCGTGAGCACATCTTTCCTGTACAGCCTGAATGATCCCGTGAGATCCGAGGCGCCCGGACGCAGGAGCACCTGAGAGAGATAGTTGGCTCCGCGAGATATCAGCTTCCGCTTCACATCCCAGCCATAAACACCTCCGTCGCCACGATATCTCGTGCCAGACACAATGTCCAAGTCCTCCTTCTTCTGCAGCTCGATGAATTGTGGAATGTACTTTGGATGGTGACTCAGATCAGCGTCCAGGATCACAATGAAGTTCCCGGAGGCATTTTTAACACCATGAATATACGCTGTTCCCAAGCCCAGCTTCTTCTCTCGCGGTCGCAGCACGATCTTCTTCTCGCCGTAGATCTTCTGCAAGTCCTTGGCCACGTCGAGGGTGCCGTCTGGACTCCCATCGTCAATAACAATGATCTCGTAATCGAATCCACTGCAAAGAGACGTGTCACTATAACCAAACGCACTGAATGTATCCTCAATTCTCACCTCAGGTTCATGTGTTTCACAATCAGCCAGATGATTATGGGGAGATTGTCCTTTTCGTTGTACGTGGGCAGAAGGATGGAATATTTATCGCCAGCCATTGCGGAGGAAATTCGCCTGAACTCCAGGAGCCGCAACCAGGAAAATATTTATCAAAACAAGACAGCAGCGCTCCGAATTCCACAGTGGCGTCCTTCAGAAACAGCGGTTTAGACGAGATTTAAATGCTAACGGAGCAACCCGACTGAACGTGTGCCTGTCAAAAGCTCAGAGCTTTATTTATGATTTGGTGGAGATTTATCGGAGAAATTTGAAAAATATATCTCGACGTGACCCTCAAACAAGGTTATTTTCTGAAATAGGAGGTTCTGCTTTTATGTTACTGGCAGAGCACATATGCGAAGCTGTGTTTGTTAGCTACATAGAAAATGGCTTTTGTATGTAGCACTAAAGCTCGACCCAATCGAAAAGCGAGACATTTTCACAGAGAAATTTGACTTGAAATTCAATCGATTGGCAAGTACAATTTCGAGTGAAGTGGCGCAATAGCGTGAAATGTTCAATTTCTCTCAAACACCTCCATTCATTTCATCTGCAAATTGCTCGTAAATGTCATAAATATGCTTTCCATAACGTTTATTAAAATGTTGCACCCTTTTTAATAGGATAAACATTATAGAGAACGTGAAAATTGGCTGAGAACATGCAATGCCGTGGCGTAAGCGGTGTATGTTGTCCATGTCTCTCACATATAATTCATATTTTCCATGAGTAGTCCTGCCACGTTCGGAGATAAAAAGCAAGTTTCAGCTTGTTTGTCCCATGTGTCTTGCGATAAATATGCTTTCCATTAAGCGCGGGTCGTGGGCAAGACTGTGTGGAATTTGAGAATCCATTTATTTTCCGCCTTTCAGTACACATCGCGGCTGTATCGGCCCTCGAAATATCCAAAGTGTGTATTAAATGAGATTGATTGATCGCCTCTATCCTCTTGGCGTGTATATTTGGGTGTCCAGCATTACTGTCCACTCATCCATCTCTTCCTCATCAGCTATTTTTGGCCCGGGAAAATCGATAGAACTTGACGACAGGCCAGCAAATCTGGCGAGATCCCAGATGAGACACTCATGAGGGCATTACTGTGGAAAAGGGTGTGGACCATCAGGGTCATTCAAATCCAATCGCAACGCCCATTAATCATTCATCGGCGACAGGTTCCGCTCTGATTGCAGGCGATTTTTAGTAGTTCAGGAGACAGAAGTGGCAAATATTTGCAAATCAAGAATCGCAGTTAATAAAGTTAAAATATTGTCACTGTTTGTCGCTAAAACACATCGTGTGATTTAATATTTAATTAGCAATCACGTCCTCTTTCAATTAATACACTCATTAATTATTCCATATCCATGAAGTAATATGGTTATAATCGCACGTAGAAATTTAATTACGCGATAATTCTACAATAATGCGGTGTTGTGATATAAATTTAATATATGCAGTCGATGTGATACAAGTTATAATCTGCCATATGACCTGTATTTACGCTAATACTCCTGATCCGGATGCAAAAATGCACGCGAGAGGGAATTATAAAGTTTTAATGTGACACTTTTTTGCCGCAACAAGCAAAATTAGACATTCGGTTTGGACAGAGCTACAGTTATCACAATAGTACTAAATTTACATACCCTTTAATCATCTTCAGTACAAATTTATGCTCAGTTTATGTGATATTCCTCAATTCACTTCATGGACTCTTCCATACGGGGAAAATGATGTTTACTCCAATTTGGCATGAATTTAAAAACAAGTCCTTTGCTCACGACAAAATAAATATGAAATTTTAATGGTTTTCCCAGATTTGTTCAATTTGGCGCTAAAAGATAAGCCCGTAGAACCTATCAGGGCTTTTATGGATTTCATTATTGATGGATACGTTCGTATGTGAGCATTCGAAATAAATGTATGAATGATGAATGAAAGCATTTCCTTCTGCAGACTTATTTCGTGGCATAATCGCATTTGGAATTGCTCAGTGAGTTAAAATGTTTGACTCTATGCTTGATTGAATTTATACATCCGTTTGCATTTTAATCAGCACACATATAATATTTCAGGCATTCAATTTAATTCATTGAATACGATAAAATTTAATGTCTATTATTAAATTTCAGCTGCATTTTTCACAAATTTTAATCTCTCATTGCAACGATGTAAGCAAAAATTTCCACATGAAAAGTTTATAGTTCTCTTCTTGCATTTTGCAGAACTTTTGATTAATTGGTTTTCTCAAAAGTAATCCAATATTGAGTAATTTTACAACTGCAAATGGAACTTTAAAGGTAATTTCTCTCGCTACTTATCCCAACAGTTAACATTACAAAGTTGAGGAATTTCAACCCCAATGCAATCAAATTAATGAAAGAAACTTTGCGTTGTGCACCTCCAGAGAAGAAATTCCTGGCTAAGAGCTAAACTTTCTTCCTGTGTTTCCAGTCAGCTGAAGCTTTGACGAAGAGGAAGTTTCTGCCTGCCAGAAAATCGGTCAACTTTTAGTTGTCTCTCGTCTAAATCGAAATGTAGGTGTTGTCCAAACTATCGCCCCAAACTCACTGAAACTTTCACCAGAACTCGTCACACGAGACACGCCGTGAAGAATGCAATCGACCTCACGTGGATGTCTTATATATGTATAGTTAGAGGATATTTATGTATGTTCTTGAAAAGGGAAGTGGAATCATCCCGTGGGAAGTGAGTGTGACGGAAGCTGACACATGCTTAGTTGAGCGAATCAAATATGAATTCAATAAGTTGGATCCAGGATGTGAAAAGTTCTACCTGACAAATGCACGAGAGCAGAAATATAAAAGTTCCATAGAATTATTAAATTCAAATATCGCAAGTTTGCAATGTGAAAAATTTTATTCTTCTCGGCTGCAAATAAATTCAAGAGATCATCTAATTTTGAAAGCTAAACATAACTTTATGTTTTGCTAAAACTTAAATTGCAAAAGTGTTGCAGCGAAGAGAACTGAAAACTTAGTGTTGTGAACTCAAGTGGAAAAACGCAATGTTGCGCCAAAAGACTGTTTTCGTGGAAACTGAACGAAAAACTTTAATGATATTCTGCTGAGCAAAAAATATGATTAGTTTTCTTGCACATAGCCAAGGACTCATCAGTAATATTCCCAAAAACAATGTACATTACTGAATTAATATCAGAGGTTCATAAAATTAGTATTTTCAGTTGCATTTTTTAATGCAAAATTATTCTTCTCGAGTATTAGATTCTGAAGAGAAAGAAATTCCCTTTTGGACACTTTCAAAATCCTCTTGAATTAACATTATTGTCAATACACAACATTTAATCGGGTTTATGTTACAGACTCTGATGAACCTTCTATTTTCTTTTTCATTTTATTGTCTTGCATTGCTAGCTTAAATTTTGTTATTCAATTTATCTCAAGTGGATTTTCCCAGTCCATTGATTTTATTTGTTCTTCGTAGCAACAAATTGGGAGTCATTAATTAATTCTCCATCAAAGTTTGGGGAGCTCTCATGAGGATGACACTTGGAGTGAGATCAAAGACGGTGCGGAGAAATTAGCAAAGACCATAAAATTAATGTGTGTTTGCACTTGATGAGATCCGAAAGCTCACTGGACGTCCCATTTCATGTTCTCGGACTGAAGATGTACAAAAGCGCTCTGCCCATAAACACTAGAATGTGATGCAATGCTTCTATTGTGCATGACATTTGCGCAATAAATAATATTTTGGCGAAATATCTCTCGAATGCAGCCATGAGTTGGAAACTATAATCGCAAAATTGTTAGCTATAATTGGATTTGGATAAAAATGTCTTTTTTTTGTAGAAAATGAGTTTGAATTGAATGAATTTCGGCTCGATAATGGGAATTTTTAGACGGGAGCTTCTATACTCTCTGCTGGGAAAAGAAAATTCACACTAATGAGAGATTTTCCTCATTACAATCGACAACTGAAACTGATGGCCAAACACATATCGGTGACTAGCACACTTCACAGGCTATCATTGGAGAATTGGCAGCCAAGCCGAAATTAAATGACGACCGTTAAGATGATTATCACGTAATTGGAAAAATTAAGCACATCTCGTGCAATATTCATGGGCATGTGTGGCGTCTACTGACGCAGAAAAAGGGAGGGTCGAATGAGAGGAATCAATTCAGTCGATTTTGCTGATTTTCTCCCCATCGGAAAATTCAATTTAATTTTATTTCACTCCGCATTTACCCTATCTCGATCATTCAAACAGGTTGCAGGAAGGCGCTGGGGGTTGGCTTGCTCCTTTATCGCAGTGCGTGAATGTTTATTATCCACACGGAACGATTTTGGGTACGAGGGAATCTCTTCACATTGCTACATCCCGCAGTCCTCCGGCTGCGGAGTGGGAGTGTCGGATGTGATTTCCCCATGGCATCGGGAAAAGTTTCAGGGCAGTTCCAGGTGTGCGGGTTTCGCGGTAAAAATGAAAATTTAATTAATTTCATCCACACAAACACCCTCAGTGTGGCTGGAGCTAAAAATAAATTGGATGAGAAAGTTTAGTTTTGGCACGAGGAAGCGCACAGGATTCATGAATTGGCCCCGATTAGACAAAAAGAAATTTTAATTAATCCAACACAGCGGATATCTGTCGACGGCACTCCCTCATAAGTGCCATTTAATGGGACTCGCCACCAGTATCTCCAGGCATAGTGTTCAGCGGGCGGAAAGTGAGCAATCTGAAGATTAGGCGAGAGCCCCAGTCCTCTCATACATATGCATGCAATGGCAGAGCGATGCTTCATCCTGGCAATTCGGCAGAATCCCCAAATGCTCCAATAATGGATTTGGTGCTGGTGACTGCAATAAAACTACCTGTTCTGAGTGGGAGACTTTAGGTGAGATTGTTTCCGATGATTAAAATATTTCCCTTCAAGTGCACTCGAAGTTTGAAGAGTCGATGCAGAAGGAGTTTCAGGGATAAAAGGAAATGTTCAATCAATTAGAAATTCGACATGTCGTGATAACTTTTGTGCTAAGTTTCATCGTGATTTATTTGCTCAGCAAACGCCAATATATTCCATTTCATGGGGCGGTGATTTAAGACTCCGACAAACTCTTTGACTCGAAGGGTTGAATGTAAAGAGAGAACAGATTGGGATGAGAGAAAACCAATTTATGCAATGAAATTAATAGAACATAGTCATCATTTTCTAAGAATTTACTTCGGCCATTTTCTTAATGCTTATTGGTGATTTGAAAGTATAAATTGCAATCTGAAAAACATGTTGTTTTTATAAGAAAAAAATGCTTTATCTTACTCTATTTTCTCGTCGTTTCAATACTTAAATCAGTTGCAAAGCAAATACATGGAGGTTTTTTTTCTGAGAATCCGGGGATTTCTACACACACAAAAGGCATCGGTGCTCAAATTGTCACTCTCAGGAGCATTCCCTCTTATTTAGATACCCAGTGAAGCACTATTTTATTGAGAAGAGTGTGTAAATACGCCTTCAGTCTTGCCTTCAGCCTAGCATACTATCCAAACAGGATGCAAAGCACTTCTTGGTGGAAAAATGTTCACTTTCATTACAACAACTCCATGGGAACGTGGAAAATACACGGTGAATATTTTCCAACTGGCTTGTGAAAATATTTTCTGAAGGAGTTACTCAGAGAGAGGTGCGTCATCGTAATTTCACGAGAGCGTGTGGAAAATTAATTTTCCCACGGATCCCTGGGAGAGAGTTCGGCTGCGGGAGCGGTGAATGGGAGCAATTTATGCAAATTGAAAATGTTGACTCTCTCGCCTGTTTCTTGGAATGTCAGCAGGAATTGCTGGGGAGCATCGTTCCAGAGATTACGAAATTAACACTCTTCACATTCACATAAATATCCTGTGAGTTTTATTGCCACTGCTTTGGGCTATAAAGCTTCCTTCGCCAAAATACCAGAGTTCACCCAATAAATTTATTTGACATCTCACCAAATGCTCTGGGACAAATAAATAAATGTTTCCACATTACCTGCAAGTAAGATTCCCTCCTGAAGAATTAGTGGTGCATTAGGGATTTGGTGTGTGAAAATGTTTGTGCACTGCTGGCTTCAGTTTAGAGATGCATCTACCGAATTTGTTTGTTGCTCTTGCGCCGTTTATCGAGCTTCACAGAGGATTATACTTTTCCATCTCTCAATACCATTCATATGCTCTCTTTTCTACTCATCACATTTTACTATGCACCGCATGTATGGAGAATAATTTTGAATGCCAGCAAAGCGAGATGAAACTTTGAAGGTCTGTAATCAAATAAAATTCACTTCCTCCAAGTGAGAAATGCGTAAATTGATTTGGTCTCTCAAAGAGCGTATCTAAACTCTCTGTTTTTCAATCACAGGCAAGAGAAAGTTTTTCCAAAGTCTCTACATTGAAATTCAGAATCTTTCTCTTTGCATTAAACATTCTGTAAATCAAATTACAGTTCCTCCTCGTCGTTTTCCTCTTCACCAGAGAGATGCGCGTGGATTGAGGAAAGATAGATCTTCTGTGGCAGAGACATATTGAATTATTATAGTTGAGTTTCTCCCCCAAAGAAACAATTTCCTTGAATTTTAAAACGGTTTTCCCTCCTCGAACCGATGGACGCTCTCGTGGCCCTTTCCGCACGTTTAGGCGGTGAAATTGCTTTCGGAAGTCCTCTCGATACGTGGTCCAAATTACGCCTCGCCATCCTTTGGACTGGCGCTGTGATGGGCTTGAAATGGGGACTCGCTATCTGGGATATGTTAATGAGAGTGATTAGCAAACAATGTCGCTTTCTCAGCTGATTTAACGAGATTCCACGCCACGATTTATTACATTTCACACTGAAGAAATGATTTCTTGTTCTCCCCCAGCGCCTCGTCATTATCATCAACCCTCCTGTAAATTCACATCCCCGCAGAATGAATAAAACATTGGGACATTGATTCAAATATATGTAATCTGTTGCACTTTTTGTCATTTTGATAGATACTTCCGGTTTTCTCCACAGTGGCCAACTGTGCTTCACCCAAAAATACCATCAATCACTGACACACTGCGTTCCAACAGAATGACTACCCTTAGTCCGGAAAAATAATTTTCTGAGGATACTTTATTCTCAGATAAATTGCTGGCATTTATTATCTCATTTTCGAGAGCTTCACACCAAACCAAGAAATTTCTCGGGACGTGAGAAGCGTGACTTTCGTCCCCCAAGCTAATTGCTTATTCTAAAAGTTTCCTCCATTCTATAATTCCGACGAACGTCTTTAATCGGCAGTTAAATAGTGAAAATTTATAACTTCCCTTGCAGACAATTTGATGGCAATTAATGGTAAAATTTGTAATTTTATTCCATGATATTCTTGGTGAAATTATTTATTCAAGTAATTATTCTAATGACTCCTAATATGAATTGACAAAAGCTCAGAGAGTTCACTTCTTCAGTTCCGCATTCAGTTCCACTATAAATTTAATGGCAATATTTTCCGCCCTTTCCGGCGGCAGGCTTCGCAGTTTTTCCCCTATAATTTTGCTGTAGTAGGTGAAAATGTCTGGATTAGTGCTGGAGTAGGGTGAATTAGCTGTGGTCGTATCATCCTGATGATGTTGCAGTTCCGTTGAGGGCCTCTTTACTTGTATATACGAAGATGCTTGACTAGTAACGATGTGTTTGTCCTTATACACATCCTCAGAGGCGTCAGAATCCATAATGATAGCGTCTTTGAGGAAGCTACTTTCTTCATCCAAAGGATCATATTCCATGTCGCTTTTCTCCTCAGCCTGGCCTGATACATTGCACTCATACTCAGTGGACTCAGTGTGAATGTGACGTTGTGCCCTCTTCGGGCAATTATTTATCTTCCGCGGCTTCACAAACTCGTAGAGAAAGCTCATTTGCTTGTAGAATGGCCATGGGGTCGCCTCATCTGCGGGAGCTTCCCGCATTTTCCTCACTTTTCGCGAGTAAGTTTGTCGCAGGGTTTGGAAAATAAGCTTCAATTGTTTCACTGCAAAATACAGCCAGAGCATACAGTCATTGAGTGGCACTGTGACACATGCCATGTTGTTGGATATGTTGTGACGCGACATACCTGGCAAATCGACTTCTTTCGCCGCTTGTGCCCATGCTTTGTCCCTCAGAGACTGGAATTTGAACTCCTTCAATCTCGTATCATAAATTCCGGGGTGGCGCTTTACAGCGGCAATGACTTTCTCCCTAATTGCAAGGCTCGGATGCTGTTCCATGCTCGAGTTTTTGTTGTCAAACTGAGTAGGTTATGTTTTGGCATTAGCGCACGTCTGTGTTGTGTTCATGTTTATGCAATACACGGACTGTGTTGTGTGTTGCTTTTCGACTATACAAGTTATTTTCCCAGTTGGCGAGTGCCGAAGGAGAGAAATTGCTGAAGCAATAGCGCTACTGTACTATATACACATTATATGCTATTTTTGTTCACCGAATTGCCCAAGGAATTGTTAAAATATTCTGAAAGTAGGAAGCATAAGTTTCATTTACTCTTCTAAAATTTCCACAAAGTCACGCGCTTAACATGTGAACACCAAAATATCAATCGCGAGCAAAAATACTCACTCTTGGAAGTTTTAAAGTTTGAAAGTAAAGTTTGCTTTGTAGGACAAAGAATGTATCACAGTTTTACTGAAGAATTCAATAGTTAAGTCACAACTACAGTCGGCAGATGTACACCTAGCTAATAAGGAAAGAATGAGCAAATCAATACTTGCTGTATATACACAAACATGCCTCTGAAGTGGTAAATAATGCCCACATCTCTCATATAAGTGTGGATTAAATTGACAGGGTCAGAGAGGGGAATCGCTTTCAGTGGTATTTGGTATCAATGCGGTGATATCCGACCTAATTGACTGTTATTGACTTGATATTTGCCATGAAAATTGGCGCGCTGTTTGTCGTCGGTCAACTGCCAACTTGAATAACTTTTGCCTCAATCGGCAGAGCTTTGATGATGACCATCATCAACGAGTACCATTGGTTGCTGAGAACTTTACCGCTCGAAGGGTGTTTGACCACTTTCTGTTGATCACAATTGTGCAATATCTGTAGATGTTCTGGTGAGGGATCAATTTGAGAGCCCGCAGCCTCCAGAGATTTTGCAGTTGTCTATAGAGACAGTGAAGAGCCGCATCATGCATTTTGCATTGTTCACCAACTCGACTTTTACCCATTTTCCACTTGCTATCACTTAAACTTTGTCAAGTGCTGCACTGAGACCACTTATCGCACTCTGAGGTCAAAAATGTCACTGCTCCCGGTTGTTCTGTATTCAAACTTTAGTTTGGACAGGAATAATGAGTTGTTAAACTTGAAAAACTTTAATTATCTTTTTCCAGTTGGATTTCTTTGACCTCAAAATTTTCCTACCAGGAGACATACAGCAATGATGTCCGAGAATCTCTGTTAAAATCGGTATTTAGACAGGCTTCATTAGCAGATTTAAAGGGAACACAAAATGGGCTCAGAAGTATATTTTCAATGCACGTATAAAAAATCAACACTTCGTTGGCAGATTTCAATGAAAAGCTGGATTTGAGAAGGATTTTGTCATGAATGATGTTGAATTGAAAATTCAAATACTTTTGAAATGCAATTTCTATGGAATATCGATTGTACGTGAGTTTTTCCATATTTTCGTCTTTTATTGTCAAGTTATTTGCTGAAAAAAGAAGTGCAGCATCGTGCTTGTACATTTTAGGTATACATACGCTCCAACAGCAAGAATATGTATCACATATACAAGTGTCTCGATAATACGATGCGACAAGTATGGAGTTATATTATTCTATCCGATAAAAGCTATGCCAGCACAGATTGCTTCCTCTACGTGATTCACTTTTCATGTGCACAAAGTGATAAAATCGAAATTTATTCCCGGCAAATTGGATGGCAATAGCGAGACTCTTTGATTGCTTCATATTGAAAACAACAGTCATAAAATTTTCATTTTTAAGCTTTCTCCCGCCTCCGCACACTGCTAATGCCCGTACGATTTTATTTCATTTTTCATCTTGCCTCTCTTATCGATTTTCCTCCGCAAATGTGGACATTGTCGTCGAGCTTGGAAAGACGCAGCATAGAAGTGAAATGTTGCGGAAAAGTTAGGTGAAAATTGATGGCCGAGTCGTAATTAAATATCTGGAATGAGAACTTTTATTATTTGCCACAAGATTGTATTATAACTCACTTGGATTATCTTTATCTTTGCTTTTCACCACGAAGCGAGCTTTCGATGAAAAAGTTTTTTATTTCAATTCCATTTAAGCAGTACAATAATTGGGTCTTGAGCATTACCGAAGCCAGAATCGTAACAGATGTCAAATTTGTACAGCCAAAGGAATAAGGGAGAAATACATTCATCGCAAATAATGTACTGAAGGTTGTAAAAAACGCGCCAAATGATTCACACCACGAGCAGCTGATGAAAAGTGTGATGGTAGCAAATTAAATCACATTTCCATTCATCTCAGAGTTTTGGTTATGACATCTTCAATGTGACGCATAAATATAGCATTTCTTGTGGTTGTTTGTATTGTCATACATGACATTTTTATCGATTTCATCTTTTTCTCGTTTTAGAGATGAATTGTTTGCGAAAAAACGGTGTTAGACTTTGCGCCAATTTATTCTGGATATGTTACTGAAATCTTCTGACACTGATAAATTGATACATACACAATCTACAATATATTTTTTTGCCGCCTTCCCACCCTCAAAGGCAGCAACAATCCATCTAATATGTGTATGGATTGATAATCTTGCGAAGGCGGCAGAAGATGCGCTTCGTTCTCTGTGCTTTGCCCTCAATTTCGAGAAGTGGGGGGGATAAGAGATATCTGTTGCAAACATATATTGTGTGGGATGTATGAATAAGCAAGCATCTTCCATTTTCGGGGTTTGCGAGGGGCCAAAGTGGATTTCTCTGTAAAATTGCTAATTGATAGTTCCCTTCACGTTAAATTATTGCGCAATTTGTACCAAAGTTCATGTGGTCATATCTCGATGCCAACACTCTCCTGTTGGAGAGTATGTGTTGTTTGAATATTTTATACTTTCTCATTTGGTTGCGGAGTTTTTCAAATTGAGCTGGAATGATTCCTCGCAACTTTTCCATTTGTAGGTGAAAAATGAGATAAGAATTCGATTCCTTTTCCTCTCGAGCAATTTCTTTGCGTTGAATGGGCATTATGAAAAGATTTTCCCCTTGTTTTGCCACATCTGCACGATGTGCGACTGGAGGGTGTTTTGTGTATGTGACAAATAAACCAATTTGGAGGAGCTGAACAACCCAAAGTTCATAACTTTAGTGTCACTGGGCACTTGTAAATGTTTTTATATGGCAATTGGGATTGGCGTTGCTGGTTTCTGACCTTGAGTCATTAGAATTTCTATACTCAGCAGTTCAATGTTATAGTAAAGAGGAAAAGAAGAGGCAGGATAAATAAATTGGGAATACTTGTACGCCCATAGGTTACTCCCAAGACGCCCATTTGCACACACCAACTCTAAGATGCTTCTCGCCGCTGTGTAAGCTTGTTATATCGTCATATCATACTTCCTTCCTTGCAAATATCAGAGCGGAACACAGCCAGTGAATCTTAGGACAATGTTGCAAAGGTTGCAAATGCAACATGAGGGGAAGCATTATGTGCATAATACTCGGTTATGTGGATACAATTGGCATAACTCTGGCAAATTTATTTTTCATCTTTAACTGTTGAATCTGTTTTCATCCACATTGCCTCTCAGTGCTGTTCGGTCTTCATCTTTCAGCAACGCATAGATTCACTCCATTTCTCATTCATGATGATGGCAAAGAGAGAGAGAGAGAGAGAGAGAGAGAGAGAGAGAGAGAGAGAGAGAGAGAGAGAGAGACCTTATGTTCAACAATGGTATATGTACTTTGCCTTGTACTTTGCATAATTTATGACGAAAAATCTTCTATACGCTAATGGTGTAGTTTGATGGAGTGCCTCCCCTATCAGCCCTTTGCTGCTCGACATCTTGTCCAAGATTTCCCATTGGGCGATGATGGATGGACGGGAGGAAATTGTGATGGTATCGATGCCCAAAGAACCCATTTGCTCAGCCAAGTGCATCAAATTTTCATAGCAATTGAGTATAAATTCCGCGTCATCGTCTCATATTCACCCCATCATCCGGTGGATATACATTCTTGCTGCTGAGCTCTCCGCACAGCATTTTTTCCCGATACTTCCACAACATCATTTCCCCATATATTTATTGATACTTCCACGGAATTGTAATGCACTTCGCCGTGGGGGTGGAAACATCAAGTGAGATGGTGATAATCCCCATTAATATCAGCCACAATGCAGAGACGTCATTATCAAGCAAAATGATGAAAAGGGTGAAAATATTTTGCGGAAAAGCGTCATAACATTAATGCTATTCATTTGTATAAGCAGCCACTTTGAGTTATGATCCGTGGGAACAAACATTCAGTTTGCAGAAAATTCACTCTTCACGACAAACTTATTTTCCCTATTTTCCGTTCACCTACATAGCTTCAGTGGAGGCGAATGTGAAAAGAAATGTTTCAGAGCATCTATTTTGTGATACTTTATTGAGATTTCGGAATTTCCTCACGACTTCTTTTCTGAGCATTTAAGAGAGCCAAAAACGATTTCAGTACTTGTTGAATGTGCACATCGTTGCATCTTTGTGAATGGATAGCAGCACTGCTTTGATACTATATACACTGAAAATGGGTAACTTGCCAAATCTAAAAGAAGTCGAAATAATCCTCGAGATAATCGATATGTTAATGTACGGAAGGAGTGCAAAATTTAGCGTTTCAAACTATGAATTTAGCTTGCAAAATATCAAATAACACAGAGAGTACGACGCTGAAAGGATTCAGATTTGAGGATACTGAACAGAACAATGGAGTTTTCGTCTGATTATATTTTGTAAATATACTTAACGAGAGTCAACTTTTCCGTTTCGATTAAACTTTCCAAAAATGTCGTAATAACAAAGAACGAAGCCGAAGAGTTGCATTGCTTAAAAGGGTTGAAGGGACACCGCAAAGTAATAAATTCACATCACGTTTATTACAATGTAAACAGTTAGCGAAAGCCTCTAAAGCAAATTGATTACAATCATATAGTGAAAAGTCATTTGGGCAGGTAAAACTTCGGCAAACTCTAAAATTCATAACGAGAGACACAGGGTGGAAATGGTACACTCTTGTTTGAAGCGTGGAGCTCTAATTAATTTCATACATTACCATGGCAGATGGGGAATTTCTCATATAGGGAATTTTCTGTGGAAAGTGCAGGAATTAAAGAGGAAATATCGTTTGGCGGTGAGAACAATGGAAGATGGGACAATATATTAGATGCCTGATGTATTATTCTCTTTGGCAGGAGTGGAAATTATTATTGCAATTGCAGTTATAATATGAGTTCCAGTAACATTATCCTTATTTAACAAGATCCTTTCGGCAAATGTGCATATTTGAACTACAAATGACTAATTTATGCATTCGTGTCGTTAAGCTACATTTTCGTGCTCGAGGGAAAATTTCTGTTGGAACGTTTGGTAAGATGCGCTAACAATTCCCAGGATGTTTATTTTTGTAATGAGTTTTCAAATAATTGCACAACCAATTTTCTCTTCATCGTCGTCTTATCTT